GAGGGTTGTAGTGACACACTAACACATCTGGACCCACTTGCACAAAGCGATCTTAGTGCTAAGATGATCTTAACTCCCATACTTTAACATAGGCTTACAATAGACTTAGCGCTAAGATCGTTTTGTGCAAGTGGGCCCTGGACAGCAAGGTCATCATACAATACATGAAGACTTCACACAAACTCCAGCAACAAGGGAATGAAAAGAGGCCAAAAACACATATTTGCTTGGTTTCAGTCAACTGAATATAACCACTTCAGAACTTATTTACATAATATCAAAAATAAAATTTTACATATAAAGTTCATATCATACATATGACCTAAATATTCATAAATACTATATACTTGTATCGTTATTCCTATATACTTGTATAGTTATTCCTATATACTTGTATCGTTATTCCTATATACTTGTATCCTTATTTCTATATACTTGTATCCTTATTCCTATATACTTGTATCCTTATTCCTATATACTTGTATTGATACTTGACCACCTGTTATGATACTTGTATCATGGTACTGAATATTGTCATGCGCTGAAAGTTTGAGCAATTTCCCCCTAAGCTTATTAAAATAAACATTTTAAAGTTATTTGAGGGAGAGTTATCACATATATTGCAGGTTAGATTCCAGCCCTGACGTGTCATACAAGCAAACTCTAAACCAGACAATGCTAGAAAAGGTAAATGTTTTGTATCTAAATCATCGAACGAACTAAACTCACACATGTCTACTGGAGTATATATGACAAGCTGTACACACTAAAACTACCGTATTTGCCATAATAAGAGTGGTAGAGAACAGACTTCGTTCAATACAATGCCCCTGAAACCAAAATGTTTTCAAAATAATTACTACATACCCTTTTCACACTGCTGTGTTTACTGTAAGTGGGTGTGTGTGTGAGTATGGTTTTACGCTGCTTTTAGCAATATTCCAGCAATATCACGGCGGGGGACACCAGAAATGGGTTTCATACATTGTACCCATGTCGGGAATCGAACCCGGGTCTTCGGCGTGACGAGCGAACGCTTTAACCACTAGGCTACCCGACCGCGCCGTGTTTAATGTACAAAGATCTGTAATATGTACAAGAAAATAAGAAACGTCATATCATTTTGGGGCTTTGTACGGCTTGCATATAAAGATTCCTTACAGCTGTAGAAGTTGGTCATGGGGTGCACACTTAGTATGGCAAATATGGTATATCTAACACATTGCCGCAGCAAGAAATGTGGTGGTATGGAGGTATCAATAAACAACAAGCAATGAAAGACACATGGGAATGTAGAAACAAAACATGGTAGTGAAATATGAAAGGTTTTTCTGAACCTCCTTCTTCAAGTACGTGGTTTACAATTACAGATTTCCAAAATACAAACTTGGTGGTCATAATTGACATAAGAATACAATTTTAAAAACATATATATTTAAGATTGATATCTTACATGTATTATCAAGGTGAAATGAAGTAAGAAAAATAATGAAAAGAAGACATTGTCTTAAATAAAATGTCAGTGGTATATTTCCTTACCCTATTGACCTACTTTGAAATAAACTGACTAGCGGAAGGAATAAAAGACTTTTTTGTTGTTCTGCACATGTGAAATTTTGATTTGTCAGATTCTACAAAACAAGTACCGTATTCGACGTAATAAGCGCCCCGCTCTAATAAGTTAGCACCCCTTCCGATTGATCAATGTTCACAAGACTTATTTATTCGCGTACAATACGCATTCGAATTTTATATGCACCCTTAATTGTGGGCAATTAAATTCTGGAAAAATATATCTGTCATACATAAACATTTCAAACTGTCGGCATAAACCACAGAATTTATCTTTCAACTCTGTTTTTTTCACCAAAATAATATTCTAATCAGAGCCCCCTATTTCTAATTTTGAGAGCGCCCTCGGCTCTTATTACGTCGAATACGGTACATGTAAAAAAACAATCAAATCAGCTCCAAAGCAGGAAGGAATGACTTCTATGCTGCTTTCTGCTATTGTTAGGCCTGAGAACCATTATAGAACATGTGTCAAACATATTTCAGATAACAGTTTAAAAAATGCAGTAGCCTGTCTTTGGGATATACTGTTACTTTCATTGCACTGAAATATAATGATCTGAGCTAGTTTCACAAGAAATCAATAAAACATTGTGAAAACTACTTATTTACACATAAAAATGATTCTATGTACATAAAACACCCTGTTCAAGATTCTGTCAACACATAAAATAAGTTTGAGCATCTATCAACAAATACCTATCTCACACAAAACAAAATATAAATAAATTGACTTACAAAGCATCTCTAAAAAGTAAATTATTTTGAAACACATAAAATCTTATTTACAGCAGAACATTGAACCGGGAACAGCAAGAACGGAGTGCTACATTGACGCTGCAATAAATCCACAGTCAGTTACAACCGTCAGTACACACAAGGCCAGTTTTTAGGATTATAAAGTCAAGTTGAGATTTTGAAACAAATCAATAAAATTGACGATTCCCGTGAGAAGCTGGGATGGAACGTTGACCTCACTGATGATGTAACCATGGTAACATATGAGAAATGTGTATATGAACTGCATGTGCAATAGGGCTGGGACAAGTCCAAATTTACTACCCGGGTACCCACTCCTGTTACCCGACCCTACCCGGGTACCCACTGTAGGTCTCAAGAGATACAAAATGTCCGATTGTGATTTTTCTTTTTACCACAACACTTGCAAAATGTATTTAGATACATGTATTAACAATCTGGTCATGCATACACTGAAGTTGACTTAAGTTATATCTTCATTCAACCATAAGAAAAGTCAGAAGGAATGGGTGCATAGTCAGAAAGAAATGCGAACATTAGTGACTTGTAGTGTAACCATATAGTTCTAGATAGTTTTCGTCATTAAACTATATATCACATGACTAACCACTAGACCACCTATCACTAAGTACATGTACTTGCAATCTCCTTACTTCAATGCAATGCCTACTTTCTCAGATAACTACTGTATTTTCTTGAGTATAGTGCGCACCCATGTATAATGCGCACCCCCATCTAGCGGATTTGATTAATGTTCCTTATATGCTAAGTTGAGGGTTTTCACCAATGTGTCACTGTGTTTCTGTTTTGGTTTGTTGTTTAATGCTGCACTCAGCCATATTCCAACTATATGACTGCGGTCTGTAAATAATCAAGTCTGGACCAGACAATCCAGTGATTGCACTGAGTTTCTGTAGCCAAACATGGCTGTAACTAAGTACAAGTCATTTGGCACTATAACATCACTTGGGCAGTTCACTTAAACATTCTATACATTTGTGGTTTCTACAGAACCTCCATTCAGTGAAATTATGTCTTAAAGATTCATTATTTTAGGAATGACATTATATGATAAAGAGATTATAAGCTGAGCGTTACCCTACCGCAAAATCATAAATTTACTAAAAAATTGCAAGTGATTCTGTGGCATTTAAATGATTAACCCCAAAAAATATTAAGCCACGCCCACTAATGAATTACTGTTTCCTGATTGGTTGACAATAGAATGGGCAGGGCTTGTGTGCTGAACAATTTCACTAATTTGGTATTGTCTCTAGGTTATTTCTTTCTTAAAACTTAAGCAGTTTGTGAAGTTATAACTTTTTATGCATTTATTTATTAGACTTGACTTCAATATGTTTTTGAGTTTATGGAGGGATAACTAATAATGTTTGGGCAGATTTACACACTATGCACACCAGATTTTAAGTTAATACATCCCAAAACGCAAAATATATTGACAACAAAGACCCTAGAAGAGTCAAGACAAACAAAGGAGCTATTATCAGGTGTCAAATAACAATATCTCATGTTTATCTAAAAAGCTTCTTTGAGTTTACCACACAACATGGTACTAAAAGTCTGCAAGCAACAATCATTATTTAAATATATTATAAATTAAGAAGAGGATCTTTAGAATAGGTTAAAACTGTCAATGGAGTTCCTATCTGGGGAAAACATATGTACATGTGGATTTCAAATTCTTAACTATTGAAGAATAATAAATGAATATAATCAGCTAAAACATTGAAACTCAAAAGCACTAAAACACTGAGCAGACATTGTTCGAAAACTGCTAAAAATACAAATATTCGATAAACAGTAAAATCCTGATGTTAATCTTGGCAACTGAGATACATAGTCACCATAGTAAAACAAGGACGAGACATTCTACACAACCAGAGCTGAGAATGACATTACCGATAATGATAATATACTACTAAAAAAAAGTTAAGGACCACATGATTCTTCCATATTACTAGTTTACTGTCATACTAAGGCAGATTAACTATAGTTATATGAAAGAATCGGGTGGTGCCTACCTTTTTTTCAGTAGTATATATTCAATATTCATAAAATATTCCTTTATTTGTTTGTTGGAACAAGTCTGGGACTTTAGCAGAGTCTGGTAAAATTTGGTTTGGTCCAGTAAGCTCAGGTAATAAAATTCATATAACACTAAAATGCACATAAAATGTACTAAAAATTATGCAAAGAGCCAAGTTTGGGTTAAAAGACATGAACAAATTTGGCACAGACTGAGGAATTGGACCTTATAAATAGCAAATAATTTATTAGATTTCGTCCACCCCATAAAGTGTCAAATTAAGTAGAATCAGCTGAGAGCACAGGGACTATATCTACAAAGTTGACAAGACTGCATCTCGAGGAGCATCTCTATCTTGAGCTGCTTCCACATCTCCCTACGATCAGCGACCAACAAAAGAGGCCACTGCTCCCAGAATCATATGTTCAAGTTCACCATGATGAGTTTCACTAAAGTTCCGATCAATTCAACAAATGCCAGCAAACATTACTCAGGACCAGTAATTTCAAATCTAGGACGTCCCACTGGTTTCCACTGTTTACAATCAACAGAAAGGACTGAAATCGGCAGACCATTTGAGAATCAAATGTCCAAACTTAATATTCAAATCAGGCATCTACTCTGGCGCCAGTGATTTGTCTGAGAGATTCGTCACTGACAGAACAAAATATATTTGTCGAAGCCTAACTTTCCATGAATGTTGTTCCCTTTCATTTAGAAATAACTTTAAGCTTCATGTCATAACGAAAATACTTGAAATTCGTAATAATGACAACTTTTCAAAATGGAATACTATCAGAGAACACTGGTAGATATGCCTTCCATTCTCACAAGAAATAGTCACGTGCGTAAGAGTTAAGCTTCAGTTAAACATTATTCTATTTAAATAGCTTCACCAATGGAGACCACAAACACAGATCAAGATACGCACAGATGCTGCATTTTTACAACATTCTTGACCACTCACACTGAAGCTGAATCATACAAAACTTGCAATCCAAAGCATATGTGAAACAATCTTTTCTCTCATAATTGATGATTAATCACAAGACTGCAAACACAAGATGAAGATACGAGACAGATATTGGAGTTGTCAACACCTAATTTCTGAATTATATTGTCAATATCATAACTGCATATAACTAGAAGTGTATTCCTTAAGCCTGGGTGAGTCTGGGTACATGTGGTGAGTCTGGTAAGTTACTTCAACGTGTAGAGTCCCACGACGTGGCGAGCTGTTTCCTGGCATCTGGTCTGGAGGGGAGCATCATCTATCTGGTTGATGGGGATTTCAATCTGAAACAATATGGTCAAATTGAAGAGGTATCCATAAATTATTGGTGGTAATTCATGATAATCCGGACAGAGTGAGGGAGCCTTGATAATTTGCTTTAAGGTGAGGTGAAATGTTTTTAAGTTAGTGAGTGAGTATTGTTTTACGCCACAATAATCCTGCAATATCACGGCAGGGACCACCAGTAATGGGCTTCACAAACTGTACCCATGTGGGGAATCAAACCGGAGTTTTGGCATAATGATCTAACACTTTAACCACTAGGCAATGTGCATGCGTGTTAATACCATGCCGCAGTTTAATATGGATACCCAACACAGACACAAAATACCGACTCTGAGCCGACCAGATGTATCCCCTTAATGCCAAGTGCCAGGCAAGGTAACAACAAGTACCATTATGCTGATTATAGGTCATAATTGCAAAACTAGGACCCGCTTCCTTCACCACCAGTTACTGGCACATCTAAGGGAGGCAACTCTGTGCAGTGTATTGAGGTGCCTCAGATAAATGCATGAGCCATAATACAAGATTAGACTTTTCTTTCAAATATTATATTCTGATAATGCTCACCAATATCCAATACTGAGTACTATTGTCAACCCTGTTTCTCATTTTGACACTTTCCAAAAGTATATACACGTAACAGCATTAGAAATTGGCACTTGTCTTGTGGTCCTTGCGAAACTGCCAAATAGTTACGGTATCATAAGGACAAGTGGGAATTTACCATCTTAAGGGATTTGGAACATGTTATCATTGAAGGACTAGTGGAATGTTAGTTGCTAACGCTGCACGTATATATTTTTTTCACAAAACAAAGTAAGAAGAATTGATTACGAGTTTAATTAAAGGTTTGTACAGCTGTTTCACACTTTAAACTGATGACCACACTGCATATGTGGGCAACAGACCATAATGAGTCCCAGGACAGATGGCAGATGTGTACCAGTTACTCACTGTAGACTCGTAGCCCTGCAAAAACCCTTAAAACAATGTTGGTTCAGGCCCATCCCGTTGATGTTGACCTTAAAAACATGTCCAACATACATGACATGCGGACAGTGTGTATTGTTTGTATACCTGGAACTGTTGCTCCCAGCATTTGGACATGGCCTTGGTGAAGCGGATCATCTCCGAGCCGGAGTTGAAGTACAGCACCCACTGCACACTGCTCACCCTAGCCTCCTGGGACTCGAACTCCTGCATCACAAATATCATCAATAAACTCCTGCATCACAAATATCATCAATAAACTCCTGCATCACAAATATCATCAATAAACTCCTGCATCACAAATATCATCAATAAACTCCTGCATCACAAATATCATCAATAAACGCCTACATCACAAATATCATCAATAAACTCCTGTATCACAAATATCATCAATAAACTCTGGCATCACAAATATCATCAATAAACTCCTGTATCACAAATATCATCAATAAACTCTGGCATCACAAATATCATCAATAAACTCCTGTATCACAAATATCATCAATAAACTCTGGCATCACAAATATCATCAATAAACTCCTGCATCACAAACATCATCAAAAAACTCCTGCATCACAAATATCATCAATAAACTCCTGCATCACAAATATCATCAATAAACTCCTGTATCACAAATATCATCAATAAACATCTACATCACAAATATCATCAATAAACTCCTGCATCACAAATATCATCAATAAACTCTGGCATCACAAATATCATCAATAAACTCCTGCATCACAAATATCATCAATAAACTCCTGCATCACAAATATCATCAATAAACTCCTGCATCACAAATATCATCAATAAACTCCAGCATCACAAATATCATCAATAAACTCCTGCGTCACAAATATCATCAATAAGCTCCTGTATCACAAATATCATCAATAAACTCCTGCATCACAAATATCATCAATAAACTCTGGCATCACAAATATCATCAATAAACTCCTGTATCACAAATATCATCAATAAACTCCTGTATCACAAATATCATCAATAAACTCCTGCATCACAAATATCATCAATAAACTCCTGCATCACAAATATCATCAATAAACTCCTGCATCACACGAATGTCAAAATTAAACTCCTGTAACAATAAAATATTAAATGGTTTCTGAGTTTTGCTCCAGTGCGAAATGTGACAGATGGATGGACGGACAGCATCCATTCCTGTATCCCCCTCCTACTTTGGGGTTACCCGTGAAGATCCGGGGTAGAATAGGTCTTCAGCAACCCATGCTTGCCGTAAAATGCGACTATGCTTGTCGTAAGGGACGACTAACGGGATAGGGTGGTCAGGCTTGCTGACTTGGTTGATGCTTGTCATTGTATCCCAAATGTGTAGATCTATGTTTATGATTTCAATCACTGGATCGTCTGGTCCAGACTAGATTATGTACAGACTGCTGTCATATAGCTGGCATATTGCCAAGTACAGCTTTAAACAACAAACAAACAAACCAAACAAATCCTACTTCATGGATTGTGCATTGACAACAATCAATCGTACCAGTATACAGTAGTTCTTGACTTCAGCATCAATGGTGATCCCTGTGACCTCCTCCATGTTGGCACTGCCCAGCGTGCGGAAGAAGCTTGTCTGGACGTCCTCGTGACACATCAGCAGCTTCTGATGGGTCAACACAGAACAGCAGGGGAGGTAACTCCAACTGTCCCCAGTGCTCTGAAACACAAGTACATAAAAATTCTTAGGGACTTTCCCATCAAACAACATGGATATATAACTGACATTACTGCACCACTCACAAACATGATGAAAACAAAAAACATAACTCTTCAGGTAACAAAAAAAGATATACAGAAATAATTCTGCTGTTCAGAGCAATGTAAAGGGTTAAAGTTAAACTATCTTTATAATACATTACTCATTAAATTCAACTCAAATGATTAACTCTTTACGTCGGGATTACTTTCAGTCTGTGTCAGTGTTATCGGATAAAGATACATTAGAAATACATGAATAGACCCTTCATGAAAATATTCGATCTCATCAAATTCAGATCTTTTACTGCGATACAATGCCTGTCTGCATGAACATCTGAGGACATTGGTCACATCAGTGGAACATTATAATCGGCCAATCAACATCAAGGTTTCTAAATTCTCGGTATGAGCAAGCAGTATCTCAAAAGCTAACTAAAACGACAAGTTCTGAAAGTAGAAATTATTAGCAGCACCATCAAGTATTGTTGTGGCCAAAGACGTCTATACGTTTTTGTTGTGGCCGAATCATTCTAGAATCAGCAGCTGATTAGCTCAACAATTGATGCAGCCTTTGTTCAGACCGGGCAGTTAAAGTTCTCTCGCGGTTCACCTATTGAGATCAGATCCTGACGCAGACAGGTAATGAAAAACTGTTGCTTCAATTGTAATAAAGAAGCTGATCTTCCCTACTACACTGTCAGTAGGTTCCCTCACACATACCTGACTTCCCTCCGACACAGCTTTGCATAGACACTGCAGCCAGTCAGAGACCTCGATGTGATTGGCTGCAGAAAACTGCCAGAGTCCTCCATCTGACTTGATGACCTCGATACAGTGTTCGCGATCGCTGTCCGTGCTTCGCCTACAACCCACACACTGCTCCCCTCCCAGCCTCAAGAAGCACTGCGGCTTGCTGTTCTTGTCTTCAAACACACACAGCATCCCGTCTCTGAAAGAAGCAGCAACTTAGGACATTCTAACACCTCTTATGAAAATATCATGATTATATGTGTGGGGAAATCGAACACAGGACTTCAGTGTGGCCAGCAAACACTTTTAACACGAGGCTATCCGAAGCCGCTGATTGTATATAGAAAAGAATTGTTCTTTTCATCATTTGCAATTTGGACAAAAAGACCAAATGCAGAGGTGAGGCTAATTTGACAAGGTAGACACGTTTTTATGGATAAATCTTCTTTAATACTGAAAAAAGCGATGTTTCGGTACAGATCCTTACACCGTTGTCAAGCAAGCCAGTCTTTGTCATCCATCAACTTCTAAGTAATGCCTATCAAACAATTTATTTTGAGAAGTTTTCAGAAAAAGTTCTTTTTTCTAATATTACATGAGTAAATCTTTGATCAAAGCTAAAATTTCACAGATGCTGGTAAGGAAGATGAAACATTTCGTAAAACATTCAGCTTGCTTATCAACTCGCTAAATTTAAATTGATCTTCAAACATTTTTACTAATCAATCATATTAGCCATACTTCTGTTCTTGATAAAGTCCAAAACTTGCAAATGATAGAAAGACAAAAGGCTGGAGGTCCTATGATGAACATGCCAGAAGTTTTTCACTTGATTGCACAGTTTTACATTACATTAACATTTGACATTTCCAGGGAGCCAAAGACAGCTCTTATCATACTTTCTCCTTTATCTTCTTACGCAAGAACCACTTTAGACTTTTAAAGAAAACTGGATTTCTATGTCTGTTTCCAAGAAGCTTACAACCAAAGAATTTCCAACATTGGTCATTGTCTCTTGTCATTAACTGTGGGATTCATAAATACTAACTGAAACTAAGACAAACCTGAGAATGACATAAACAGGCTTCCATATATGTCCTTTCCCATGGTCAGTAGACTTGAACAGCAATGTTCCTTCCCTGTTTGCATGCTCCATCTTGGCTGACTGTGAGTGGGGGTCCTCCCAGTACACCAGGGAGTAGCCCTCCACACACACATCTCCAGGCTGTAACAATAACACAGAGACTAGACAACCACCCTGACACAGTGGACCCTCCCAGTACACCAGGGAGTAGCCCTCCACACATACATCTCCAGGCTGTAACAATAACACAGAGACTAGACAACCACCCTGACACAGTGGACCCTCCCAGTACACCAGGGAGTAGCCCTCCCAGTACACCAGGGAGTAGCCCTCCACACATACATCTCCAGGCTGTAACAATAACACAGAGACAAGACAACCACCCTGACACAGTGGACCCTCCCAGTACACCAGGGAGTAGCCCTCCACACATACATCTCCAGGCTGTAACAATAACACAGAGACTAGACAACCACCCTGACACAGTGGACCCTCCCAGTACACCAGGAAGTAGCCCTCCCAGTACACCAGGGAGTAGCCCTCCACACACACATCTCCAGGCTGTAACAATAACACAGAGACTAGACAACCACCCTGACACAGTGGACCCTCCCAGTACACCAGGGAGTAGCCCTCCCAGTACACCAGGGAGTAGCCCTCCACACACACATCTCCAGGCTGTAACAATAACACAGAGACTAGACAACCACCCTCACACAGTGGACCCTCCCAGTACACCAGGGAGTAGCCCTCCACACATACATCTCCAGGCTGTAACAATAACACAGAGACTAGACAACCACCCTGACACAGTGGACCCTCCCAGTACACCAGGGAGTAGCCCTCCACACATACATCTCCAGGCTGTAACAATAACACAGAGACTAGACAACCACCCTGACACAGTGGACCCTCCCAGTCCACCAGGGAGTAGCCCCCCCCAGTACACCAGGGAGTAGCCCCCCCCAGTACACCAGGAAGTAGCCCTCCCAGTACACCAGGGAGTAGCCCTCCACACACACATCTCCAGGCTGTAACAATAACACACAGACAAGACAACCACCCTGACACAGTGGACCCTCCCAGTACACCAGGGAGTAGCCCTCCCAGTACACCAGGGAGTAGCCCTCCACACACACATCTCCAGGCTGTAACAATAACACAGAGACAAGACAACCACCCTGTATGAATGATGATATCATTTTATGCGTGTATGTACGTAGTTTTTGCCAGGGCTCTTGTAAAACAAATTGGACATTTTACAGCCAACTTGAGACCGACAATAACACAGAGACAAGACAACCACCCTGACACAGTGGACCCTCCCAGTACACCAGGGAGTAGCCCTCCACACACACATCTGCAGGCTGTAACAATAACACAGAGACAAGACAACCACCCTGACACAGTGGACCCTCCCAGTACACCAGGGAGTAGCCCTCCCAGTACACCAGGGAGTAGCCCTCCACACACACATCTCCAGGCTGTAACGATAACACAGAGACAAGACAACCACCCTGACACAGTGGACCCTCCCAGTACACCAGGGAGTAGCCCTCCCAGTACACCAGGGAGTAGCCCTCGACACATACATCTCCAGGCTGTAACAATAACACAGAGACAAGACAACCACCCTGACACAGTGGACCCTCCCAGTACACCAGGGAGTATGAATGATGATATCATTTTATGTGTGTATGTAGGTAGTTTTTGCCAGGGCTCTTGTAAAACAAATTGGACATTTTACAGCCAACTTGAGACTGACATCGGGTATCTGGGTGACAGGGGGTCGGGTACCCAAGTAATACATTTGGACTTGCCCAGCCTGAGTCTCTAGTCCCCCTTTTACACCATAACTTCAGCAGCATTCATACCTCAATCCTGGCATCAACGGCAGCATATTTCTTCATGCATATCTTCTGTGTAGTAGCGTCGGTCAACACAGTCAGTTTGGGGATGGGGAACTCGCAGTTCTCCATTGCTGATGAAATATAGCTGGTGATGGCACTGAAACAAGCATGAATGAAACATTTAACCAAAAGCAAAAAATATCTTAATTATTTTTATGAACTAAAGTGTCCGATTTTTAATGAAGAAGAAACGTGTCATCACATTCAGTGAGGTACTACAGGTCTCAATACTAGCTTCCATATGAGAGATCTGCATTTCCCTTCCAGTCATTTATGGGGGCACGGGTGGCCCAGTCGTCTAAGGCGCGCGTTTCGCTGTGCAGAGTTGCGTCCCTTTGGCACACCAGAAACATATGATTGTGGGTTCGAATCTCGGTTCGCCCTGATTATGTTTCTAGGTTTGTCAGCACCATACCCGTGCTCATGGGTTTCACCGAAGTGGTAAATTTCTTAGACCTACATCACTTCAGTGAGTGAGTGAGTTTGATTTTACGCCGCTTTTAGCAATAATCCAGCAATATCACGGCGGGGGACACCAGAAATGGGCTTCACACATTGTACCCATGTCGGGAATCGAACCCGGATCTTCGGCGTGACGAGCGAACGCTTTAACCACTAGGCTACCCGACCACCCCTTCATCACTTCAGGCTTTCCTCCCACATCAAGCTGACACGCCGTGTTATAACTGGAATACTGTTAAAAGCGGCGTTAAACCCAACTCACTCACTCACTCCAGTCATTTATAATCTTGACAATTTTCCTTCAAACCTAAAATGTAGCCTGATATGTAATGTATGTGTCTCAAAAACTTCAGTAAAGTGTCAACTGACAAAAAATACATGTAATAATACATGTAATTACGTCTTTCTAGATGACTTTATGTTTGTTAGTTTTACAATATCGGTGTTCGAGATTGCAGACTACCTGAAAATCACCAGATATCTCAGTAAGATTCTCATCACACTGGTTACCTGTTAACTGGAATAAGGGTTCCGGTTGACGAACAAACAGAACAACTAAGCCCATGACATTCAGTATCAGTTGTGGCAAGTTCAACTTCATTCTACATTGCAGGCTGCCAAACACAGTGATGAGTTGACTTGTTGACTGGCAGTGATACTATGAACTGAGTGAGGTATTTCAGTCATTGTATAGAGAGATCCGGGAGAGGTGTCACTGTCAGGAGCTTGAACGCATTATGCCAAAGGGACATAACTCCAAGAATACATTGTCAACAGCAATGTTTCCCAGGTTAGGCGGCAGGAAAGAGTAAATTTGAAAATGTATGAACATGAAAATAGGATGGTATCTGAAATATTTTTATTCCTTGGGTCCAGTCTATTGGGTATTTTAAAACCAGTGAGTAGCCATTTAAAAAATAATTCTGCTTAAAATGCTGTTTCAGATAACTGTTTTGTTTCTGTTCACATGCTGGTCAAAGCTAGAGGTATATAGAGGATATTATATTAGTGTTCTTGTTATACCATGTTTACGAGATGAGTGTCTAAATTCCGGTATTTCCCGAGCGACAGCGAGGTAAATACTGGAATTTAGGCACAAGTGTCATAAAAATAATACGACATGAACATGAATAACATGTTCTATTTATTACCGAAGAAGATGTCTACATACAGAGACAAATTTTAGTGTTAACCTCTAAAGACAGCAAGTCGCAACAGCAGCGGAAACACAATTTGTGGAATGACATCAACACTCTTCAGCTATGATGTCGTTTCTAGTGTGACATCATTCCGAACTCACATCACAAGATTTAAATGACTTCAACAAGGACGTCCCGATGACGGAAACAATACACTGTTGTCTTGTGATATGGCCCTACGGCACATATGATTTTGTTGAACCCTGATTATGTTTGCCCTCTTGGTAGTAAATAGATGTATGTATGTTTTTGGCCAAAGTCTTTCACATGTTCCATACGTTTATGACAGGGATACATGTCTCAGATACAATTAGCGGAACATAGTGTTTCTGTACGTTATTCACTGCAGTACAGTGAATTCTCAAGCGGGTGACAAAAGACAAATCTCCACGTACCATGTGAGAGTTTCATTTCCTGTTGTAAGCCAGAATTGTTTCCGTCGATTTGTGCACACGATGTTGATAATCTGGTTGTTGACACTGAGCTGTTGGATGCAAATAAACATTCATCATCTGTAGTCTTCAATAACATGACACCTTCCTTACCACACACAGATTTTAGGTGAAATAATTCTGCCATTTTTTTTATCACATTCAGAGTTACCTCAAAGGTTGAGACATAAAAAAAAAAAATCTTTGGGGAAACTACCTCACAATAATAACATGCATCAGTATATTCCGACCTATGAAATCTGGGTAGAGAAAATGTCTTCAGCAACCCATGCTTGCCATAAGAGATGACCATCCCCCATAAGAGGAGACTAACGGAATCAGGTGGTCAGACTCGCTGACTTGGTTGTATGTCTTCGTATCCCAACTACCTAGATCAATGCTCATGATGATAATCACTGGATTGTCTGGTCCAGACTCGATTATTAACAGATCGACATCATATAGCTGGAATATTGCTGAGTGAAGCAACAAACAAACAGTATGTTCCGTGCATTCCCTGCATATTTCCAACATTCGCAGATATGCACACAAAACAGTCAGTCAAACTGTGGAATGTTTCACTTTAATTTAATTTGTTTGTTGTTTAACACCAACTCAGAAATATTCCAGCTTTTGTATGGCCTGTACATAATCAAGTCCGACCAGGACAATTCAATTGACATATCAGAATCGAACAACGCAATTGGGATATGATGACATGTAATCAGCCAAGTCATCGAGTCTGATCACCTGATCCAATTTGTCGTCTCTTACAACAATGGGTTGATGGGGACCTGTAGTCGTACCTGGAATCGCCACAGGTATGATCTGTTGTAAAATAGAACGGGTGATTTTTTCAGTGGGATTCTGCTTTTATAACTTCTTATTCCTCTTTGCGTTTAATGACAGATGTTTATATATCGGAAATATTATATGTACCCTTGAAAATTGCATTCAATAAAATAGGTCATCCATGACATAACAATGAGTGTCAGCTTGCATATGTGTCAGATGAATCCCATCTTAAAATTATACTTTTGCAAGAACGTGCAGTGACATTTAGCAAATCCTGCGATCGCAAGGCCAAGTTGTGTTGAACCAGATCTTAATAGGCATAAATCATAAGATTATGGGGCATGGATGGCCCAGCCATCTAAGGTGCAGTGATTCGATGTGCAGAGTTGCGTCCCTTGGGCATGCCAAAAAGCTATGATTGTGGTTTCGAATCCCCGATTATGTTTCTAGGTTTGTCAGCACCATATCCGTGATCGTGGGTTTCACCGAAGTGGTAAACGTCTGAGACCTGCATCACTTCAGGCTTTCCTCCCACATTAAGCTGACACGCCGTGACATAACTGGAATACTGTTAAAAGCGGCGTTAAACCCAACTCACTCACTCATAAGATCAGTGAATTCTCGTACAGCTAAAAAGTCGATGTCCTTGAAGGGAATGTCTTTGTCCTTGATGAACTTGTGGTCGCATTCTCGCTGGTGAAGTAGATACATGGCTCGGTCCGACACCAGCAGAAATATCCTCTTCAGCTCTCCTTCTGTGTGGCCTTGACTAGTGCAGAACATCTACACAGAAATGAAATGTAATGCCTCAGGGAAACTGCGAAATCATAGCTGTGTACTATGTACAGAAGACACAAACAAGTCTTTTTCATCTCTATCTATGTGATTTTAAAATACAGATCGATTTCATCAATAAATATATTAGTTCCTCACTTAATACACAGGGCTTCAGATTGGTCTATGTCCGAGGACTGTACACTGGCAAATTATCATCCAACATGTCCTCATTTTTTTGGTAAAAATTGGTTAATGATACAGAAGAAAGTCCTGGACAAATGTATGAAAAAATACCATTTGTCGCCTCAATATCACTGATTCATTTTTCATTTTTGTGACAATATTAGCTAGTTACTAAACATTAGCAATGATAAGGCGAGAAGTTGACTGGAACCGATTGAGTGTCTAGCCAGTGAGTTCGCAGAATATACCTTTCCAAACTGTTCATCTTGATGTGAGAAGACGTCCAACATGAGACACAGCAGGGTGTTGTTATCCAGCCTGCAAACACACACAGGAAACATACATACTACCTACTAGACAGACAAAGAGAGAGAACTCTGTTTTACAAAGCTTTCAGCAGCACCTGAGGCACACCACCTTGGGTGCACGCCAGAATGGGTTTCACAAATTCTACCCTTGTGAGCTTTCAAACTTAGGTCTTCAAGGATGATAAGCAATCACTAGGCTAACCAACCTTTCATACCCACGAGAAAGTAAACACAGTTTCAATTTCTCTCGAACAGTTTTATCAATATGCCATGTATGTTTCTCCCAGGTTCTGTGAGCAACCACACCATGACTCATCAACAATTCTGACTGAATCAGATGCAATCTCATTTATCATCATCTTTGTTCTTGCTACTGCGAAGCAAAGATCTGAGGACATCCCATTACGGGTGACGACAGAATGACATTTCATCAGAGTGTTGCTTACCACATCTGGAAAGTCAGAATGTTTTTACATGGGAGAATTCCAAATGACAGTTACCGCTGTACAACTGATTCTGTCAAAATCATCGTCGATATTTCGCTTCAATGGGAAAAACATTTCAAATGTAAGAGACTTTCCATACCCCATGGGAAATACTGCCATACAATCTCATCCCATTTATTAGACATCCCAGAATTTTTATATGTTTAGTTTCCAAATTTTGAAAGTGAGAACTTTGCCAAAATATTTTTCAAAGCGTGGTCTGTAATGGAAGTCTGATTGTCAAATGCTGACTTCTTGTTAGTCATATCATTGATCAGTTGATGTTCGGGAAAGGTCGTTTTGATACGACCAGAAATGGGATGCCCTCAGATCTTTGTGTTGTGGTAGAGAAAACTGAGATGTGATTGTGATGAGTTTGAATCAGATTTAAATGGCATATATACTATGATTCACTGAAATCAGCATCCAAAGGAAAATTAAGCTTGACGTGTGATGCCCATTTTCAGTGCAGATGTTGTATTTAGTGCCTTTGCTACTGGACTTTTATACGATAATCTTAATTATATAACTTGCAAGGAGATGACTGACAACAGCAAAGAATTGTTTGAATCACAATCAACTGACTCAAATTCCCTCTTAAATCAGTGAAATCTAGACATAGAAAATCGAGAGAATGGTAGGATTGATCAAGAACATCATACACAGGCCCCTATTGTTATTGATTACTTATATCAACTTTGAATGCTAATCAGAGAATGTCATTAAGAAGGAACCTTCATCTTACTCAATACTGTAGTCCTTCTCTTCACACTCCAGGTCATCCAGTCCCACTGTTGACGACTCCAGCTCACTTTCTGTCACTTCATCCCCTTTTAGTTCATCTGAATCCCCGACAATGAAGTCCACATAGTCCTGCCTCTTTGCGGAATAATCGGTTTCTGAATTACTAACCTCTTCCACCCTCCTCACTTTGTAAAAATCCTCATCTTCGTGAAAACCCACAAAGTATTTTTCACTGGTACTCGGCCTGTCTCGTTCCTTATTTTGGACTGAGTCTGATGAAAATACAATTGCACTGTCCAAGGACCCTGTTGGTTCCAATTTCGCATTGTCAAGACCATTTTCTGCCAACTGATGATGTTTTTTATAATTTTTACTCTCTCGATAAAGAGCTGCTTCTTCAAAGCTAACGTCTGAATCAATCTTACGCTTACTATGTGCAAAGTCACAATTTTCTGACACAGACTCTTCACTGTTATCACGGAGTTGAACTGATGAATGATTTTCTTGATTTGGAATGACTTCTGATTTTGATGTCACAGGCTTATGATTTGCACCTGCAGGGGAGACAACTCTGTTACCTACATGATCACACTGACTATAATTATCTCCCATTGATTGTTCCGTCGGTGTTGTCTCCTTGACAATACGAACATCCTCATGTCCGTCTCCTGGAGACCGCGTTCTTTGACGTGAAGCTTCTGTATTCATGTTTGATCTAGCTGGATCAGGTTCTGAAAACTCGTCATCATTATGACTGTTGAACACATCTTTGAAAGAACTAAGAATGGAAGCTTCAACAAACTCAATATTTGGTGACTGAGATATCTCCATGGGGATCCTACCCACTTCTTCCTTCATGGCAGGAATTTCAACAACTTTTGAAGAACGTTTCGATTTCTTTCCCTTCAGCTTTTGACCTTTTGATTTGACCCTTATGACCTTCAGCTCTGTTTCAATTTGATCAATGTCCTCTTCAACACTAATTATCGTCTCAATTCTACGAAATCGTGGCTCAACTTCAGACCCTGACCCATGACTAGACGTTGACACGTTGTCTGTTGTTGAGGGGCATATTTGTTTCGACATAATGCTGTTGGTGTCAACATGGCATCCGGAGTCTAAAGAAAGTGACCCTGCAACTGAGCTTTCCATGACCCCATTTGTTTCAAAGCTGGTGATGCTGCCGGAATCACTGTCTGTCAAGACCTTATTAGATTCAGGAGTGGAAGCAAGCATCTGAAATACAAAATGTTGTTGACCTCAAATACTTTAGTCTGTAATGTCCTAATACTTGAAATGTCTCTAGGTTACTGGACCTAAAACTACTGATCCTGTGAAAGTTTTAACTCAAAGAGATGCTGACCTCACCCCAAGTTGCTTCAAGACACCCACTTCAACTGAGGCTCTTCTCAGAGAGACACCCACCTCAGCTGAAGCTCTTCTCTTAGAGACACCCACCTCAACTGAGGCTCTTCTCAGAGAGACACCAGCTTCAACTGAAGCTCTTCTCAGAGAGACACCCACCTCAACTAAAGCTCCTCTCAGAGAGACACCCACCTCAACTGAGGCTCTTCTCAGAGAGACACCCGTCTCAACTGAGGCTCTTCTCAGAGACAGCCACCTCAACTGAGGCTCTTCTCAGAGACACCCACTTCAACTGAGGCTCTTCTCAGAGAGACAACCACATCAACTGAGGCTCTTCTCAGAGACACCCACCTTAACCAAAGCTCTTCTCAGAGACACCCACCTCAACTGAGGCTCTTCTCAGAGACACCCACCTCAACTGAAGCTCTTCTCAGGGACACCCACCTCAACTGAGGTTCTTCTCAGAGAGACAGCCACCTCAACTGAAGCTCTTCTCAGAGAGACACCCACCTCAACTGAGGCTCTTCTCAGAGAGACACCCACCTCAACTGAGGCTCTTCTCAGAGACACCCACCTCAACTGAGGCTCTTCTCAGATAGACACCCACCTCAACTGAGGCTCTTCTCAGAGGCACCCACCTCAACTGAGGCTCTTCTCAGAGACACCCACCTCAACCGAGGCTCTTCTCAGAGACACCCACCTCAACTGAGGCTCTTCTCAGAGAGACACCCACCTTAACCAAAGCTCTTCTCAGAGACACCCACCTCAACTGAGGCTCTTCTCAGAGACACCAACCTCAACTGAAGCTCTTCTCAGGGACACCCACCTCAACTGAGGCTCTTCTCAGAGAGACACCCACCTTAACCAAAGCTCTTCTCAAAGCATAACTCACCTCAACCCAACACAATTATTTGACAGATGCTCACATCAACCCGAGAAGCTTCTCAAGATACAAAGACCTCAAATGAGGCTCTACTCAGAAAACTCTCTCCACATCCCCGGAGAACACTTCTCCGAGAGTCGCTAGCCTCAACTCAGACACTTCTCAGTGAAACACTCACCTCAACCCCTGAGACGCTCCTCCGAGATGCAATACTCTCCATGCTGTGAAGGGACACTTTATCTTCCTCTTGAGACTTCTCCCTGGACAGAGAGCGACTACGTGGTGGGTACGTGCTTAGGTCCAGGTATGGCACATCCTGTGAAGACAAACACAGATCACGATGAAGTACGGTCGAGGTCAGGTGAAATGGAGTTTAAAGTCACATTCTAGATTATTGCACTTACATAGCAAAATGCTTGGGTGCGTGTGCGTCTGCTTGTACCAGTCCAGACTAATGCTGGTTTTATAGCGCTTGTCCACTTGGACAACATGACGCAGTTTAAAATGAACACCTCGCTCAGATACAGTATACTGACTCCAAGTGACCAGTCCTTGTTTAATCCCCTTAAAGACAAGCACCAGGCAGGGTAACAAGAAGTATCATCAGTTGATGTCTTTTAGCGCTGAAGTAGTGGAGATGCTGAGGCAAAACTGCATCTGCATCAAGATTGCATTGGGCAATAGCCAATTTCCAAGAAAGAAGGTAAGTGAAAAACATCTGATTACTGGGTACATATTTAGATATAAGAGTCTCATTACAAAAGATAAGGGATACATCATGGTCCACAGTTTTATATCTTGTGCAAATTTTCCACATATAAACTATCGTATCTCATCATTGCTTATATCCAGTACTTACACATTCCATTTGAAAACAGACCATCTCAAGTCCAGATGTCAAGGTCAGCAGTAGATTCATTCTCTGAAATAACAGGAACATCAATCTTACAAAAATCAGATCTTTTACTCTGATACGATAGGAAGTAATGTCAGGTGATCAGCATTGAAGCATCTAAAATCCCGGTGCAAGTTCGCAAGGCATTCAGACTAGAATATTTGATTTCTGTATCTTGATAACGAATATAGATGGGAGGCTCGGAATGCAAATAATAAAGCCATGCTATCATAATGTGGAAATTCTAATATTGTTATAGTTGTTTCTAAGTGCCATGGCCTCCACACCTAAACATTGCTAAATGGGCATCTTCCTGAGGCAAGAGAGTTTATTTACTTTAAAAGTCCAGTTTCCACCCTTGCCGAACTAGGCTGGAATTCCTGGGCTCGATCATAGCGCCATCAGTGGCTATTACGAGTTCTATGCCTCTCCTATGGACCAATCAGATTCCACCTCTCATATCACTTGCATTTGCTTCAAACAAGCATTTGCTTCAAACGGTGGCGCCCCGTCAAGACGATCTGATCAATAATCATGATCTATATTGTGATAAAATGAGCCTTACATCACGGTGTGCATCAAATCACGTGAGCACCTTGATTAAAAACATGAAAAGATTTAGAAAATATCTGTTGACAACGAGTTAGCGGTGCACATACTTTGCAAATTCTCTAATCGACCGAAATCTGCATGGCAGTTTCCGAACCAGATTTTGATTTTGGAGCGCAATTTTGATTGGACTATGCATAGACTCGTTAGTCCAGCCAAAATGTAACTCCATAATACCAGCCTAGTTCGGCAAGGGTGGAAACTGGACTTTTATAGTCAGTTAACTGTCTTGCCTCAGGAGCGTCCGCCTCGGGAAGATGCTAAATGGGTGAACTAGCAAAGGTATATTGTTGTTCTGTTGCAGTCCTCTTTGACTAAAATTGAAATTTCCAAGTCGAGATGGTTTAGCAAAAATGCTAAATCGTTTTAGAATCATTTAGACTGGTGCTCAAATTTCACTCAGGGTTCACTGTGAGTGCCTGTTGATATCTCAGTCATCCCACACTGAATATTCATGAATAATGTCACATATGATATTGGGTCAATATTAGGTATTAAACATACCTGATCGTCAAGAACAAGTGCTTCCTTTACGTAGAACTTCTTGACAAACTTGGAGTTGTCTGCGATACATTTGAGATAACTCTCCAAGAGGTTTTCATTCAGAGCCATGAAGATCCATGCCCTCCCTATGACACAAAGATGGATGTTACCATAGTTACGTTGTATAGTTAATAAAGAAGGGTCATTGTCAAGGTCATTCGTGACGAACTCGTGTTATTCCAGGACAAGCGGAATAGCGACTTGTGCCCCTCTCATGGCCATTTTTGCGACCGGGTTCTGTCTTAGCGCAAACGGGCATACCTAAAATTATTGTCAACTCGTTGCGTAATGGTTCACATATATTTCCCCAAATATTATATATATTTTAGATGCAATTTAAAGCACATCGGGACATGCAGAATTATACAGTATGATTGACCACATTTAACTGTGTTTGGGGTATATTTTTAGATGTAAGATATATGATAAATCAAAAAAAAATTCTGAGGGATTCTTTGACGAAGAACTTGAAATCATACACGGATTCTGATTGGTTAGTCATATTTTCCCACATAACATTCATCGATAGGGGGATGAGTCTTCTTGCAGGTTATGGAAATGGGCGAGTGGCGACGAATGTGTCAAGGTTCATCATGGATTCAAAACCCCAGCAACTATGGCACATTGCAGTGCCTCAGACACAGCGCCACCTATGTCCATGAATTAACATTAAACCAACAGGATAAACACGGCAACGTCTGTCGCAGATAAATTGAGAAAGATAATATCAAAACTAAATAAGTGAAATATTAAAACATTTTACCTCTTCCCAGATCCGTGGTAATATTCTGGATTCTCTCAATATCCTTTATGGCATTTTTTCTGGTGAACTCGTTCACCATCCTCCAGTACCCATGGGTCACATGGCGCAACCTAGAAACATGAGACTGGTGAGTCAGTAGCCGCCTAGTCATGTCCTTCGGTTCACTGCACTGCCATGAGTAATAGCTGCACATTTCATAATTACATTTGTTTTTAAACATGTTGACAAACACGACACACCCAATTCTGTTTTGCTGAATATGTATTTCTCAACTATACTCACATAATTTTCATTATTCATATTGTTAGTTTGAGAAATAGAGAATCTCACCCGAGAGTCTTTTGATATCAAATATTTCAACATGAGATAATTAAAGTTGAAAAACTCTGAGGCTTGCTGATATCAAAAGACAAGAGGGTGAGATTTTATTTATCATCCAACATCATTCTTCCAACTTTTTCAGTTTGTAGACAGTAATAAGCAGTGTCTTAAGTGTTAAAAGTACTTCTAACAGCTTCAGTAGCAGAGCCATTAGTGATGTCATTTTATTGTGACATCACAACATGTGAACCCCAGAGAGCAAAATAATATTGATGACCCAAAGAAAACTATCAATACCCAACGTGAATGATAACAAGGAAACCAATGGCTCCATGACCAATAAAATCTATGATAAGTTTTTCTTACCCATGCAGGAGAGCGTGATCCAGATGCTCGCATAGCTTGTGACACTGCCAATCAGAGTTAGTCAGGAGGATACTGCTTTCCTGTCCACTATAAAACTGGTACTCCTGAATCTGCAGCCAATGGAGAGACAGAGATTTAAACATGCTGTCAGCGTCGGGGATTCTCACATGCTGCAAACACAGAAATTACTACATGTATGTCTGCCATATACCATTTATCTTACGAGTTATTTCAGAACATATCTATCGAGCAAAAGCGAGTTAGATATGTTTTGAAACAAGGAGTTGTAAGATAAATGGTACATGACAGACACAAGTGCAGTCATCTGTGTCTAACACACCTAAAATCACACCTTTTAGCATCAAATCAATGTATATTTTGTCTATTCTCATGATCGCAGTGGCGCATTAATACATAACAACTGTCATGAGTGACGTCATCCAGCATACTGCTGACTACTCAGCCATATCTCTGGATTATCACGGCAATGATGATGATACAAACGAGATAGCATCAAAGCATAATTTTTAAATTTTCAGTGCAGACAAAGGTGAATCTGACTGAAGCACAAGGAACTTATCAGTCGATTACAATCAGGGAAGTAGTCCTAACCTGACCCTAAGCCAGGGACCTGGAATTTGATCTCACATGTTTCATCCCAGTTATCTCACATGGGTTTCTCACCCACAGGTGTGTACAAGCAATTGCAGTACAATTACTTCTCACACACATTTACCGCGGTTTCAAGTACAGATGAAGTAGACTTTCCAATTGTTTGCATCTGATATTCTTAAATTTGACATCTATACATGATGCTACAGTTGCCATTTTGAACAACACACTTTTCTGCAATTCAAACATCTTATGTATCTAAACCATCCCTGTGATCATCTGCCCAGAGAGAGGAAGGTCCGTGGTTCAATCCCCTGGCTTCATCATATCAAAAGATGCAAAACATTTTAACAGATGAATACACAATGCCATTCAGAAAGTGGTCAAATGTAACAGATGCTATATTTGGGATAACACTTTCTTAGTAAAGTACAGCTTCTCGTACTATTTTTGTGTGGATTCGAACACACACTTGCCAGAGTGAGGCACCTAATCACAAGCACACAAAGTCAGCGATCTAATCCACCGAAGCCTCCACAAAAATGAAGTCCGACAACTGGTTGTCTAGATCACGTACTTTGTGCACCCCTCTGACAGGTGTAAATTGGCCTGGCTCCCATGGCCGAAAGCTATGAACACACAATGCCATTTAGAAAGTGGTCAAATGTAACAAATGTTATATTTGAGATAACACTTTCTTTGTAAAGTACAGATTCTCGTACTTTTTTTAGGTTGAGTCCCGTCCGGGATTCGAACCCACACTTGCCAGAGTGAGGCACCTAATCGCCAGCACACAAAGTCAGCGATCTAACCCACTCAGCCACCGAAGCCTCTACAAAAATGACGTCCGACAACCAGTAGTCTAGATCACATACTTTGTGTACCCCTCTGACAAGTGTAAATTGGAACGGCTCCCATAGCCGAAAGCTATGAACACACAATGCCATTTAGAAAGTGGTCAAATGTTCAAAGCTTCTGATCTAAATGCTAACAAGTGCTATGTGCACGAGCTGCTGGTGGTTCCAGAGAATCTGATAATCACAATAAGAGTTCAAATGATGGGCAAAAATGACGAAAATCTGAACAGTCAGTACTCATACATGACTTACCCATTTCAATTTATCCCTTGAATTGAAATTTCTGCATGTTTTTGAAAAAAGACCATTTACACTATTCCCATTCACATTAACTTCAGGTACTTTTCAAGGACCCAATAAATGAAACATGCACACACCTGGACAAATCCTGCTACACTACTCATCAAAACAAACATACCCTGATTAAAAACAGGACAATGATAATTTTGAGTACATTTTTAGATTACCATCTACAGCCGTGGGGACGCTTGTCTTGACACATGTATGCTTGGTTATATGGGGAAGTTTGCTGTGAACAGTAAGTTATATGGGGAAGTTTGCTGTGAACAGTAGGTTATATGGGGAAGTTTGCTGTGAACAGTAGGTTACATGGGGAAGTTTGCTGTGAACAGTAGGTTATATGGGGAAGTTTGCTGTGAACAGTAGGTTATATGGGGAAGTTTGCTATGAACATGATGAACAGTAGGTTATATGGGGAAGTTAGCTGTGAACAGTAGGTTATATGGGGAAGTTTGCTATGACAGTAGGTTATATGGGGAAGTTTGCTGTGAACAGTAGGTTATATGGGGAAGTTTGCTGTGAACAGTAGGTTATATGGGGAAGTTTGCTATGAACAGTAGGTTATATGGTGAAGTTTACTGTGAACAGTAGGTTTTATTTAGGGAAGTTTGCTATGAACAGTAGGTTATATGGGGAAGTTTGCTATGAACAGTAGGTTATATGGGGAAGTTTGCTATGAACAGTAGGTTATATGGGATAGTTTGCTTTGAACAGTAGGTTATATGAGGAAGTTTGCTGTGAACAGTAGGTTATATGGGGAAGTTTGCTATGAACAGTAGGTTATATGGGGAAGTTTGCTGTGAACAGTAGGTTATATGGAGAAGTTTGCTGTGAACAGTAGGTTATATGGGGCAGTTGGCTATGAACAGTAGGTTATATGGAGAAGTTTGCTGTGAACAGTAGGTTATATGGGGAAGTTTGCTGTGAACAGTAGGTTATATGGGGAAGTTTGCTATGAACAGTAGGTTATATGGGGAAGTTTGCTGAATTTGATTCACTTCCTGAAATCATCATCATATTCCTGCTTGAGTCATGGTTGTCACTCGAACAAAGTGTCATTCCATATTCTGCTGCTTTCATAACGGCATAACAACAAACTTCACAGGCAGACTATGACGTCAGCATGTTTAGTCACTGGTCCAAAGCCCAGGTCCAAATAGAAAGTGTGTGAATGTGTCTGTCTGTGGGTTCCAATCCCGGTTGGCCCCGTTTATGTTTCTAGGTTTGTCAGCACCATACCCGTGCTCGTGGGTTTCACCGAAGTGGTAATCGTCTGAGACCTGCATCACTTGAGGCCTTCCTCCCACATTAAGCTGACACGCCGTGATATAACTGGAATACTGTTCAAAGCGTTGTTAAACCCAACTCACTCACTCACACTCACTCATATCTTTCAGTTAAGTCAGTCATAGTAATACTGACAACAAGCCAACCAGTCCTTGTTTTATCCCCTTTGTGCCGAACATCAGACAGGACAACTAGTACCATCTAGTGACGTCTTCTGGTATGATGCGGACAGGGGATCGTAACTGACCTTCAGCTCTCTCAGGAAACACTCTATCCCCTAAACCATGGAGGCAGTCCATGTGGTAATAATTAGTTTTGAAGTAAGTATGATTACAGCATAGCTGTACACTTTCATAAAAATACACCAGGAAAAATAATAACATGAGCTTATATTTGCAATGTATGTTATTTTTTCTTCATAAATGTAAGGTACCTTCTGTACAGTGAGTGAGTATTGTTTAACACAGCTTTAAGCAAAATTCCAGCAATATCACAACGAAGGACACCAGAAATGGGCTTCTCACTTTGTAGCCATGTGGGGAATCAAACCCGGGTCTTCGACATGACGAGCCAACGCTTTAACCACTAGGCTACCCCACCGCCTGACTTTCTGTATATAATGATATATACTAATAACTTAAATGAGAGTTTTTTTGTTATTTTAGTTATCGTCCAACTGCTTTGAAATTATGTCACACATGCATGTACACAAAATGGCGGAGAAATCAAAACAGATGACACTCTTTTTTCTTTAATTGCAAAGTCTGAGAAAGTTCTACTGCAAATGATATGAAAAGTAATGTATAAAGTTCTCTACTTAATGTTCCTTATTCAGCATTGTTCAATATTACTGATGACTGATAAATATCTTTTTGGCAGAAGCTGTTTCACAAGGTGTTGTTCCCGGATTGTGCAAGCGATATTTTATATGAAACTACTGAAGAGTCTTCAAAACTCTGATTGACCCCATGGTGGGTATTCTTCTCCACTTTTGCTGCAAATGCTTGTGGGTGTATTATCATCAGCATTAAAAATGAACTTATGTTTTGCAATAATGCTTAAACCATAACAACAGTTACTGTTAGGCCACACTTTCTTTAATATTTGCTTTATGGATTTTTTACAGGACATTACCTTTCAGTAGATGGGGAAAATAAAAAGCAAAGCAATTTGTTTTAACCAGTGCAAACCTGACGAATCAAGCAAGAATACTTTTGTACATGATGCATCCTCATTAACATGATTAAACTCTCATGTTTAATATTTGTCAACTTCAGTGGGTTCTTGTTTTGAAATATTTTTCATGTACAATCCAATCAGCTTTCATTGGCAGGATAACAAAAAGAGCAAACTCAGAATGTTAATTTTCCCATTTGTGGCCTTAGCATGGTTAGAAAACCTTCAATGGTAGTTATTCAAAATAAACTTTAATAATAAATTTATTAATAAATAAGTATTAAGTATAATATAACTTCAATGCTCTAAATGACAAAAATATTAAACTATAAATACTTTGTGGGTTGTTTCCATTTAGTATCACTATGGAAACAATGTTTGATCTAATATTGTAACTGTGCTTGTGTCTAGTTTCATGTTTCACAATTAATATAAAGTTATTCAAGGAAGACCATGCTCCATTGTTCAATGATTATTTCCAGCCTTGACATTGAAGTAAGTTCCTTGTGTGAAACCAACACGATTACCTCATACAATAAAGAGTTCGAAAACCACTAAAGTGTTGTTTGAACAACTTGAATCATTCTTGCTAGCCTTCCGGTTCCTTAGCTGCAACTACCTCAATAACATATAAACAAAGAAAACTTTCTATTTGTAACTCTCAGTTAAAAGTTGAAACTGGGGGCATTTAATGCTTACATTTAATTCAGTTTTTAACCTTCTAATGTTTTTTTCTACTTAATTTCAACCATAAAGTTATTTTACGTTATATTTCTTTGATAGTTTTTCCTTCATTTGGTTTTAGGCTTTGCTAAGAATTGAATGTACACATCTATTCATAATAAATTTTACATTGTTTTACATGTTTTATGTGATATTACATGATAATTAGGTGCACACATGTAACAAGGACTTATCAAGCAAGGATTCTGAGCTAAGTGCCCCTGGCAGGGCAATTTAGGTAAAAAACAGTTACTTTTTCTAAACTGGCATTGTTTTAAAAGTTCGGAGCACCTTTAGAATACAGTACCACAACTTCTCGTGAGGACGATCTCTGCCGTAGGTCACATGTCTCAAGACAAGCAACCAGTTTTGTGTGAGAATCCGTCGGACTCGAACCCGTGACCTTCAGATTGTTAGCCTGACAGCTAACCGACTGAGCTACGTCCACACTGTTAAACTTAGTGCAAATTTACCTAGTCATGCTATGACGTTACGGAACTGAACGAAAAGGGTCCAATAGGTGACGAACACTTACGAAGGTTACGGATAGGCATGGTGTCTCGCAACTTTAGACACTTACGAATGATCCCGATGCCATTTGGCACACTTGTCCCATTCCGTAATCTACAAGATACCGATTGGTGGGGAATGAGCCGATATGCCGCGAACTGAAAACGGCTCCAGGCGTCAGACGTCGAACTTGCGAGTACGCATGAATGATATGGTTTTTAATAATTCGTCGGGTGATTTTTGTGATAGAAAAGTGTGGTAGGGAACACTGTAAGGATGATGTGGATAATAGTAAGGAACAATGGAGGAATAAGCATGACTAGTGACGATACAACGGTGAGTTCGCTTTTGAATCAGTACTGAAAAAATGTAGCCGGTGAAAGTGGCTTGTGTGAATGTTCCACGACAGTTTCCAGTAGCCAAAATATTCGACACAAAACCATTTCATCTTTTTTACTCGACGTTTTTGTGTGAAGAATATTAGGAGCCGCTTTATAATCTATAATAGCCACTAATCAAGTACCTAACCCTAATGATCGTAAAGGGGTGATTGATCGTAAAGGGGATCCAAGTGTTAAGGATAGACTTCGGGTAATCTAATAGCCACTAAACGGGTTCCTAACCCTAATGATCGTAAAGGGGGTGATTGATCGTAAAAGGGATCCAAGGGCTAAGGATTGAGAGTTCGGGGTAACCTATCCTAAAACTGGCGACATTCGGATGTGTTCAGCGCCAATATAATATCCCTAATAAACTGCATTCTTGTGCATAATAATGAAAATTAATGAACCGAAAAAATAATATATGTATATCATTGTATATTAGTTCCCATTTATAACCATTTTATCCACTTAAATTACGAGAAAAACGAAATAAAAAATATATAAAAAATAAAAATGGTTTCGTAAACTAGCGCTTGCTCTAAAATGCGCCACTGCAGGCTATAATTAGTAAACAAATACTCAAAACTCTCAACACCGCAGGGCATATTCAATGGCATTGCGTGTAGAGATGATAGATCACTAGGAGGAGCTTATGCACACTCGATGACCCCTGACGTCACTGGGCATTGTTGCGCCGGTGTGACTGGCACCAAAATACTACAAATTACGTCATAGGGTATGATCACGTGTTTGAAAAGTTTGTGGTACTGTATTCTAAAGGTAGGCCAAAAGTTCTTTTTCTTTCTTTAAATTAAGCATTATTTTAACATGTTTAAATTTGTACTTGAGATTGCATTCAACATGTTTAATCTAATATCAAAAACTAAGCATTAAAACCTCTTCTTCATTATCATGTTTATTGGTCCTGTTATCACTGGTTATCAATGAAAAACAGGTTATGTTTTCAAAGCCATAAATATTGTCATAAGTTATAACATGAATTTTGAATTTCTTTGACATTTGCTGCAGACTTGGAGACAAATACCGGCCTTGAGCAGGTGCAGATACACCCCTGCATGCTATCTTTGACTTAAACTGTGTCAAAACTAACCATTATGATGATGATAATGAGAGAGGCTCAGTGTTACAAATGACTAGGTCATCTTTTTTTTTAGCTGTATAGGCCACCTAATGCAGTAAGTCAAGGTCATATATGGCCAAACCAGTTCGTGTCATGCATTACTCTAGAAATGGGAATTCTGCATAATGCAAATGATCCAGGTAACAATCATCAGAAAGAATCATAACCTCTGAATGAACATGTTGAGTAAGAATGCAGATCTGATCAGTGATCATAACAGTAATCATACACAAAAGTCATCAGTATTCTGCGTGAATATACTACTACAGAAAAGGATTAGGCCCAATAACGAGGTTGAGATCTAAAGACAGAGATTTTATTTACCAATACTTCCAGTTAAAATAGTTCCTGGAAACAACGTACCTTAAGTCTCAACTTGTCAAAATATAAAGGATTTTAAACGGAACAATGCATTAACACTTGTTGGTTGAAATTAAGTATTAATCATATAAAATCATGTTCAATACACAGTAAAGCGTGTGGAATAATTACATTTTCTTCATGAGTAAATAATTAGCCAGATGACACAATATTTTTCTCGTCCTTTGGCTGGTCATGTGATATGCACGAGAAATCATTATGATTCAGCAACAGTCAACAGACATATCACCTTTGACACAACTGCGATGTACGATACTTACAGCTTTGATTGCTTTCGCAATGTTTGAAATGATCCTATCCTTCAACCTCATCCGATCTGATGGGCTGGACATTGTCAAACTCAGCTGTTATGTTACGTTAATTCATGTCTGATGTCATATATCGTCCATTGATGTTTTCCTTGCAGATGACATTTAAATCGAGTTCTCCTTACAACTTGTAATAATCGTGTAATATTGTAAGCGCCCTCTGTTGACGATAAAAGTGTTTTGTCCTTTCGTTTAAATCAATTTGCCTGTTTTGAAAGAATCGCAGAATTTGTAAACTTATTATTAACTACTAACCATTAATTAATGAGTTTGTAGGTTTTTTTACTCAAAGGTGATATGTGTGTATTGGTTATAACGCCTTTTATTTTTTTAAAAGTTGGTTAACAAAATCTTTGGCGTAAAATTTAATCTAGGTGGTCGAAAAGAAATAGGTTAAAAAAATCAAGTTCCAGATTAGTACTGCTACTACCAAATGACAAACAAACAAGTTTTATCAAAAGCAAGATACCTAAATATAATTGACTGTTGTTGTTTTTAGTTAGATTTCGACCTGAACCCGATTCTTTGGACGGTGTTGTTTTCACATAGGCACATTTCGACCAGATACAGGTATATTCCGTCTGCTTGAGTAAACCTACACATATAAACACTTACTTGTGACAAATTAACATTGATTAATCAATTACCGTATCATTGGATAATCCTTCTATCGATGACTTTTTGCATCACGACTGACCATTCCTCTTGATGTGCCGCGACGCAATATTACATAACATGTAATACATTCACCACATCAGGCCTGGATTTCCATCCCAAGCTTAGATCACAACATCCCCAGTGTCACACATCATTACCGGGTCATTGCTACAAGTAAGAATAGAAACTATTAATGTTTCAAAATCATATATATTTTCGTAAGAAACGGATTCGCTTTTCGGGGTGTGAGTCATCCAGTTGATTTAGTACGAGGGGTGCGGATGGCCCAGATCCCAAAACAACAATACGCATATTATCTGGAAATCTGCAGTGAAGCGCCCAATACATAGCTTTCTACCTGTACGTATATTTATACGGATCTCCGTGGGAACGGATTGTCCAGTTCCCAATGCTGGGGTTGGCAATGTTACAATTTTTCAAACTCCTTTAATCGCTAAACATGCCATAAATCCTTGATTAAATGGCATTTTTGTAAGAGACTCGATATCTTTTGCTCACAAGTCAACTCTTCTCTGAGAGGTTGTTGTTGTTGGTTTGTTGTTTAACGCCGCACTCAGCAATATTCCAGCTATATGACGGCGGTCTGTAAATAATCGAGTCTGGACCAGACAACCCAGTGATTAATATCATGAGCATCGATCCACGCAATTGGGATTGATGAGATGCATCAACCAAGTCAGCGAGCCTGACCACCCGATCCCGTTAGTCGCCTCTTACGACAAGCATAGTCGCCTTTTACGGCAAGCATGGGTTGCTGAAGACCTCTTCTACCCCGGAATCTTCACGGGTCTCTCTGAGAGGTAGCGTCGAACATGTAATGTACAACACCCAGCATCAGTGTGTCCACCGAACAAATGTTGCTGGAGGATCTGAGACATTTCCCCCCCCCCCTGTATTTTCTTTCAAATTATATATTTTATAAGTACCAATTTATTGTTATCTTAATGGTTCTTTATCACAACGCCGATAAGTTGAACATGCCAGCAGAGACCATAAAAAGACCAATTTATGGTCTTTGATGTCAGGTACATTGTGTGTGTCATCTTGTTATCAAAGAGTGAGTGAGTTTGATTTTATGCCGCTTTTAGCATTATTCTAGCAATATCATGGCGGGGGACACGGTAAATGGGCTTCACACATTGTACCCATGTCGGGAATCGAACCCGGGTCTACGGCGTGACGAACAAACGCTTTAACCACTGGGCTACCCGACCGCCCCTGTTATCAAAGAGACAGATTGGTGCTTTATTGTGGTAGAAGTACATTATTTATCTGTAATTGTACAATATACATATGAATTATTGATGAAAAATTGCATTTTCATTTTTATCTATAACTATCATGATTTGAGATATTTCAAAGTGTGTACATTAAATTCGCATCGGTCGGCGACAGCCGGTGACTTCATTTCATAAATGAGATATGTTGGAAGGAATATATTATCTTTTGTATACGGTATTAAGCGTAAGAGGAAAAAAGTTACGTTTTAGAACATTTTCTCCACCTGAGGTTTTCAGGTAACTTTGATTATATGAGTTGATAAAAGCTTATGAAGAAACATATTTTGCTTTTTTGTTTAAATAATTAAATAGGAACGCCAATAAATACTCACGAAAGAATGACTTATGATCTAAACTTTGAGACTGTCACTAAACGAATGGTACTTCAGATAAGTACTATTCATTACCTTGACCTTGGGTTTTCATAAATTGATAACTAAATGTACAAATGGATTAGAATTGAGATTAGCGTGTGTTTACTAATTAAAGAGACAGAGGCATTTCAATTACTTCATGTTATATCTGCATATTAGAGTCATTGGTTGTCTTCATGTCGTATTTACAAAAATAAAAAGTGTTTACAATGACAATTATACAAATGTTATATTTTAGATCCCTCTTTTTGAAGAAACCAAAGTGACAACATGGCTGACCTCAATAAAAGTCTGCAAGATTACCTGTCACGATCATCGTCATCTAATTCACTTCCAAAGAGTGAAAGTACATCATCGAGTTTATCATCAGGATTTACGGGATTTGGATTGTTTAAGAAACAAAATGTTGACGAACCAAGCCCTACTGACACATCTGGGAACTGGTTCGCCCAGGCACAGAGCGATCCTCTGTTGCCAAGTTTGGTTAGTATTTGTCATATTTGTTTATTGTCAGTCAAACATATGTCGTAAATTATTTAAGGTGAACAGCAGAACTCTCCAAACAAACACACATTTACGGATGACACGTTCGCATAAAAACAGTGTAATGTAACCATGGTGACGGCTGATGACCAAATGACGTGTTATTATGATGCGTAAACTTCAGTTTTACAATATTTATGTTATTAATTTGATTTTCTGAAAAGACATGTGACATTGTGAGATGTTTTCGAAGATTTCTTTATTAAGATACATAATTCAACACTCCCAAAACCATAATAATATGTTACAATGGCCATAATATTTGGTAGGTTTTATCAACTACTTAACCTGATTGTTAACCCCTGATAACTTAACATGCTTCTGGTGTTGATTGAGAACACATTGTACATCATGTATGATTATGAACACATCTGATAATCAGATAATGCTTGTAGTTATCCTGTTCATATGCTTTTGTTTCCTTTTCAGTCAAAGAAGCAAAGAATTCTAGGATTTGTAACATGCTTACTATTGGGGACATTCTGTATGTCACTGGTGAGGAATTTACCTTTTAGTCTCTACTCTCTCTGCCTATGTTATGAAATGTGTGTCAGTTGGAGTTTATTGAAGACTTGCAAGCCAATCAGCTCTTCTCTCTCAGCATGCTCAGTGGGACAGGAAGAAAGATATTTGCTGGGCGCTTCACCCTGTTCACTGCAGAGCTCCAGATAAGCTGTATATTGTGTTTTTAGTCATGTAAAGGGGATACCAACCCATTATACATGTACAGATCATAATATGCTGCTTGACAATAGTGCTGTATATACAGACACAAAATTCATATTATATTCATACATGGCATAGATCACTGTAGATTAGAAAACTTGACAATACTTCATCATGTTTATGTACTGCAGTGGTTGGTCATGACTTGTGAATTGATTATGATTTTGTATCTTATTATTTTTTATATCCATAAGAGATAAAGCAGTGAGCATGGTGAGTCAAATCAAAATATGTTTAAGACTATTTTCATTTTATTTTCTGATCAAATGATCATGGTTGGTTGATACTGAAACAGAAAAATGTATAAAAGTTTCATCTACATTTTACCATGTTTAAGCATGCTGAGGCCAGCGCAATGTAGTGTACTGTGATGATTTTTCTTTATCAGGTTGATAATGTTTACTCACCTGTATCATATATGTTTCAGGCGAGTCTCTACATACCATTGCTGATCATGAAAGCAAGGAAATTTGCTTTACTATATTCTCTTGGGAGCCTGTTCATTATTTCCAGGTGAGAGCTAAAGTTTGTGCCATTATTCATTGGACTCCCTCAGGTTTCATTTTTTTGTATTTTCACTTGTCCGCATAAAATGATCTACTTCAGAGTTGCCGTTTACCTAATGGTAAAAATGGTAGTCCACTGGGAAATGTCCCTAGTTCTTCCAGGCTTTTATTAGTGATTATCAGATTATGCTAAATTTAAGCCCTGTCTGTCAGGATTTGAGGGTAGAATTTGTCCCAAGTAAGCTATGGTTCATGTGAGAGGCGATAGGCTCAGTGACATGGTGGACTGCATGTCATCATTCCATGCTGATGAGGGATGTTGCTCATAATGTCAACCACTGGTTTGTCTGACCCATACTCAGTAATTAACAAACTGTTGTGATACAGCTGAAATTGAAAATTCCATGCGAGTAGCTTGACTCAAATTACCCCTTGTAACATTCATAAAAATCTGAAGGATTTTACAAGTGAGGTGAAATTGGGTTTAACATGTTTAACGTGCGTTCAAGATTATTGCTCTCAAATAGCGACGTGCATGCACATGTGTGTGGGTGTCGGTCTGCTTCCAGTAGTGCAGATTAATGCCGGTTTTATAGTGTGAGCCCACTGAGATACCATGCCCCACTCAGACACAGTATACTGAGCCAACCAGTCCTTGTTTTAGCCCCTTTATGCCGAGTGCCAGGAAGTACAATCTTTTGATATCTTTTGGTATGATGTGTCAAGGGATCGAACCACTGACCTTCTGCTCTACCACTAGGCCATGGAGGCAGTCAAGCCAACTTGAACTTTTCGTTAAACAAAAAACAAATTGCACAATCATATTTACATTGTGATGGCTTAATGGCATGGGCAGTTTCGTGAAATTATTCCATCATCAAGGTAAATTATAAGGAAAAAAAGTTTAGTCAAACAAAGCCAATTGGTGTTTTAATAACAATTCAGCTAGATAATGCACAGTCAAAGACAAAGGAACCATGGTTTTTAGTATTACCATATTCGACGTAATAAGCGCCCACGGCGATAATTGCTAATATATTGGCTATTGAACAATCCCAATTAGCTCCCCTTCCGATTGATCAATGTATACAAGACTTATTCATTCGCGTATAATACGCACTCGTGTGTTATATGCACCCTTAATTATGGGCAATTAAATTCTGGAAAAGTATATCTGTCATATATAACATTTCAGGCTGTCAGCATAAACCACGAAATTTATCTTTCAACTCTGCTTTCTCCACCAAAATAATATTCTAATAAGAGCCCCCTATTTCTAATTTTGGGAGTGCTCTGGGCGTTATTATGTCATATACGGTATTACACTATTACACGTTTGTTGTAAGACAGTAACCATGGTAACTGTTGTATTTCTCCCTAGCTTCTCCTTCCTCTGGGGCCCTGTTCATCATGTGAAGCATCTCTGCTCACTTGGAAGGTTGCCTTTCACAGCAGCCTATTTTGGAACCATGGTGTTAACACTGTACTTTGCTATGTGGGTGAGTGCATCATGTATATCAACACGGTGAAAAGGATGACACGCAAACAATTTGTACTCCAGAAAAAGTGAATAATCAGTGTGTTGAAAACCCTCTTGATTATTTATCTCAATTCTTTTTTATTCCATTTATTCTAATCTATTTAATTCTATTTATGATAAAAATTCTGGTCACATGCACTGCTAAAGCTTCAGGTGTGGTGCCTAGTTCGAAAGATATGATGTAATAAAAGTCTTTTTATGATTGAAATAAGGCTAGATACTATCATAATGGAATGAAGATATAGTATCCTGGACAGTCAAGGATGAGTTGCATCCCTTAGTAGTACCAGAATCCAATGATTGTTGGTTTGAATCCCAGATTTGCCCTGATTATGATTCTTGATTTGTTGGCACCTTATCCGTGCTTGTGTTCTTCAAGTGGTCCACATCTTTGTCCTGTGTTACTTCAGCCTTTGTTCCCTCACCAAGCTGACACCTCGGGATACAGCTGACACACTGTTAAAATACACACATGGGGCGCTTATTAAATCCATACACAAGTTAAAACTTGTTGTCAAGAGATTGAGCAGTACAAAATAAACTCATTTTGACATCGATGAAACTAAACATTTTCGATATTACAAGGCAATTATTATCCTTTCTACACTACTGTGTTTCTGTGAAACATCGGAAACAAACAAGTACAGACTGTCATCGTGGTCATGCAACTGTTCAGACTTAGATTACTTACAGATTGGTTGAGAAATTGGTTAAGGGGGTGCTTATTGGAATGTTATGAAGACATTGATAGATATTGTAAGAACCTGTATGTATAACTATCCTGTAACACATATTTTTCTTACCTCTGCAGGTGAAGAGTACAATATTTACAGTGCTGTTTGCCATTGCTCAAGTCATTGCATTAGTATGGTGGGTACCATTTTGTGTATCTGATATTTATGTTGGATACGTTTCGTAGGGCAGGGATACAGTCACTGATACAGAACGTAGGACACAAGAGGACACACTCCATTATATTAGCAATGCTATCTGTCTTCATGGCTATATGAGGCATTGGTGGCTCAGGCATCTATTAGTTGTGCAGAGTTGCATCCCTTAGGCACTCCAGGAAACTATCATCGTGGGTCTGAATCCCTGATTATGTGTACTTGGTTTGTCAGCGCTATGCCTGTGCTTGTGGGTTTCACCAAGGTGTTAAAGGGCACAGGTTTTGGAGCATTCAGGGTGCTATAGCATGTATCAGTGTTGTTATTCCTGATATTCACCATGGCAACCACTGACTTAAAACCCAATGTAGATTAAGACTGGCAATGATGGCACTTCCAATGGTCATTTGAAAACTACACTAAAAGATAATGAAAAAGGTCTGTAAGAGTTGTCTCCCTTAGAATACATTTAATACATACACATGTTCACCATTTTCAATGTGTTTATATGTTTATTTGTGTGAAAGTACATCTGTCACTAGTCTATATAGTAAACACTGTCAAACTGTATTGTTTTTAACATGGTAAAGAACCCATTATTTCTAAGTGTGTCCAATAGCACAGGACCCGTGAAGATCCGGGGTAGAATAGGTCTTTGGCAACCCATTCTTGCCGTAAAAGGCGACTTTGCTTGTCGTAAGAGGTGACTAATGGGATCGGGTGGTCAGGCTCGCTGACTTGGTTGAAGCATGTCATCGCTCCCAATTACGTGGATCGATGCTCATGATATCAAGCACTGGATTGTCTGGTCAAGACTCGATTATTTTCAGACCATCATCATGTAGCTAGAATATTGCTGAGAGCGGCATAAAACACCAAACCAACCAACCAACCATTAGCACAGAGAACTTATCTTAACCATGTCACTATTACTTAAACCGAGCCATGGGCAGTAAAATACCAGTCTGCGACATAAACCACTAGTCCAGAGACCAAGTCTGGTAAAATTGTGTTCGGTGGAGTAAGCTCAACTGATCAAATTCTATATGACATCAGTAAAATGTACAAAGAAATGCTGCTGACAGTTCAGTCAAGTGTTACACACAGACTGAAAGACAAGGAATTTCTAACCCTGAAATACAATCTCAGTGTTTTGCCATTATATTTTCTGTTGAAAAATACAGATACATGGAAAGAATACTCTAAATGTATGTTGTTTGTTTTCATTCATGATTGATAGTTAATTGATCAGTGATTTGCTTATTTTTACCACAATCAATCTTGAACCTTTTTCACCAATCCCCAACTCTCCAGCCTCCTCATCCTGCGTCCATGTCTTCACAGGTACATCATCAGCTACATTCCAGGGGGGCAGACGGGACTCAAATTCTTCACCAAAATATTTTACTCTGCGGCTTCAAAAACAGCACAGAAAACTCTTCCTATATGAACCATTGGGTGGTGGTCTTGACGGAACCAGCGTGGTTGTCATGGGAACACATGAAAGACAATTAGTTTCAGGCAACCACCTTGACACCACAAACTGCTCTGAAAGAAAAACAATTTTTGTGGGCTTCATTTTGTAATATATATGTATATGTATATGTGTGCCCCCAACTCAGAATGCCTGTCTGAAGTTGGCAATTTGGGTTGCATTAAATGTCAAATGCTGCACTGAGGTTTGCTGTTAAGGGTATTTCTTGGTGGTGTGTTGACTGGGTAGAACTATTTGTTTAATGTTTATCTTGGCTCTGTCTGGTTTTCATGCTGTCCTGGCATGTGATAAGAGACAACATTATACAGTAAATTGATGGAATCAACACCAGAACACTTACTTTACTTACTAACTTTAACCTTGAAAATATTTGTTTTATTTGGTTTGTGGATTCTCCGACCCAAAATACTGAGAAAAAATCGAAATACAATTAAAATATAAAAATCAGTTTCTAAAAAATTATTTTTATCACTGCCATTCCGAAAAACTTTTGAAGTAGAAAAAAGAATATTTCTAGAATCTCGCAACACAGTATCGAGACGACTTGCCATGAAAGAAATGCAGTGGTGACAGAGCGGTAGAAACTCCAGCCACAGCTGGGTTACCTTGCCTTGTCATGTCAGAATCTTATATATATTTTTCCCCAATGAATTGAACTTTTTAGGGGGGGAATCCATAAACCAGACAACAAACAAAAACTGATTATGATAATAGACACCATAGAACTTGGAGCAGAGACCCTCCTTATGATAACAATCACAGATATAACCAATATCATTAAAATCAGATCTTAGTTCTCACTATCGCTAAACAAAGATCTGAGGACATCCCATTATGGGTCACGTCAGAACGACCTTTCATCCGACCAATCAAAGCGTCGCTTACCAGATCATTAAAGTGGCAGTCGGAATGTGTTTTCTAATCATGCAACCTCGAAAAATGTTAACACGGGGTATTCCGAACAACAGTTACGGCCCGTACGACTGATCGTCTATCTCTCGTTTGCGTGGGATAAACATTTGAACAGAAGAGGCGTTGCACAGTACGTGGGAAGCATTGCCATACAATCGCAACGATATATAAGACATTCCGGAATGTTTGTTTGTTCAGTTTTCAAAATCTTAATCGAGAACTGTGTCAACATATTTTTCAAGAGTAGACTGAAATGGAAGTTGCCAGGTTGAAACGAGTGCCGTGAGGCTCGAGAAAGCTGCTTTCTAATAGGCTGATGTCGACTTCTTGTTAGTCGTTTCAGTGGGAGGTCAATGTTAGCGAAAGGTCGTTCTGACGTGGCCCTTAATGGGATGTCCTCAGATCTTTGTTTAGCGGCAGCGAGAACTTAGATCTGATTTTAGTGAGATTGCGATATAACTAACACTCTGTTATACATGGTATACCCTATGGGAATTGCACACTTTTGATACATACGGAAATGACAATTTTTCTTGGCTGTGGTTTGTGTACATATTGGAGAGAATACTGGTAAAGTAAGAGAATGTCCCAGTTGTGTATATTGTGTACATATATCATGAAATGGAGAAATATATGCTTTGTTTTTTATTGATCGATGGCTGTGTTTTTTGTTGAAACAGTTACATTCTGTGAAGTTGCAACATTACTACCAGTACTTGTCACTCAGTATTTTGTCTTTGTCACTGGTTCGTGTCCAAGATTGACAGAGACACTAACTCAGTAACCATGGTAACCATCAGAGACTTTATCTGGTAACTTTTAAATGCAAGTGTTATTCATATGAACAAAGATATGGAAGTCGAAATTGTAAATCAGTATTAAGCAATTGATTTTCATCAAATTTTGTGAACAGTTGACTTAAATATCAACATTTAATATTATAGGGAGCAACCTTTGTATTTTCAGGGGTGGTTCAATGTCGTTTCATGTTGAGGAGCTCAATTATTTATTCCAACATAAACTGGTGCTAATTATTTTTTTAATTCTTTGGACATTAGTCTGCAAGAAAAGGGTACTTCCTTTCTGTTCTACAACGGGAGCCACAATAAAAAATTGTTCGTGTAAAACAGTGGTTTGATTATTTTCTTAGAACACACACACATGAAAATTATATGGTTGCTCCCATATGAAGAGTGAGGAGGTTAGACTGTTGGCTTGTCAGACCATACACCTGGGTAGTCTGTGTGAAGACCGTTCATGGTTTCCCTCTGTTATTTTGTCGGGTCATTGCGAGGTGTGGTACAGGCGGGTAATGGCTCAAGGGGAGACAACTCGAACCTCTTGGCTACCCTACCGCCAATGATGAACATCTGTGTATGTACAAATGGGGGAGTATATGTGTTGTTTGTGGTGTATATGTACATGGAATAAAGTGTTATTATGTGAGGAGCCAGACTTCTTTTAACTTCTAATACTTATACCATGTATACTTTTTCATGGTATTCCCATTTCAAAATTTCATATTTGCCAGCTGATAACATTATTATAGCTCGCTTGATAGAAAATTAAGCCATTCTTAAATTTTGACTGGACATTATCTACAGTTAGGACTGAGCTGTTCGTGTCTGCATTTGTAACACAATAAAGATTATCTACACTGACAAGCTTTTATACAGCGGCAACACATCGATAGCCAAGATATCAGAACCCATCAGCCGATAGATGATACGGGAAAAGTATGGCCTTGTTATTATTAATATTTATATTTATATATGTAAATAAAACAACAAACAACATGAATATCAGTGTTTATATTGTTTATATATTATGAATACGTAACAACTTGTAATATGTGTGAAAAATCATACTAAAACACGCTTTTTGAAGGGGTTTGGCCTAAATGCAAATGTCCAATTGGGATTTTAAATTTTCCGGACCCCAGATCCAGACAGAAAAGAAAGTAGCCTTGGGATAATGGGCAGGCGTTTATTTTGCTTAGTGGTTAAAGCATTTGCTCGAGTTCAATTCCCCACATGGTCATATATGTGAACCCATTTCTGGTTCCCCGTGTGATATTGTTGGAATATTGCTTAAAGCAGCATAAAACCTCACTCACTCACTCACTGCAGTCACAAACACAACATAACTATAATTAGTCTACCCAAGGGACACCTGTAGGGCTATCTTTTTGTTTTTCTATTCGAAGAAATAAGCAAACTCCTAAACATGCTGAACATACACCGAACAAATGTATTTACCCCTCGTGATAACTTGTTTACTATTCATGTCAGTATTTGACACCGCAAATTGTGGCGCCTTGTGCGACAGAGAGCAATTAAACTAAGTCACAGAAATAATGATCGTGAAGCATATATTTCACAGCATAATTGCCGCTTCTATACATAGAATTTTCAGCAAAGCTTTTCAAACAAAAGAATGAATTATTGAATACACAATGCCATTTAGAAAGTTGTCAAATGTAACAAATATTATATTTGGGATAACACTTTCTTAGTAAAGTACAGATTCTAGTACTTTTTGGGGGGTTGAGTCCCATCCGGGATTCGAACCCACACCTGCCAGGGTGAGGCACCTAATCGCCAGCACACAAAGTCAGCGATCCAACCCACTCATCCACCGAGGAATAGTGGGTAAGTGAATTTGGTCTAAAATCGGTTTGAATAGAATTCATCTATTTCACTGTTGGTTGTGGGAGGACATCCCAAAGAGATGCAGTGTTTATTACCGACAAAAACCACGAGACTGCCTCTGAGGTCTAGCAGGAGAGCGTCCAGCCCGGAGAGCAGAAGGTCTAGAGTTTGATCGCCAGCTGCATCATACCAAAAGACATTAAAAGATGGTACTTGTTGTTACCCTGTCTGGTGTTTGGCATTTAGGGGCTAAAACAATGACTGGTCGGCTCGGAGTCCGTATACTGTGTCATGTTAAACTGCGACATGGTACCTATACCTAGCACTATAAATTGGCATCAGTCCGGACCAGTACCAGCAGCCACACACACACATGCTCGTTGCTATATAAGTGCAATAATCTTGGATGCGACGTTAAACCCCATTAATCATCCAAAACTGGCTCCCACAGGAGATATCGCTTGGATGAGATCAAGCGATATCTACACTGTAGATATCGCTGCAATGAAATTACATCACAATGCTTTGCAGACCATTGTGACATCACTGGTTACCATGACGTCACAATCAAATGACATCACTAATGGCTCTGCTACTGAAGCTGTTTGCAGTACTCTTTACACTGAAGACACTGCTAATTACTGTCTACAAATTGAAAAAGTTGAAAGAATGATTTTGGATGATAAATAAAATCTCTATTTCACCTCACCTCACCACGAGTAGGAGCAGGGTGTTGACAAAAATAAACAAATAATCAGGGCTATAAGTTTCCGGCTACTCAGCACAGGGCATTGTGGCACATAAGACAACAGAGGGAGCTATGATAAATAAAAAATGGATCCATATTTTGCATGAGGTTTTGAAAAATAAAACCATTTTTGTTGGCTGGACATGCCTCCCTACAGAGAAAGTCATCATGTGGTGAATCAGTGACTGCAAAGATGTTCTGTAATTACAATAATGTTCTTCACTTGGTCTTCTTGTTTACGCAAATCAAGAAAATGAATCTCAGTTATTGTTGAGTTCGCAGATCTCAATCAACGGAGTTGAACTTTCAGCTTGAGTGGTTTCTTTGGTGCGAAAACGCCTGTGACGACAAATTCTGTCAGCTCGTCCTGCAAATGACAAATTTTGGACAGTTATATTTGCCGAAAATATAAGGTGACGTACATGTTTTTCAGGTGAAATAAATCCAGTAAAATCCGAGGTATTTATTTATATTTGTATACTTATCCTGCATTAATCATTAATGCATTTACTGCTTGTTCTTGACAGATGATGCCCACGGCAAAAAGTTCAATGGAAGGTGTTTTTCTAAACATCACAAATTAAATTATAATTACCAATTCACCTTTAATCCTTAAAAGAAAATAGTTTAGGTTTAAGACCTGTCTTCTGATATCAAATATATCAACACGAGTAATAAAGTTTTAAAATAGTTTGTTCCAGCTGTTCTTACCGGTGTGTCCTCCAGTCTGACAAACTGGATCTTCCTCATCAGATGGATGAGAGCGACCTTCACCTCTATCAGGGCGAGCCTCATTCCGATACACTGTCGTGGTCCATGGCCAAATGGCTGATAGTGCATAGGGTTGATCTCAGACGTTTTTTCCCATCTGAAAAATATGTGTTCTGGTGGAATTAGGAACAATTTAATACAGATTGGAAGAGTGAAGTTGGGATTGATTTCAACCTCTATATTCTTTCTCGGCAGCGGTGCAGAGTATTCGTCAAGCTTGGTTTCACTGATACTACAGGTTCCAAATGCAACTTAAAGAGTGAGTGAGTGAGTTGGGTTTAACACCGCTTTTAACAGTATTCCAGTCATATCGCGGCGTGTCAGCTTAATGTGGGAGGAAAGCCTGAAGTGATGCAGATTTCAGACGTTTACCACTTTGGTGAAACCCACAAGCACGGGTATGGTGCTGACAAACCTAGAAACATAATTGGGGCGAACAGGATTCGAACCCACAATCATAGGTTTCTGGCGTGACCAAGGGACGCAACTCTGCACAGCGAATCGCAGCGCCTTAGATGACTGGTCTACCCATGCCCCCGCCACTTAAAGATGCAGACGGAAAGAGTAAGCATCTTTGAGAATAAACACATATTTAGCCTGTCTATATGTGGCGAAGCAATATTGATAGTAAGTTGTTTTACTGGGAAAACATAATTGGTCCAAAATTATATTGCCATTAAGCATTTACAGAGAAATGGACCGAACACTCATGTAATAAAGGACAAGCTTTTGTACAAGAACAAATAAGGGATCTATATTTTTACGAATAAAGTGCTTGTTTGTTGTTTAATGCCTCACTCTGCAATAATCCAGCTGTAGGCTAAAAAAAATAGTCTTGGTTCTCAGGCACCGCCCGCATCATCATAAAGTTTGCCGCACATTTCGTTTTTATTTCCCTTGTACATGTATTCCAGTATTTTACTCATCAAGGAATACATTTATGTAGGGAGGCCCTTTCCCAGATTGATTGTACACAACTGTTTATTGGTTACATACTACAGTTCGAACAACCAAAAAAGAAAAAGACACCACCCCCTGCACTATATTTTTAAAAACCATTGCCTGAGCACCAATTCTTTTATTTTTTTAAGCCTTATATCAGTCTGTTAATAATCGTGTATGGACCAGACAATTCAGTGATTGACATCATGAGCATGGATCCAGGCAATTGGGATATGATGACATGCAATGTACCGAGCCTGACCTCCTTATCCATTCAGACATCATGGGTAACTAGGGACTTATTCTTACCCAGAATCCCACGGGTGTATAAACGTAGTGATTGCTGCTACAACAATGGCCTACCTCTCAGGTTTGAATTTCTTTGGTTCTGGGTAAACCTCTGGGTTTCTGTGCATGACGACGATGGGGATGTTGATTAATGCCCCTTCAGGAAATGTCCATCCCTTGATTGTGGTTGTCTTGGACACGTAACGGTTAATTCTGATGTTAAGAAATCAAAATTCTTTGTCACAAGTCTTGTTTTGTTTGTTTGTTTTTTGTTTAAGGCCACACTCAGCAATATTCCAGCTATATGATGGCAGTCTGTTAATAATCAAGTCTGGACCAGACAATCCAGTGATTGACATTATGAGCATCGATCCACACAATTAGGATACGATGACATGCATCAACCAAGTCAGCGAGCCTGACCACCCGATCTCGTTAGTCGCCTGTTACAACAAGCATAGGCCCCTTTTACGGCAAGCATGGGTTGCTGAAGACCTATTCCACCCCGGATCGTCGTCACATGTCTTGAAAAAATGGGATATATTGGTAATATTACCATTGGGGCATGGTTATAGGTGAAAATATTTCCAGTAATTTTCCCTGGACATTATTCTGTTTGTTTGATTGTTTAACGCCACACTCAGCAATATTCCAGCTATATGACAGTGGTCTGTAAATGATCCAACCTGGACCAGACAATCCAGTGACTGACATCATCAACGTTTCTAGGTTTGTCAGCACCATACCCGTGCTCGTGGGTTTCACGAAAAGTGAAAAGCATGTGAGACCTGCATCACTTCGGGCTTTCCTCCAATATTAAGCTGAAACGATGTGATACAACTAGAATATTATTCAAAGCTGCGTTAAACCAACTCACTCACTCACTCATTATTTCATCATGTTTCTTTTGCTGCTGATAATGTAATGGGGCACAACATGACCCTAAAATAATAAAGTGTTATCTGATGTTATTAACCTGGGCCCGGTTCCACAAAGCGATCTTAGTGCAACGACTGTCATAAGCCTATGTTAAAGAATGTCATGTTGTCATCATCATCAAGCATTTTTGCATACAAGTACAGCTGGACCCTGTTCAACAAAGCGATCTTAGTGCAACGACTGTCATAAGCCTATGTTAAAGAATGTCATGCTGTCATCATCATCAAGCATTTATGCATACAAGTACAGCTGGACCCTGTTCAACAAAGCGATCTTAGTGCAACGACTGTCATAAGCCTATGTTAAAGAATGTCATGCTGTCATCATCATCAAGCATTTTTGCATACAAGTACAGCTGGACCCAAAGCTTTTCAACAAAGCGATCATACTGCAACGACTGTAGTAAGCCTATGTTAAAGAATGCGAGTTACGATCACCTTAGTGATACAATTGCCACGTGCAGTGGGTTTCAGATATACATATATATTAGGAAGGTGACTATATTGAGAAGAGGACACTGCAGTGGAAAGCAGCTTGTTTTCTGGTGTTACACTCGATATAGATCAAGGTGTGGAAAACCTAAAAGGTGACAAAAGTTGACTCACAATACTTCCTTGTTTCTTGAGCGTGATGTTTTGTATTCGCGTATCATAGTAATGTCTTGGAACTTAGATTTGCAGTGTTTCTGAGACTGTTCTCAGCCTAGGCCTTGAGATAATAAGAAACGAACTGTTCCATATACTTACCCTGGAACCACTGGGTAGAGTCTCAGGGTTTCGTTGATCACGTGATCCATGTACACCAATCCGTGGATATTGTCGTAATCAGGCTCGTTCTGAAAACAAAGAAACTGAACATGAACTACATGTATACTACTAAAAAAATGTTAAGTTCCGCCCGATTTCGGCATATTACTATAGCTGATCTGTCGTGCCATGCCATGACAGACTGACTATAGAAATATGAAAGAATCAAAAGGTCATAACTTTTTTTCAACACTGTACACCTATACCAATTGTCATCATTTTTACATTACATCACCAGATTTGTCACTTATGATGCATGGATAAATAACAGTAATACCATTGTCGATTTTCTTTAATAATTAACAATTTCTCAAAAGTGGAGTCTTGGCCATGACTTGTCTTCCTGGCTACTACGAATTATGTCCCTTCTAAGCCTCTCCTATGGACCAATAAAATTCCACCTCTCGTATCACTTGCATTTGCTTTGAACAAAATGGGGGCGCCCGGTCAGGACGATCTGATCGATGATCAAGCTCTATATTGTGATAAAACAATTACATCGCGAAATGCATCAAATCACGTGAGCACCGTGATTAAAGACATGAAAAGATGTGGAAAATATCTGTTGACGAGCTGGCGGTGCACATGCTTTGCAAATCCTGCAATAGACCGAAATCTACATGACAGTTTACGAACCGGATTTCGATTTCGTTGCGCGATTTTGATTGGACTATGCACAGACTCGTTAGTCCAGCCAAATTGTAACTCCATAATACCAGCCTAGTTCGGCAAGGTTGGAAACTGGACTTTTATAGTCAGTTAACTCTCTTGCCTCGGGAAGATGACTCTATGGATGCAATGACTAAAATTATTTCCCTTATAATGAATCCTAGGATTATGGTTCATGATAGCTCAGACAATGTTAATAAAATGTAGCTTTAAATTTTTTTTGCAGATATACTGGTAATTAAAAAGATATACTGAAAGCGTACATTTCCGAGTACTGAAGATATTTCCTCTGCAAGTTTGTCCTGCACACCGGGCTGTGTTGCCAGAATGTATGCAATATATTGCAGAGTGCTCGCCGTGGTTTCGTATCCAGCCAGGAAGAATACAAACGCCTGACCAATAACTTCATCCGTCGTCAGTGCTGGAGACAAATAATGTTATTGACATATCCATAGAGGTTATCACGCGAGTGTGTTTGGGGATGGTAAATATCCTGCATTAGGAATAAACATTGTATTTAGCGAGCCTTGGCGAGCTAAATACATAGTGTTTATTCCTAATACAGGATATTTACCATCCCCAAACACACAAGCGTGATAACCTCTTTATCATATAATGTCATTCTTTAGTTCTGTGCTTAAAAATCGCTTTCCCTCTCTCACAAACATAATCGAAACATTGCAAGTTTTCCTGCAATGCGCGCATTAATATTTATTACGTCAGAGGGTAAGTGACGTGTCAGTCGGACAGTGACAGTAGCCAATATAGTTCCAAATGAAATCTATTTCTTATACAGTGGCGAAGCGACATAAACGCAAAACAACAATTGTTTTTAATTGCCTTTTGCGGCAATCCATCGGTCTGTTCGCTAGAGTAACTGCCCTTTGTCAAAGGGAAGCTACTCTAACCCTAGTCTCTGAGACGTCACAGCCACAGACGTTGTTGACAGTCGGTCTGTCCTGTCATAACGTTAAGAAGTGTAGTCAGAAGTACACACAGCGACAAAACGCAACAAGGTAACAATTCACATATATTTCGGCCAAATCCAACTATTTTAATTTGTGGTGAAGGTTTCAAGCCGCAGAGGTCTACAAGCACAGATATGGCTACTGATCCCGCTTAGCTAGGCCTCGTGCCCTCGCAAAATTGTTTCGAAATTTATATCTCTTAAGTTGCCCAGACTTATAAAATGCCTTATCTACGTCACAGCTAGACACGGATTTTCAGTATATTAGACTGTTCTTTTGATAATGATAGCAATTATCCCTGTAGTTTATCCAGATTGCCGATGGTTAACTCTGACTCGATCCCCGAATGACGAGGGCGACGCCATGTTTGTTTATAAACAGTGAAAGTAGTCCCTACTTGACCTTTGATATTTGCATCTCTATCCGCATATGACCCCAACGGATATCGTTTTTATCCGTTGGCTTTATCCTGCCGAGAAACCTACCCGTTATATGATAAATGTAAATATTGGAACAGTTAGTGATTTCCCTTTATACATATATACATTTTATACATGAACCCTTATAGTGGAGTGGGGTTTGTGGGGGCTGGTGGTTCGTAAGTTCGCCACATGAAAAATAAACTGTCCGGCAAACGCCCATGTTTGATGGTGGCTATAAAAGAAACTAACAAGAAATGTTTTTTGATGGTGATGTATTGTATTCGGGTATCATCGTTATGTTTTGCACCTTATGTTTGCAGCTTTTCTGTGACTGTTTTCAGCCTAGTAATGTTTTGATAATGTTGATAAGTTTTTTGTTGGTCAAATCCAATTTTCCAGTGTGTATTTTCTTTTACCATGCAGTTTAATTCTCAGTGACTAACCATGTGTTTGTGACTGGTGTACCATTTGTTCCCGTGATTGTTCAGATGAACACTTGCCTTGCCGTTGCATGTGTTTGTGACTGGTACCACTGGTGGGCAGGATATGCTCACTTTTTCACAAACACGTGGTATCATCACTGTTTGACAGTGATTCATATGCTTATGGTGTCAGAATCGTACACTTGACTCTGACATCAGCAAATATCTCTAAGGATTATGGAAAAGGTTTTGTTGCTTGTATTTCATGAATACATCAGATCACACTATTAGCATTTCAAGCAAACCCTCCTAAAAAGTACCAGTCGTAATCTATCGAACCGTCATTCTGGCTATGTTTCTGACAGATCGCGATCTGAAAAATACTATCATGAAAGTGTATCCCGTGGATAAACCGACCCCTTTCTACAGAATCTTTTTACTGGTCCTCAAAATTTGGCTTATCTGTGGACATATACAGTAACATACAATGTAACCTCTTTAACCCTGACGTTATCATTTCCAGTTCAGATTAACAACTTTACCGATTAACCAGTCATGGATACATTGTTATGTCCCTTTGGAAAGGCTGCATAAAAATAAATGTTTACCAGGCACATGTTTCTCAAAAGTGAGGAGAGAGAAAGGACTTCAAAAAACATTTTTTTTATGAAAACAAAAGTGATGAGGGAGGAATATGCATTTTTTTCACCAAGAATACCAACAAACACAACCAGGCACAAACTGAAGTCAATTCTTTAATATAATGTCAGAGTTTGTTTTATATGAAGGTGGAAAACTTGAAAAATATTGTTTATTGGCATCAAAACATGAGTTAAAAAGATACGCCAATGCCCAAGATTCATTTCCAATTGTCTTATAGGGGAGGTGGAGTAGCCTAGTGGGCAAAGCATTCGCTTGTTGCGCCAGGGTTCGAATCCCCACATGGATACAATGTCTGAAGCACATTTCTGATGTCTGCCACTGTGATATTGCTTGAATATTGCTAAAGGCGGCATAAAACCATGGTCACTCACTCACACAATGCAAAGGGCTACAAACAGTAGTCATCAGGTGGTTGTGCTTGATTGGTTTGGTTTGTTGTTTTACGCCACACTCAGCAACATTCCAGCTATATGACGTGGTCTGTAAATAATCAAGTCTCGAACTGACAATCCAGTGATCGATATCATGAGCATCGATCGATTGGGATCGATGACATGCTTCAAACCAAGTCAGCGAGCCTTCCCACCCGATCCTGTTAGTCGCCTCTTACGACAGGTATAGTCGCCTTTTACAGGAAGCATGGGTTGCTGAAGGCTATTCTACCCTGGTGGTTGTGCTTGAGGACGAGTAAAGTTTCACCACTGTTCTCCTTACCAGCAGATATACACAAACAACTCTCACTCCATGCTGAATTATTCTTACTATTGGCTGATTTCTTTGTTGCTTCATCTAAAATCTTGGCGCCATCTTCATGTCCACCATCATCCTCTGCATTTAACATGAGCTCCAGAAAATCAACCCTCCTCTAAAAAAACAAATTCGACTGTTAGGATATTATATGCCTTACAAACAAAATCATAAGGTTCCAATTAATGCATGGGAAGACATTTTTACAAAATTTACCACGAACATGTTCGTGACTTTCATTTAATTCAATGTAGCTTGCTTGATATTTATTACTGATCCTATTAAAGTATCGTCGAGTGCCCTAGTTTTGAACAACACCTATTTTTTAACACCCGTATATGATATTGCAATCTCATTAAAATCAGATTCTAAGTTCTCGCTTCCGCAAAACAAAGATCTGAGGACATCCCATTACAGGTCATGTCAGAACGACCTTTTGCGAACTTTGACCGACCACAGAAACGAATAACCAGAATTTCGATATCAGCCAATGAGAAAGAAGCTTTCTCGAGCTTTACGGCATTTCAGAGTACGCTTGAAAAATATGTTGACACAGTTTTCGATTAAAATTTTCAAAACTGAACAAACGAACATTCTGGAATGTCTAATATATTGTTGCGATTGTATTGCAGAACTTCCCACGTACTGTGCAACGCCTCCTCCGTTCAAATGTTTATCCCGCGGAACCGAGAGATAGACGATAATTTTGACAAAATCAGTCCGTAACTGTCGTTCGGAATACCCCATGTTAACGTTTTCGAGGTTGCATGATTAGAAAACACATTCCGACTGTCACTTTCATGATCTGGTAAGTGACACTTTGATCACATGACTTCACATGACTACAATGTTGACGGGGGCCGAACACGTGCATTCTCAAGTTGCCAGCTTTGATGACGTCATACCTCTCTTTATAATGCGATCAATTTCATTAAAATCAGATCTTAGTTCTCGCTATCGCTAAACAAAGATCTGATGACATCCCATTAGGGGTCATGTCAGAACGACCTTTCATCCGACCAATCAGAGTGTCGTTTACCTGATCATGAAAGTGACAGTAGGAATGTGATTTCTTATCATGCAACCTCGAAAACTTTAACACGGGGTATTCCGAACGATAGTTACGGGCTTAACGACTGAATCCATACAATCTAGACCATGTATTAGCCATTCTAGAATGTTCTTTTATTAAGGTTTCAAAATTCTTGTTATTCATTTCAGTGGTCGGTCAAAGTTCGCGAAAGGTCGATCTGACGTGACCCGTAATGGGATGTCCTCAGATCTTTGTTTAGTGGCAGCAAGAACTCAGATCTGGTTTTAATGAGATTGCGCCTTTTATCGAGGAGGTTTTTTTCGGAATGTAGCTGAATTCTATTGTTGAAGCCGTCACCTACTGGTATGAAGCAGAGTTTTGAATCACTCCTCTCTCGAAATATCAGCAATGCCATCTTAACTGTTCCAAAACAGGGTACATCAGGATATATCAACAATTTCGTTCAGTGTGGACAGGGGTTGGGGCACATGTGGACTCAATAGTTTCTAGGCTGTCATAATGAAGCAGCATGTATTTGCTCACAACATTCACCTGGGATTTGTTCAACAACATGGGTATAATGTGTGAAGTAGGGCTGGGATGGGTAACTCGGGTACCCGGGTCGGGTGGGTACTGAGTAGGACCTGGGTACCCACAGGACTACCCAGACCCGGGGTTAGTCACGTGCTATACTGTTTAATGACAAAAAATATCTGGAACTCTATTGTTACACTACAAGTCACTAATGTCAACATTTCTTTCTGACTAGGCACCCATTCCTTCTGATTTCTCATATGATTGAATAAAGATATAACTTAATTCAACTTCAGTGTATGAATGACCAGATTGTTTAATACGTGTATATAAATACGTTTTGCCAGGGCTATGCTAAAAATGTTCCCAATCGGACATTTTGAGACATCTCCTGAGACCTACAGCGGGTACCGAGTAGGGTAGGGTAATAGGGTGGGATGGAGTGCGGGTACCCGGGTAGTAAATTTGGATTCGTCCCAGCCCTTGTGTGAAGCCCTTTATTGATGTCCCTCATTGTGATGTTGCTGAAATATTACAAGCAGCAGCCTAAAACCCAACCCACTCACTCACTGCCTGCTCATACTAACAAGATGTGGAAAGGCACACTGACCTCTCTCTCCTCTCTTGGTTCATCTCTCCTCTCTTTGATCATTTCTGTGACAGCTTGTGTAAAGAACTTCTTGGTTGACTTCGGGAAAGCACTGACCCCGAGCATCTTTGCCAGGGGAGTGAGTTCAGGGAACAGCACTGAAAGTATTTGGTTCATGTTGCAGACAAATTCAAATACAGGTGAGCTAGGAACTACTTTTCGTGAACACCGTCACTCAGTTATCCACTCATATAATTTTCATCACTCTCTTGCCTTTTGCGCCCAAAGATCGGCAGATATTTATCAACATTATTCTCTGGCGCTGCCGTTTTGAATGACATTGATTTCAGGTCTTTTGGATAATTTTCTTCTTTGCAGTAATTTGCAATCTAATTTCTATGTTAGTTTTGTTCTCTTCTGCATATCAAAAAAAATTTCTTTTACAATTATGTCAACAATCTTTTATTGACATATATTTTTTTTTTTAATCTTTTGTTTAAGAAGCAATTATAAATCATGATACATGGTGGTTCGTGATGTGTCTGATCAGAAATAAGTAAAATTTAAATATTTTTTACATTTGTAAACTTATCCTGCATTACGACATTTACTGAAGGAGAAAAACAAGGGTGAGGAGACTCCAAAAAAATTACTTTCTTTGTTGTGGCCAAACAGTAGGTCATGTGGAATAAAAACATACATGTGACTACAAAGCTTTCACGCAATGGATTCCAAACTGATTTTTAATTTAAATGTTTTAGACATGGTCCTCATTTCAAAACATCATTAAGAATGAAACAAAAAATATTTTACTGCAGTCAAGTCTACTACAAAGATCCCATTTTCTCCTATGGGCTTACTGAACTGTCTCAATATTGGTTTTGATTATTGTTCCATTATAATTAAAGCAAGAAAGATTCCATCTGTTTAAGGAACATCAAGTAAAAGTAGGAATAGGATATGGCGAATCGGTATTCCTAGTAAATTTGATTGCTGACAAAAAATGTACAACCAATGGAATTTCGTATTACAATACCGCACATAAGAGTCATGAACACGTTGGTTGGTTTTTTGGTTTGTTGTTTAACGCCGCACTCAGCAATATCCCAGCTATATGACGGCGGTCTGTAAATAATCGAGTCTGGACCAGACAATCCAGTGATTAATATCATGAGCATCGATCCACGCAATTGGGTTGCTGAAGACCTATTCTACCCCGGAATCTTCACGGATCTTCATGAACACGAGAGTATCACACCAAGGCATTGCATTATTGAGCAGTGACAGTTGATGATAATGATTGCCTCCCTTCATAATAGGGGCGGTCGGGTAGCCCAGTGGTTAAAGCGTTCGCTCGTCACGCCGAAGACCCTGGTTCGATTCCCGACATGGGTACATTGTGTGAAGCCCATTTCTGGTGTCCCCCGCCGTGATATTGCATGAATATAGCTAAAAGCGGCGTAAAACCATACTCACTCACTCACATATCTAGACATTTACAATTGCAGTTTAACAGCTTTGAATATTTAACAACATTTGAACCATTTTCAGTTCCGTTTTGTTCCACATGTTTGTGTGAATTCCTGACTTGCATGTCTTTGCATGTGTCTTTCCAATTCGGAGCAGGATACGCTAACAGTTTTTTAGAACACCTGGTATCATCACTATACTTGATAGTGATTCATGTGATATCATTGATTTGCAGTGGCCCATTCATATAATTTTCACTGCTATTTTGTTTTTAACGCCAAGTGTTTCGAAGGATCATCATGACTGGCCTTTCTCTGGAGTTCACGTGTTATATTTATATGTATAGTGTATGATAAAGTCCCCTTTTGAACATGTTTTCTCAACAATCTATATTATACTGTCGCAATACACAAGGATGAACATTGCAGATGTTAAGGTGTGAAATTGAAATAGTATTCATGATAGGCATGTCATGTGTGTTGGTTATATGAATAACAAATGTTTACGAAACCTACTTATAAAAAAAACGACTGGGTTGGCGAGAAAAGCGTTATCAAACACTTTCTTGGTTTCTCTAACAAAGCTGTTGTCAAAGTCGTTTTGTGAATCGATGTCAATCCCGAATCCAGTGTTGCCAATGGCGTCCATGGTGAATGCCCCGAAGTATCTGAAATAATAGTTTCACAAATAACATGAAACATAAACTTGAAACTGAAAATGTGAAAAGTGTGATGTGAATATCAAACTAAACAAATAATCCTGTTATGTCATGGGAAATTGTAGATAGTTTGTTTCTTTGTTTGTTGTTTAACACACACTCAGCAATAATCCAGCTATATGATGGCGGTCTGTAAATAATCGAGTTGGGTCCAGACAATCCAGTGATCTTGGTGGGTGGTAGAGTGAGTGAGTTGGGTTTAACGCCGCTTTTAACAGTATTCCAGCTATATCACGGCGTGTCAGCTTAATGTGGGAGGAAAGCCCGAAGTGATGCAGGTCTCAGACGTTTACCACTTCGGTGAAACCCACGAGCATGGGTATGGTGCTGACAAACCTAGAAACATGATCGGGGTGAACCTGGAGTCGAACCCACAATCATAGGTTTCTGGCGTGACCAAGGGACGCAATTCCGCACAGCGAATCGCGGTGCCTTTGCCAACCGGGCCCCCAAATCAAACAAGGAATGGTTATTTCATGGTGATGTGTTTGGTACGGGTCCCAAATTTGGTCCTAGTTGTGTTTTATGTTTGCAGCGTTTCAGCAACTGTTTTAAGTAACATTTTGAAAACTTTTGGTAATTTTTCGGTGAAATCCAGTTTTCAAGTGTTTACTGTATTTTGCTCGGCAGTTTATCATAAGTCAAACACTGTTTACCGTATTCGACGTGATAAGCATGCCCAGGGCGCTCTCAAAATTAGAAATAGGGGGCTCTTATCAGAATATTATTTTGGTGAAAGAAAACATAGTTGAAATATTAATTTCGAGGTTTATGCTGACAGCCTGAAATGTTTATGCACGACAGATTTTCCAGAATTTAATTGCCCATAATTAAGGGTGCATATTACACACGAGTGCGTATTGTACGCGAATAAATAAGTCTTGTGTACATTAATCAATCGGAAGGGGTTCTAATTGGGATTGTTCACTAGCCAATATATTAGCAAATAATGAGCGCTTATTACGTCGAATACGATACATCAACATCAACTTTTCAATAAGAGCAGATTATCCTTGGCGCCCTTAATGTATTTTGGCAGCTGTAGTTGCCACACGTTTATGTTTGATATTTTGGTGCTGACAGAAGCTTTTATGACTGACTAAGATCTTACTGTTTCAAATCAACTACTTCACCGCTTTCAGCAGCATGAACAAAGTTCTTTGTTAGTTTCTGGGCACAAAGATTTAATCCTCCGCACATCTGGAAAATACAGTACCATACATTTAGTCAAGGTATCAACATTGCTCACAAAATAGGTTCAGTTTGTCATCGGTTACTCCCTCGCGCCCATTGATAGACTGAAACGTAAAAGTGACGCTGACAAGATCGCCCACGCTCGCTCATCAACATTAATTGAAAATGTATTGATGGTTTGGAACAGAACTATTTCTATTTAGTCCACCACTTTGCCAATCAAACATTTAATAAATTATAGGAACAATAATATATGTGAAATGTGTATATATTGTTATAGGAGTTAAATATAAGCAGTAATTGTAATCAGAATACATTTAGTGAACAGGGGCACGGGTGACCCAGTCGTCTGAAGCACGGCAATTCGCTGTGCAGAGTTGCGTCCCTTGGGCACGCCAGAAACCTATGATTGTGGGTTCGAATCCTGGTTCGCCCAAATTATGTTTCTAGGTTTGTCAGCACCATACCCGTGCTCATGGGTTTCACCGAAGTGGTAAACGTCTGAGACCTGTATCACTTCAGGCTTTCCTCCCACATTAAACTGACACGCTGTGATATAACTGGAATACTGTTAAAAGCGTTGTTAAACACAACTCACTCACTCATGTAGTAAACCTTTCGTTACATCACGATCTATCTGTAAATGTCCATTAATGATTTTCACTTTAAATAAAAAAATAAGATTATTATATCATAGATATACCTGTCATCTATCTGAGTCAACGTTTGGGGGGCATGTTCACTATTGATAACTATGTTCATCCATCACTGAATGTTCGCGCTCGTAGCACTTTTAAGACATGACCTGTGTGTCACTATGCTGTTTACATCTATGAATAATATACCTACTGATTTCATTATTATTGTACAGGTTGATGCATTCCATGTTACCTTGTGATTATATTTATTCACTGTTTGTAATTATGATGTATTTTGAGTGATAACATCGATGTTTGTCAGGGACTATTTCTTGTGTACAATCTTGCATCGTGGCTATTTGTGGACAGTAAGTTGTGATTTGACCTAGATAAACAATGACCATGGTTATTGAAGATATCTGATAACTCACTTAACTCTAAAGTGTTTCAAAGTACATTTCACTTTGGATATTAATGATAATTACACTTGATAGCACTGAATAACTAATTTGATCTGTTTGACATTTCTAACATTACGGTGACCTGTCAATATTAAGCCTACTGTATGATTACGCTTGGCATTGTGGCTGTTTATAACTTGTATGTCCGTTTTACATCAAAGTCATAGCTAGATTTATGATGAAATATTTTCCCGCAGCCTGAACTAGATTTGCAATATTCAGACACATAGAGGACAACATATATGTTATTATATTCTTGAGAGATACCTTTTTGAGTTTGCCGGCACTGAAGGTGGGACTCGTGATTTTCCTAAGCCTCTTCCAGGTGGCAATCTTCGCGTTGAACAGATTGGTGGTGAGAGGGTAATCGTTGAGATCAAAGCCCTAGAAATATGTAAGATTGTTTTTCACGCATTGCTCATAATCAAGCTGTATGACGACGACCTGTAAATAATCAAATCTGGACCGGACGAACCGGTGATATTATGATATTATGAGTGAGTGAGTATGGTTTTACGCCGCTTATAGCAATATTCCAGCAATATCACGGCGGGGGACACCAGGGTCCACTTGCACAAAGCGATCTTAGCGCTAAGACTATTGTAAGCCTGTGTTAAAGTATGGGAGTTACGATCATCTTAGCGCTAAGATCGCTTTGTGCAACCGCCCCTGTGATATTATGAGCAACGACCAACGTTCACCGGGTACGATGACATGCAATTGACAGAGTCACCTTGCCTGATCACCCCATCCATAGCATAGGATACTTGGAACCAATATACCTGGCACACATACACAGACACACGTCACAGGAAACATGTCATGCTGAGGTAAGTATCAAAACAAGCATGGGTATTAAATAATGGTCAAGAGCTTTGGTAAATAGTGAATTTCCATTTTCCCATATAAACGTCTTTATACATGCAGGCTTATTATGTTTTTCTTTTACCATTGGAAAATTTCAGATAAAGTGACAGTGATGTTATCATTTTGGCCCACTCGGTAATTACAAGACATATATATATATATTTTGTAAATATATTTATTTATTTCCTGTTGCATATTACAAATAAACATACCATTATTCTATAACTAAACACAATAGACAGTATACACACAACACAAAACTAAACAGTTATCAACTAAACAATGAGTAAATTTGTTAAAGAGGTTCTTGGATCATATTGATGCACTGTATTTGGTCTGTAGTAATGTTGTGTGAGTTCTTATATACTTGTAATACTAATATAATATACTTCAGGTACCAATGGAGCATGACATTAAATGACTTCACTCATATTTTCTTACGGAAAGATTACTCCACATATAGTTCGTAAAATTGACGGAAGGATTTGCGAAAAGATATTTCATAGGTTAATAGAAATTGGGCAAACAATTTGATATCAAGCAATAATTATATGGACATGACATGTCGTGTGTTGTGTAACGTGATAGTCACCTGCATTAGTGAAACGAGTTTCAATATCGGTTCCTCCCAATGCTACCCGAAATGACGTCTGGGGTAGGGTCGAGTCGAATTCAACTGTACAATTACCATGGAAAATCTGTATGATACCATTGCTTGTGCCAAAAATAAACCCTCAATTTCACAAATGACCCATGAAGATCCGGGGTAGAATAGGTCTTCAGCAACCCATGCTTGCCGTAAAAGGCGACTATGCTTGTCGTAAGAAGCGACTAACGGGAACGGGTGGTCAGGCTCGCTGACTTGGTTGGTGCATGTCATCGATCCCAATTGCGTGGATCGATGCTCATGACGTCAATCATTGGATTATCTGGTTCAGACTCGATTATATACATACTGCATCTGGGATCAGAAATTGAGTATCATAAACACTGTGGTTTCAGAGGAGACATTGAAAAAGGAGTACCAGTATAAATTTAATGGCAAACGTAAAGGTAAATAATCACACAAACGTAACGTCTGTTCACATCCCACAACAGAGTATCAAACAGTATGATACACGAGGAAATGACTGAAAAAGGGCAACAAAGACGTTTATATAACAAGTAACCTGGCAATAATCCGTGGTTTATTTCATTGTCGAGCAGCAGCCATAACATACCCATATGATCAGAAACTGGTTTCTCAGACACTCGCTTCTGGAAGAAACGAATATATGTATCCCTCACCAGTGAAATCTTAAACAACTATTGTCTGTCCTGACACATGACCCACAGCAATTCCCTTTTTCAATGATGTAAGGTGTTAAATTTAATTCTAAAAATGCTTACCAATCGGTCCGTGAATGTTTGAAAATCTTTTATCAAAACCTCCTTTAAAATGTCAGGGTCAAAGACGGTTATCATCGGGATTCCGCCGAGCCATTCGCTGAAAAATATGTACAAACATTTGAACATGAAGTCTCGGATACATGTCGACATATCGGTACTTCGTTACAAGCTTTATAGTGCCTACCACTGCTCTTCCATAACCATAAAGGTACCTTCGAGATAATGGAGCTCTCTATCTACTCTCCTCAGCCATGACCTGGTGTATGTTCAGACACACCTTGCATTTGTCATAAATGCTTGAAATTTATCATTGAAAAGTTAACAGATTCCCTTGAGACACATATAGTCATGATAGAACACAATAATCTGAAAAATAGGACACACCTTTATAAACAGCGATGACTGGCAATTGGATCAAATGGATCAAGGCAAATGCCCAAAGAACTATTACTTTGTCAGCTTTTTAGTAAACCCATACTATCAAAAGACTAGCGCGACGATTATAACAATTATTTCAACTTTACATCGATGTGTTGATATCGGATCATGGACAATTGTGATAGCTCGACCAATAGTTAGACTTCTGAGACCCGTGAAGATTCCGGGTTAGAATAGGTCTTCAGGAACCCATGCTTGCCGTAAAAGACGACTAACGGGAATGTGGTGGTCAGGCTCGCTGACTTGGTTGATGCATATCATTGATCCCAATTGCGTGGATCGATGCTCATGATGTCAATCACTGGATTGTCTGGTCCAGACTCGATTATTTACAGACCGCCGTCATATAGCTGGAATATAGCGGAGTGCGGCGTTAAACAACAAACCAACCAACCAACCAAAGACTTCTGAAGTGTATGGTGATAGTTGATATTAAAAAAGAAAGATTGTTCTCTCATTACCCAAAAACGTCTCCATACTGTTTCCCCTTCTTGTTTTCAAAGTCAATCCCCTGCAACATAAACGCACACTGTGTATGAATCTCGAGTCTTGTTTTGTTCGCTCTGTGATTTCATACAAATCAGGAGATGGTTTATATATTATTAAACAGGTTGTTATTACCGATGAGCTACACAAGACTCACTGAAGACAGAACGAAAGATTCGAGAACGAGATTGCATCGGTTTACATGAGGACGTCATTTCTAAAGACTGCCCATTTCAAGCTCCTCACAGCGACAGCCCGTTCGCGGAGCTTTCTCTTGCATCCAAAACTGGATGATCAAGCGGCCTCAGAGTTTTTCCGTTTTTTATCAACTCGTGTTGACATATTTGACATCAAAAGACACGCGGGTGAGATACTCTATTTAATACCGACTCTCCTACCCAGAGTTCCATGCGACCAGTGTTATGCTAAGTCACCTCTGCGACGGAGAGTGCTTCATACCGAGAGTGTAAAGGTGTCACGCGCAAGGAAGGAGCTTTTTGCCACTTGATCCAAGGGACACTACTCTCGTTCACTACACGAAGTTCAAGGACGTAAGTAAGTAGAGTCCGTGAATGCTTTCGACATAATACTTAGTTTATAACCGATTCTTTCAACTTGTATGATGCAATGATGCTTACACTACTACAATACAAAAGTGATTGTCTGTACACTCTATTTCAAAAAAAATTGTTTGGGAGTTCTGCGATTGATCACAGGCAGCTGCAAAAACTGTTAACTTGCCTCCAGTAAAATATGTCAACAATACAGTTTTGAGGTGCATGCATAGTGAAAACAGTTATTATAGCAGACTAGAGCAGACGTTGCACAGTGCTAACGACACCCATTTTGGAATGACCAGCTGATGCCAAAAGTAGTACCGTCTTCACATGATGTTACAACGCACAATGTGTAATAAGGGTGCGTAATTATTGAACGGGTTTAACGCCACTTTTAACATTATTCCAGTTATATCACGGCTTGTCAGCCGTCAGCTTGATGTGGGAGGAAAGCCCGAAGTGATGCAGGTCTCAGACGTTTACCACTTCAGTGAAACCCACAAGCACGGGTATGGTGCTGACAAACCTAGAAACATAGTCGGGGCGATCCAGGATTCGAACCCACAATCATATGTTTCTGGCATGCCCAAGGGACGCAACTCTGCACAGCGAATCGCGGCGCTTTAGACGACCGGGGCCCCCTCTCTGAGAAATTAATGTGGTTATGAAACTTTTGAAGGATTGTTCATTCTTGTGACCAGAGACAGGTACATACTACACAAACACTCCCCTCAGACAACTTTGGTTGGTAAATGTTTGTTTATGGTTTAACGCTGCACTCAGCAATAATCCAGCTATATGACGGTGGTCTGTAAAAAAATCGTTCTAGACCAGACAATACAGTGATTGACTATGAGCGTCGATCCACACAATTGGGATACAATGACATGCATGTATAGGTTAGGATAACCCTCCAACAGGAAAGATGGTTGACATCCTCTTGTCATATTTCTTCCCAGGAAATAATACTCAACAAAACAAATAGTTTAAAGAAACTATTTCACTGATCGATTATTGGTGTGATGGTGCGCCATATTGTTTAACATGAATGGAACTGTAACCAAGGATACGTTAGATCATTGGGTAGGGTCAATCTCATTAAAATCAGATCTTAGTTCTCGCTACCGCTAAACAAAGATCTGAGGACATCCCATTTGGGGTCATGTCAGAACGACCTTTCATCCGACCAATCAGAGTGTCGCTTATCTGATCATGAAAGTGACAGTAGGAATGTGATTTCTTATCATGCAACCTCGAAAACTTTAACACGGGGTATTCCGAACGATAGTTACGGGCTTAACGACTGAATCCATACAATCTAGACCACGTATTAGCCGTTCTAGAATGTTCTTTTGTTCAGGTTTCAAATTTTTAATCGAGAATTTGTCAAAATTTGTTTCGAAGCGTAGTCGCCAATTTGAAATTAGTGCTGTAAAACACGAGAAAGCTGCCTTCTGATTGGCTAATGTCGACTTCTTGTCAGTCATTCCATTGGTCGGTCTGACGTGACCCGTAATGGTGTGTTCTCAGATCTTTGTTCGAGAACTAAGGTATGATTTTAATGAGATGAGGGGGGTAGGATAATTTGAACAACGCCATGATGTCAAGCCATTATAACGTCATTTAAAAAGTGTAATTTATCGCAGGATAAAGTATTGTCGACGCTCACGCTACACGCTCATGTTCATTATAATCAATGTTAATTATTGTAATGTCAGCAAAATTGTGTGAGTGAGGAAACGGGGTTTATGCCACTTTGAACAGTGTACCATTCCTCATCAGCTTATTGCGTGAGGAAAGCACAATGCAATGCAAGTCTCAAACTTTTACGACTTTGTTTAAACCCAAGACCACGGCGACGGTATTGATAATTCAAAAATTATGATCAGTGGGAACCATAGGTTTGTGATACAAGCTCCTTCCCAGCGCGTGACACCTCCGTTACACTCTCGGTATAAACAGCTCCGCGAACGAGCTATCGCTGCGAGGAGCTTGGTTTGTGATACACATAAGGGACGCAACTCTGCACAGCAAATCACGACTGACCTGCCCATACCCCATGGTCAGTGAGCATGAAAGTTCCTCCATACGACATTTACCTTCTTCAGTAAAGTTAGAAGGGACCCAAAGATGATATTTGGTTCTGGTCCAGGGATACCGGCATCCTTCAACAGGCGCTGTCTCCGCCTACCATACCTGGCGAAATAAAACACAACAATGAAACGAACAGATTACTTACAAACTGGCTAAACTGATTTCATTACAACTAATTTCATTGAAACAGATACGATATACACCTTTAAAAACATTGTTAGGGTTATAATACACACATAGGTTAAAGTTGTTGTGAATATAGAGATAGTAAACATTTGGATTATCAAAAAGAAAATTATAGAATATGGATGTCATTAATCACAATTAATTTGAGTGAGAGTGAGTTGTGTTTAACGCTGCTTTGAATAGTATTCCCGTTATATCACGGCGTGCCGGCTTGGTGTTGGAGGAAAGCCCGAAGTGATACAGGTCTCTGACGTATACCACTTCGGTGAAACCCACCAGCATAGATATGGCGCCGGCAAACATAGAAACATAATCGGGGGAAACAGGGATTCGAACCCACAATCTAAGGTTTCTTGCATGCCCAGGGGGAACGGGTGGCCCAGTCTTCTAAGGCGCTGCGATACGCTGTGCAGAATGGCGTCCCTTGGGCACGCCAGAAACCTATGATTGTGGGTTCGAATCCTGGTTCGCCCCGATTATGTTTCCAGGTTTGTCAGCACCATACCCGTGCTCGTAGGTTTCGGCGAATGTGCCTTAGAAAGGGCCACCCGTGTCCCCTCCTTGTGGAGGGCATACACAGTCACTGGTTGTATTGAATGCAGCAAAAGTCAAAGCTCACAGCGACTGTGTGGTTTGCAAACCTACGCCACTCATGGTACATATTCACTGAAAAAGAACTATTGTAAATGTGTGTTTTTATTTTCGGTAATAAATTACTTTATCAAAAACCCGGGGCGGTCGGGTAGCCTAGTGGTTAAAGCGTTCGCTTGTCACGCCGAAGACCCGGGTTCGATTCCCTACATGGGTACAATGTGCAAAAGCCCATTTCTGGAGCCGAAATATTTGATGTCATGTATCCCTGTAATAAATATGCATGAAGCTTGTGAATTGTATTTTTGTGTTCCTGTGATACTGTGTTACGAAAATAATGTGAAGTCAAAAAATTAATTTTCACCTAAGGTTCCTTTTGTCATGGTTGGTTACATATTTGAAAACAAATCCTTTGAGAGCACAAGAAATATATTGGTGTCAAACATCCAATAGAAAAAAAGAAAATGGGCGGTCGGGTAGCCTTGTGGTTAAAGCGTTCGATCGTCACGCCGAAGACCCTGGTTCGATTCCCGACATGGGCACAATGTTTGAAGCCCATTTCTGTGTCCCCCGACGTGATATTGCTGGAATATTGCTAAAAGCGGCGTAAAACCATACTCACTCATATACACTGAAAAAGAACAATTGTAAATGTGTGTTTTTATTATCGGTAATCAATTACTTTAATAGAATCCCGGGGCGGTCGGGTAGCCTAGTGGTTAAAGCGTTCGCTCGTCACGCCGGTCCCGGGTTCGATTTCCGACTTGGGTACAATGTTTGAAGCCCATTTCTGGTGTCCCCCGCCGTGATATTACTGGAATATTGCTAGAATCGGCGTAAAACCATACACACTCACTCACTTTAATATAATCCCAGGCAAAACAAGGTTGATTGTGGTTACAAATGAAACAAACAAGGAATATATTATTTCGACGGTGATGTATTTGATACGACTATCATAGTTGTGTTTTTGAGAAAGTTGAACCAATGTTATATTACGATATATGCCATATGTTAAGGATTGGTTGTAGTGTCTAATTACATAAATTATGAAGTAAGGGAATGTTCCAAACTAACCGAACACGTTCCATTATCTTAAGCTTCCATGTGTCACATTGATAACACGCTTCGGACAGCCTCCAGGACCGTTATCTTTTGTTGTACTGGTCAGAGGAGTTATGCGAACAGTGTATGGTGTATGACATTAGAACTAGATCACATATATTGTTGTATGTAGCATAACAATGACTCTGCTATGTATCATTCATTGCCAGTCGGAGGAACGGGTGGCCCAGGCGTCTAAGGCGCCGCGATTCGCTGTGCAGAGTTGCGTCCCTTAGGCACGCCAGAAACCTGTGATTGTGAGTTCGAATCCCAGTTCGCCCCGATTATGTTTCTAGGTTTGTCAGAAACATACCCGTGCTCGTGGGTTTCACCGAAGTGGTAAACGTCTGAGAACTGCATCACTTCGGGCTTTTCTACCACATTAAGCTGACACGCCGTGATATAACTGGAATACTGTTAAAAGTGGCGTTAATCCCATATCACTCATTGCCAGTCCTTCTACCCCATGTTCAGCTGATGTTCTTCACACATGTATAACTGATTGTTAACATTCCATAAATGATTGTGGAATACTCTATGATTGCCTGCCGACATAATAAACTCACACTGTGGCTGACAATTAAACTCACTGTTTATTCGCTCAGTTGTTTACTGTGTGGTTTGGTCATGAACTTGGGTACTTCTGATGTTTTGTTTGGTTTGTTTGTTGTTTAACGCCGCACTCAGCAATATTCCAGCTATATGACGGCGGTCTGTAAATAATCGATTCTGGACCAGACAATCCAGTGATTGATATCATAAGTATCGATCCACGCAATTGGGATCGATGACATTTATCAACCAAGTCAGCGACCCTGACCACCCGATCCCGTTAGTCGCCTTTTACGACAAGCATAGTCACCTTTTACGGCAAGCATGGGTTGCTGAAGACCTATTCTATCCCGGAATCTTCACGGGTCACTTCTGATGTAAGTTGATCACCCATCTCGCGGTTATAACTTAATTTGCAGCCAAGTAACGTTTTGATAACATTTGTATTTTTTGACAAATCCAATTTTCAAGGGTACTTTTTCTTTCACAGGCAGTATAATCAACTATAATGCCTCGACTTCAAAGCATTGTCTTAAATTATGGAAAAAAAACAAACTTTTAATTTAAAAAGGGATATTTTTTAAGGTTGATTTTGTAGATAATAATATCTAGATGTATGATAAATAATTTAAGTGACCTCAAGTGTTTTTTATTACTTTTGCTGATACTACTTAAGATTTTGCCAACGCCGAACTACTTTTTAAGTCGCAATTACAAGGGGTGGTGATACGTCCCCTGCGTGTCAGGTAGGGAGAATTTGCGTTTCAAGGTTTTACATTTGTAATGAATAAAAATCATTTTCCGGTGGAGATCTACACAAAGTATTTCATATATAGGATGAAATACGATGTTTCTCTCATCGAGTGACAGAGAGAAAACATGATATTTCACTCGACACATGCATATCCTCTAAATACTTACATATAAAGCAAAGTCACGAAGCCCCCAAATAGACCAAGTGTCAACGGTACAGTTCCACTGAACAGCTCCATGCCGAAGTCTGTGTGACAGAAAGTAACTTGCTGGCAACAGGTCAGCGGTTCGTTCAGCTTGTGTAGTTGTTCAACGTTGAACGCGGGTCATATATACGGTGTTGTCAGCTCATTCTTTCCCTGTCCCATGAGTTGTTTATTTCGCAACTGCTTGACCTATATATTTTATCAGTCAACTTATCAAAGCGTGCGTTATATGGGGACCGTCTCAACAGCAGCCGGTTGAGATTTACAACTATGTCAAGTGCTCGACCCAATCTCATTAAGAGATATTTTTGTTGTTACAGTGTATCCAACATCAGTATGTCAACTTTCTATCATGGGCATCAGTATGTTGATATATCATGGGCCTGATATATGTGGTATACCCCTTGATGGTTGACTGACTTCCCCTAACCTACGCTGGTGCTCAGAGTCAACTAAAATGACCGGATGAGGTGAGGTGAGGTGAAATGGGGTTTAACGTCGCGTCCAAGATTATTGCACTTATATAGCGATGTGCGTGTGTGTTTGTGTGGCTGCTTGTACTAGTCCGGACTGATGCCGATTTATAGTGCTAGCTCACTGAGATACCATGTCGCAGTTTAACATGAATACCCCACTCAGACACAGTATACTGACTCCGAGCCGACCAGTCCTTGTTTTAGCCCTTAATGCCGAGCGCCAGACAGGGTAACAACAAGTACAATCTTTTAACGTCTTTTGGTATGACGCGGTCGGGGATCGAACCCCGGACCTTCCGCTCTCCGGGCGGACGCTCTAGCACAAGACCACGGAGGCGTTCAAATGACCGGGTGCTCAAACTCTATGGGTTGTCCGAACTGTGTGATCCTATATGATGTCGCTGATCATTGCTCATGCTGTCAGTCACCGGTTTGTCGGGCCCAGACACGATTATTTCAGGCCTCGGTATTTAGCCGGAATACTGTTGAGTGTGGCACCCATAGGTTACATGATGAAATTGCTCCAGGTACATTAATGATGTAAGACATATGAGGAGTTGCTAAGTCTCCAATTTTTGGACCAGGAACGTGACATATTTGCAATTTGAGATAACGTTGCAATATTATGTGAGTTTTAAGCACTCCAGCTAACTGCTGGTTCACTAATCACAAATACAAATATATATAAGTAGTAAAGCAAAAAAACCACAAATGCCTTTTAGCTCACCTCACTGAAAGTCAAGTGACCGTATTTCACGGCCCGTTTTACGGCATCCGGGGTCCGTCGTAAACATCGTCTCCTCAGAAACCACTGGACCAATGATTTAAATGCTGTTTACCGCCGCATTCAAGTGTATTCAAGCTATATGATGATTATCTGTAAATACTCGAGTCTGAACCAGACAGTCCAGTGATTGACATCATGAGCATCGGTATACGCAATTGGGATACGATGACATGCATCAACCAAGTCAGCGAGCCTGACCACCCGATCCCGTTAGTGGCCTCTTACGACAAGCATAGCCGTCTCTTATGACAAGCATGAGTTTCTGAAGACCAATTCTAACCCGGATCTTCACGGGTCACTGGACAAATGAAGCTGAAACTTCACATACTTGTATCCGCCAGTGATGGCACCCAGATTTGTTCTAGAGGTTTGAATCTCATTTCAATATGGCCGCCAGGGCGACCATATGGAGAAACCTATTTATGGCCTTTTCTCAGCAATTCTTTTGACAAAATGTTATGAAATTTGTTAAGTTTTTAGCTATTTTATTTGACCTATATTTGACCCGTCTACTATGACAATATTCCCAAAATACATTTTCTATCACAGTAAACATCATCTCCTCAGGGTGTGGTCGGGTAGCCCAGTGGTTAAAGCGTTCGCTTGTCACGCCGAAGACCCGGGTTCGATTTTCGACATGGGTACTATGTGTGAAGCCCATTTCTGGTGTCCCCCGCCGTGATATTGCTGAAATATTGCTAAAAGTGGCGTAAAACCATACTCACTCACTCACTCACTCACTCACCAGAGTGCGAATGTCAGTGCGAATGTCAAGAATTTGTATCAATTTGCCCTTTTTAGGGGTTTTGCTATATGTAATCATTATAAGGACTAGTGGGCTAAAACTGTTTTTATCGCTGCTACGACCTGACTGACAACTTATCTACAGGTGCTTGCTCAGTGCGAACGGATGCCTACTTGGCACTGTTCCTGGATTCAAGAACGGAGCACGTGCCACACTCAAGACATTCGACTGATACAAATTCTTGACATTCGCACTGACTTAAGTAATAGGGCTAAATATTCATTGCTTCTGGTGGGTGAGTGAGTATGGTTTTACGCCGCTTGTAGCAATGTTCAAGCAATATCACGGCGGGGGACACCAGCAATGGGCTTCAAACAATGTACCCATGTCGGGAATCGAACCCGGGTCTTCGGTGTGACGAGCGAACGCTTTAACCACTGGGCTACCCGACCGCCCCTATTTCTTCTGGCCCGTATTTGAGCCATTGTATTACCCTTTTTATTGTAAACCTCATCCTGCGTGTTTCAATATTATTTGTTAAGCACTCATTTATCTTGTGGTTTTATGCCGATTTCACAATATATTTCTGTACGAAACTTGCTCAAAATGAAATGACATTCGGTACAGGTGTAGTCAGTGGAGGGACACGCTGACTTGGTTGATGCATGTCATCGATCCCATTTGCGTGGATCGATGTTCATGATGTCAATCACTGGATTGTCTGGTCCAGATTCGATTATTTACAGACCGCCGCCATATAGCTGGAATATTGCTGAGTGCGGCGTTAATAAACAAACAAACAAGCATGCATGATGGTATCTTGACTTTTAAAGTCCGTTAACTCTCTTGCCTCTGGAAGATGGTGTTTTCTTAATGACACTGTAACTTATACCTCGTTTACTTGCGCCTCTATACATATGTGTGTATATGTGCATATGTGTGTAAAAAGACATACGTGAGTATACTTGTCATGTAAACGTGTTTACTTATGTGTGTATATTTACACCAGGAGCAAATCTGCATCATGTCTGGAGTAGGTGAAATGTAAATATAAATTTGCACTGTGTGTATATGTTGCAATGTGAACGTTTATGTCAACGTAAGAGGATGATCTAAATAATATCTGTTATTTTGCCAACACCAAACAAATTGTCAACAGTTGCCAACTTTTATGCGTATATACATTGTTGAGCGGACAGTGTTTTCTGTAGGTTTCTTCTCATTCAACTTGGAAAACAGCCTGTTTTGTGTTGAAAGTCGTGAACAGATTGAGAACATGTGTGCCTTACACAATTTACATACTTTATTTACATACTAATGATGCTTTTCATGTGAACGCATAGTAATTTTACATATAAGCACGTATGTATGATTACACATGTGTAAAATTACTTACGTTAGTAAATGTTGTGCATGCATCTTCCGTTTAATAATCACTGACTGACACTGAGTTGCCATTTCAGTGCCGCTTCCAACTTGAAAAAAAATAACACAGGCAAAAGTATAGCTTTCAACGTTGGTAATCTCATCAACAGGGTGTGGGAAGACTTACCAGGTGCAGTTGGTCGACATTATTTTTATTTCTTGACTTTCGGATTTCAAACTCATTTTAAAAGTGGGGGGTAGGGTGGCCCAGTCGTCTAAGGCGCCGCGATTCCCTGTACAGAGTTGCGTCCCTTGGGCACGTCAGAAACCTATGATTGTGGGTTCGAATCGAGGTTCGCCCCGATTATGTTTCTAGGTTTGTCAGCACCATACCCGTGCTCGTGGGTTTCACCGAAATGGTAAACGTCTGAGACTTGCATCACTTTGGGCTTTCCTCCCACGCCGCGATATAACTGGAATACTGTTAAAAGCGGCGTTAAAACTGAGGTAGGGAAATTAAAAAAAAACAACAGAAAAACGCTCTCTCAGAATAGTTTTACTTACTTTTGGTCCTAAAAAGTCAGGGAGGTATTAAATAAAGGGAAGACACTCACTCAATTTTATTTTATCCCTGGCACACAACAACATGACAAGGTTCCTTGAATTGCATTCTTAATTTCGAATACGGGTGTACATGCATTTTGTATTGATACATGGTCTCATGATACAGAGTGTCTCCATCCAGTGAGCGACTCGTGACACTCTTCAAATGACTGTCAAGGAATTGGGAGAATGATTCATAACTGAAAGTCATGTTTTTATTGATGTATCACTGTATGACAAATGGACGTCATGTCCCTGCTCATCTGCTGGTAGTTGTTATAAATTGTCTATAACCCTGTTTTACCAAGAGCAACATTTTCACAAACTTCTACAAAACTCTCACTGATCTGTATCAAAACAATAAATGTTTCATAGGACACACAACAGAACATAACATACTCTATTAGAGGTGAGAAAACAATCAATATCATGACAGGCTCTATTGACTCAGTTCCTATACCATGACAGGCTCTATTGACTCAGTTCCTATACCATGACAAGCTCTATTAACTCAGTACCTATACCAATCTCATTAAAATCAGACCTTAGTTCTCGCTACCGCTAAACAAAGATCTGAAGACATCCCGTTAGGGGTCATAATTTACATACTTTATTTACACACCAAAGATGCTTTTCATGTGAACGCATAGTAATTTTACATATACGCACGTATGTATGGTTACACGTGTAAAATTACTTAAGTAAGTAAATATTGTGCATGTGAACGGGGTATTAGCGTCGATAGCCTAATCAGAACAGTTCACAAACCTGCCACATCTCATCAAGTTGCTGACATAACACGGAGTAGTCCAGACACCCGCCACTATATAATGTTAGATAAACTCATTGTACGTACACCTGTTTTCTAACTGGACACCTTCTTCAACTGAATCTACTGACTGTATGTGAGTGGGTATGGCTTAATGCGGCTTTTAGCAATATTCAAGCAATATCATGGCAGGGAACTTCGCACACTGTACCCACTTGGGGAATCGAACCCGGGTCTTCTGTGTGTTGAGCTTTATGGTGCCTTTACACAGGATGGCGACATTTGTGCCTCCCGTGTACGACTATAACATTTGCCAGGTCATCGTTGGAGGCTCAAAGGAGGCAGAATGGTTGCCTAGGTCGTTCCAATGTGGTACACAGGAGGTTCTGACATCGCCATGGACGCCATGGTCGCCGTGAATGTTTGAACAGGTGGGGGAGGTTGTTTAAAGGAGGCACAAACATTGCGGTTGTTGCAGAATGAAGGCACAGTGGTCGCCCAATGGTCGCCAGGTAATAGATGCGTTCTGCTGAAATACTTTCCCACTAATTTACCTGTAGTGCCTCCCCAGCCTGCCTGTAAATAGAGGTCTTGCACCTGCAGTTTTTCATTGTGATTGCAGGTGCTGATCAACTGGAGCAGGTACATAGAAACATGATTTTATAGCGACCATTGAGCGTCCAGGCAAGTTTTTGATCACTCAAAGGTCACAGCCCAGTGTGAAGGGGCCTTTAATCACTAGGCTTCTCAAACTCCCACAAACAACATGTACTGAACGATGCCAGAGACATTATGAAATGTCCATATTAATATCCCGCTTTCACAGAACATAACACAAGAAACAGTAAGCACTGTGACGTTACACTTTCGATTCCTGCATTTTCTTTGTCAATCAAATCAGGAATGCCTTCTCCGACAGCCCTGTCTAGTTCTACCTAAAATAATGTTGATTTTGACTGGATTTCCGTCATCGTGATATGCATAGAGAGACGCCATTTTGGTAGACTGGGCGACGATTAAGCTTGTCGCCACTGCGCTTTGCGTTAATACGCTTTGATGCCAGAAGACAAGGATCACAGGGAGAAATATCAGAGAGACTTCCGGTTGCTTTACACTCAACGAGAAAACGACATCTTTCCATTCTTATTTTCAAGTCGGTGACAAACGAACTGATACGTTAATTTTTATATTCAAACATAAAAAAAATCCCAAAAAAATCATGGCGCAACACTTTCCATATCCACAGAACCCCGCGTAATTATTCATATTATGCACATGACAATAGGTAAAGGTATTAAAAAGCGCGACATGTTCAACTTCCAGGTGTGTAATTCAGATGCCTCTGGATGAACCATTTTAAACCCACTGGGAATATAAGTTGTCATGTCTTGCACGTTCATGGGCTAAACCGATGGTTGCGTTCAGGTTTGGGTTTAAAGGCTGCTTTTTCCACGGCCTTCAATGAAGCACCTTTCATTGATTATAAAAGTCTTTGTCCATATATTTATGAATATCTTACAAATACTTGCCTACCTGTACACAGCTGAATAGTGGCACAAACTTTTATATACAACGGATGCTACCGACACATTCAGCTAGTCTAACATAATCACCTATTTCACAAACACCTTGTGTCAGTGACAATGCAAGCCCGTAGTTAACTTTTTTTGACAGGGGTGGCAAATGTTTGTACAAGTATCACTTGTCCCCAACTTGATTCAAATAAAACTGTTTTCTATATAAAAAAAAAAGCTTGATTGACCCGTGTGGGTATATATTTATGTGCCTAGTCGCTTCCTTGGTGGATTCAAGTTTGTATTCCCGAACACTCGTATTCCCACACACCCGTCAATAGCGGTGCTGTAACTCACTCTAAGCCTTATAAAAGATAAACGAATCAAGGAAACATTTGATGTAACATGAGTTGTTTTTATTCAGGATAATGAGAAAATGGACAAGGAGTGCTCAGACTTATGGCAAAAGACTTCAAAACATATCCTCTCCACAGTACCTTCACAACAACAAAAACTTTTTACACAGACTGATTAATAGATTTAATGAACATGGTGCAAATATTTATCTGAACCATCCCCATTTAAATTAAGAGTATGTGATTCACATGGAGAAAAGGGACCTTATGGGTGCTTGGATACACATTGTGCTGTGACGTCATGAAGACGTTTGACGTCAACTTATTTCAGTGAAGATCGCCATGGGTGCGGACTTTACAAAAATATCATATCTTTCTCTCGATAGTTAGTAATGTAAAAAAAACCATTATTTCAAAACCTTTCAGCATGCTTTCATTTGATCAGACATTACATATAGAAAACTGCAATTTTTACCTGAAAAGATCTAAGTCGGAAAATGAGCCCAAATATTTGATGTCATGTATCCCTGTAATAAATATTCATGAAGCTTGTGAATTGTATTTTTTGTTCCTGTGATACTGTGTTACGAAAATAATGTGAAGTTAACATATGTTACCTGCCTCTTCCCACATGTTGAATATCTTGAGCCTGAAAACAATCAAACTCCGATTAATTCCCCTTTATACTATAATGCCAAACCTAATAACATTAGTAGCTACGCGATAAATCGCAAAGAACAATGAAGAACGAAGCGGGTTTATTTCACAATACAACATAGTTCTATCGTGACGTCATTTCTTGAGATTCGATTATGCGCTCGCAACTTGATGATGTCATATATTTGACGACGCCATTTTTGAGAGGGAAGTGTCTGGTGAAACGTTCCCCATAGCAAACCAATTCCTCTTCTACATGATCGAATCTCACCACCACCCCTCTATAATAAATTGCCAGACCCTAAAGCCCACTGGAAATTCTGCTACTTTATTCTCACATGTCATAGAGGTGTAGACTTCACCTACTACGCTGAGAAGTGAGATGTAGTTATCTGGGCCCCGTTCCAAAAAGAGATCTTAGGGCTAAGTTGATTGTAACTCACTAAGTATGCGATCTTAAATTTTTGTTACGATCAGCCGCCCGTTCCACAAAGCAATCTTAACTAAGAGAGTTGTAAGTTAAGATCAAAATGCTAAGTTGCTCCGGACCAACTTAGGATTGCTAAAATCGATCTTAAATATTGTACCATAACAACAAAGATGGTGACTTTTATTATGGTGTGCAAGGAAATGCGTCGTCTGCTAAACATGACCAAGAGATGCCACTCTAAGGGAAACTTTCGTATCTTCTTGGCTGAAGATTCCGATCTTTGTTAAGATCGGCTACTTAAGAACTTGTAAAGTTACAATCGCCCTAAGATCGCTTTGTGGAACGGGCGTAAACTTTAGCTAAGACAAAAATAAAATCGACGTAGGTCTCTAAGATTGATTGTAGTTACGATCGCTGTGTTCATCTGTGAAGAGGGATAATAAAAGCTCTTAAATTTCTCAGACTTTTAACATTTCAAATGTAACACTGTTCATACCTTCGGCTTTATAACAAAGATGTCATGATGCTTGTTTGGTTGTTTGCTGTTTAAATCGGTGAGTGAATGATGTTTAACGCAGCAGTCGACAATACATTCGTGACCAACTCGTCCCATTCCGGGACAAGCCGCATTATGTAGGTTACGGAAACATGCGAGTGACGACGAATGACGAGAGAGCCTGACTTCCCTTCTCTTTGTTTGTTTGTTTGTTTGTTGTTTAATGCCGCACTCAATCTCATTAAAATCAGACCTCAGTTCTCGCTACCGTTAAACAAAGATTCCCATTAGGGGTCACGTCAGAACGACCTTTCACCCGAGCAATCAGAGCATCGCTTACCAGATTATGAAAGTGACAGTCGAAATGTGATTTCTAATCATGTAGCCTCGAAAAATTTAACTCCAAACGATAGTTACGGGTTTTACGACTGAATCCATACCATCTCGACCATCTATTAGCCATTCACGAATGTTCTTTTGTTCTGGTTTCAACTATTTAATCGAGAATTTGTCAAAATATGTTTCGAAGCGTCGTCGCCAATTTGAAATTAGTGCCGTAAAGCACGAGAAAGCCTTCTGATTGGTCATTCCATTGGTCGGTCAAAGTTCGCGCAAGGTCGGTCTGACGTGACCTGTAATGGGGTGTCCTCAGATCTTTGTTTAGCGGTAGCGAGAACTAAGATCTGATTTTAATGAGATTGATGCCGCAATATTCCAACAAAATGACGGCGGTCTGTAAATAATCGAGTCTGGACCAGTGGGGCCAGACAAGCCAGTGAATGACATCATGATCATCGATCTACGCATTTGGGATAAATAAATACCACAACATTTACTCACACCCTTATCCAAAGTCGTAATGCTAGTTGTTCGCTGCTCTCCTTTTTGAACGTGGATCCTTTAAGTGGTTGCATTTAAATAATGAAAGTCAACAATTTCATCTGATACCTATGACAACGCAGGTATTGTAACATCACTAAGCCCAGAACCCACAACAAGTTTTCAAGGTGTCAGCCTGCCAGGAAGGCACTATCTTGCAGATTGAAGGACACACTCACCCAAGCCATCATTCAAAATTGCATTTGTTGCTGGTGGCTCCCAGGGAGCAACTGAAATGAAACAATAAAAAAACATTTATTCAGAAAATACATTTTGTAATGTTATTATTAGTGTTGTAGTGTTACTGGGGGTGGTGGTGGGGCACACGCACGCACACTGCCCGGCATAGGCAAGGCAGAAACGGCGGCCAAGGGGTGGGGGTGGTGGTGGTGGTGGGGCACACACACGCACACTGCCCGACATAGGCAAGGCAGAAACGGCGGCCAAGGGGTGGGGGTGGTGGTGGTGGTGGGGCACACACACGCACACTGCCCGGCATAGGCAAGGCAGAAACGGCGGCCAAGGGGTGGGGGTGGTGGTGGTGGTGGAGCACACACACGCACACTGCCCGGCATAGGCAAGGCAGAAACGGCGGCCAAGGGGTGGGGGTGGTGGTGGTGGTGGGGCACACGCACGCACACTGCCCGGCATAGGCAAGGCAGAAACGGCGGCCAAGGGGTGGGGGTGGTGGTGGTGGTGGGGCACACGCACGCACACTGCCCGGCATAGGCAAGGCAGAAACGGCGGCCAAGGGGTGGGGGTGGTGGTGGTGGTGGGGCACACACACGCACACTGCCCGGCATAGGCAAGGCAGAAACGGCGGCCAAGGGGTGGGGGTGGTGGTGGTGGTGGTGGGGCACACGCACGCACACTGCCCGGCATAGGCAAGGCAGAAACGGCGGCCAAGGGGTGGGGGTGGTGGTGGGGGTGGGGCACACACACGCACACTGCCCGGCATAGGCAAGGCAGAAACGGCGGCCAAGGGGTGGGGGTGGTGGTGGTGGTGGTGGGGCACACACACGCACACTGCCCGGCATAGGCAAGGCAGAAACGGCGGCCAAGGGGTGGGGGTGGTGGTGGTGGTGGGGCACACACACGCACACTGCCCGACATAGGCAAGGCAGAAACGGCGGCCAAGGGGTGGGGGTGGTGGTGGTGGTGGTGGGGCACACACACGCACACTGCCCGGCATAGGCAAGGCAGAAACGGCGGCCAAGGGGTGGGGGTGGTGGTGGTGGTGGTGGGGCACACACACGCACACTGCCCGGCATAGGCAAGGCAGAAACGGCGGCCAAGGGGTGGGGGTGGTGGTGGTGGTGGGGCACACACACGCACACTGCCCGGCATAGGCAAGGCAGAAACGGCGGCCAAGGGGTGGGGGTGGTGGTGGTGGTGGGGCACACACACGCACACTGCCCGGCATAGGCAAGGCAGAAACGGCGGCCAAGGGGTGGGGGTGGTGGTGGTGGTGGTGGGGCACACACACGCACACTGCCCGGCATAGGCAAGGCAGAAACGGCGGCCAAGGGGTGGGGGTGGTGGTGGTGGTGGGGCACACACACGCACACTGCCCGGCATAGGCAAGGCAGAAACGGCGGCCAAGCAGGGCAATCACCGTGCACTGTTACCCGTCATGCGTTATCCGGACGAAAACCACAAATTGTCAACTGAAACTTCTTAACAGTTGCAGTGTGATTATTCGTGTTTGTATCAAAGGTTGAACAGATAAATTCAAAGCTGACACACGAACCACAGTCGTCTGGCTGGAATCAGTTAATCCAAGTGTTTCTTCAAAATGAATATAATCTCTGTGATGACCGGATTCGACTTCCAACATGGATAGAAATTCACTTTTATCGCGAAAAATCAGTTTCTGGGATAGCTAATTCGTTTGTTTACCTACCCTTCTCTGGCGTCAATCTTGGTATCAAACACTCTTTTAGAGTGAATCATAAAAAAAAACATGCTTATGACATAGTTGAATCATACAATGGACCGTACGTAGTTTTAGCAGAGAATTAATACAATTGTGACATTGATTTTGTCACTTTTAGTATTGCATTAATACCATAGCAAAAGATTAAAGGCCCCAAACAGCCACCCCTACCGAAGAGCATTTTTCTTTAACAGTGTGTCAACTTACTGTCTCCTCCACCTGAAAACGCCACTGGTATCAGTGTGACTAGCAGGGCTTCAAACAACATGTCCGGCTGCTTATTCCCACACATCTGATTGGAGTTAAACAGAAAACATTTGAATGTCAGTGTGACAAAGCCGAGACTCCCTAAGGGATAATCAGAGTAATTTCTTTTGTTGGACTGACTCTGTGACTCTGCATTGATCTTCATAGCGTTTGAATGCAATATCATGTAAATCAATCTAGCATCTCTTTAACGACGGTGGCTCTGATGCTTTATCTATTCTTGCATGGCAATTTTAAGTGGACACTTTGTACATTTCAAACGCCAAAGCCATTATATATAGATAAGACTATATACATATAGATCTGTCGCATTGTAAAACGGCGCTTTCAATCTTTTCCACTTCAATAATTCACACAAGGACGACGTGACATCTCTCATGTTTCTAGACTACTAACTAACATCTGTTAATATCATATGAAAGTATACACTTGACTAGGATAATTGTATTTATCATATAATGGGTAGGTTTCTCGGCAGGATAAAGCCCACTCTCCTACCCAGAGTTCCATGCGGCCGGCAGCAAGCTAGCATAGTACCTCTGCCACAGGCCAGCGCCATGTGACGATTCGTCACATCTTTCACAGTCCATTCAAGATATTGCATATGCTTTTCATCCGTTTCATGTTTGACAAGTCTACACATTTTCATAAACAAATGTCAAAGAATGGTTAACTTTCATTGAGAAAGTATGCAAATACGTAAAAATTTACTTGATTTTGGGTAGTTATCCTATGTTTACATTGGTTGTACGGCTCCACGTGCTGTCATCGAAGCCCAACGGAGAGCTAGCGACACGGTCACTTTGATGCATAAATATATATTGTCATGCAACTCACTGTCGCAGTTGTAGTAGCATATCTATATAGTTATGCAAAACAATATGTAAAGCGCCCCCAAATACTTGCATTAGTCTGTTCTATACTGATTTCTGAAAAAGCGCGTTTGTTTACAAACAAGAGAAAAGTCCGGTCACGTGATATGCAAATTAGCCAGTGGCAGTGGTGTTATGCTGAGTCACCACTGCGACGGAGTGTGGATAAAGCCAGAGACCATATATCGGTATATGGTCTCTGATAAAGCCAACGGATAAAAACGACATCCGTTGGGGTCATATGCGGATAGAGATGCAAATATCAAAGGTCAAGTAGGGACTACTTTCACTGTTTATAAACAAACATGGCATCGCCCTTGTCATTCGGGGATCGAGTCAGAATTAACCATCGGGAATCTGGATAAACTACAGGGATAATTGCTATCATTATCAAAAGAACAGTCTAATATACTGAAAATATGTGTCTAACTGTGTCGTAGCTAAGGCATTTTATAAATTTCGAAACAATGGGGAGTACCGCCGTACTAATCCGCCAGGGGCGTGCGTGTACTAGTGGTCATACTCTGTGACGGTTCCGCCATTAGAATGCGCTGCGAATCATTTAGCGCGAATTTCAAGTAGAGCCGTAGCCAAGTTTATGTGAACATGGCCAGCCAGTACCTGCTATGGTCCGTGCCAAAACTCAAATGTGCGCTCTTTCAACGAAAAGCTTCGACAGCTGGAAGGAAACTTGAACTGATCGAGAGGTATGTAACCCATTTTTTTAGTTATCAAGTATGCTTACATTCATAATCTGCGATATGCACCGCAATTTCTACTAGGCCCTTTTCTTGCCTGTCAAATAAGTGCCATCTCTGTCACTGTCAGGCCTACTGTGACTGACAAAATCAACTATCAATATATTTCAGTTGTTGCCTTCCATTAAACCATGACCTACTGTATAGTTACCCATAACCAAAGTACTAACTGTGGCTCCCGGTCTCAGATTATATAAATCCTCGATAAAAGGCGCAGTCTCCATTGCGTCGTCTGTTAACATTCACCGCACTCATGAGACGTCACCTGTTTTCGAACACCCGATTGCTTTTGTAGTTTAGCGGGGCTTTTTATGAATATGATCAGCAGTGTTTTGACACGTAGTTCTCAACAAAATTCGGTGCGACTTCCGCCCTTATCCGCCAACATTTTTTTTAAAAATAATTAAAAGTACTGAGCGTCAATGCATTGGACAGACATATTACTTTAGGATGGTGGTTTCGGGCGGAGGATTTTCCCATAATGCTTGTAAGTCGGCAGTAAAACACAGAAGGTTCATACAACTTTGAAACCTGTTGTATTCACAAAATATAGACGTTTTTCAAATTATAGTGTTATATTTTACTCTTCCTTTTCGTCATGATATGGGCACCAAAATTCTGAATGACTTATGATAGGTGTACAGTGCAGTGCTTACTGACATTTCTCTGTCCATGAAATGATTATTGAAACTTGGCGACTCTATGTCACATTAACAATTACCATATATTTATCCAGGTATTTTATAAAACAGGAAATGTGTAATAATTTGTCTTCTGGCTATATAGGCATGAGATTATCAAACACAGTTTAATCATACAGGTTTCATTGCTTATTCATGATGCATGTCATTTATGAGATATATTAGTCATAGTGATAATGATATGAATTATTTTCCTATAATATTATGCAAATCTGAAATAGTAGTTGCACAAGTTAAAATGTATTTAATTTTCATTTCAGACTTGAATCTTATGACAGAAATGATGATTTTGTTGGGCCATCTGTCTCCATCCCACGTCCAGAAGATACATCATGGCCAGTGTCAGGATTTCAACAGCTGATGCCTTCCCATCGTCAACTGCTGCCTCCCATTTCCAAAGAAACCATTGAGGGTTACTTCATCTACCGTATGGCAGGAGACAACCAAGCTGCACATGATATCAAGGCCATAGAGAAAGGTTATCTGATGTTTGAGGGGGACAGGGTGCTGGCATGCAGTGTTCACATACGTGCATCTACTGATGTATACTTAAGTGGCATCGTCAGTGCATCTATGAAAAACAAGGTAAAATATTTACACACCATAAAATCAAAATAAAAAATAAAACCTTTTTAAATTATAATGAAATTTGTACTCAAAGATGAAGCTAATCCGAAATACATTCTTGACATAAAACTGATTGAAAGTGAATTTATTAATGGGAAATTACATTGTACATACATCACATTATATGCATGACTTCTATGCTTGGGTTAATGTGGGTAGCCTAGTGGTCCAAGTGTTTACTCATCTTGCTGAAGGCCAGGTTCAATTCCCTAAAAGGGTTCAATGTGTGAAGCCCATTTCTGGTGTCTCTAGCTGTGAAAGAGCTGGAATATTGCTAAAAGTGGTGCATAACCATACATACTCACTCACTCTATCCTAGGTCACATACAATTACAAGGTGAAGGTAGAGAAGACCGGGGAGCCAGTCAACTCCCACTGCGAGTGTCCTGCAGGGAAAGGACCACATTCAACCTGTAAGCACATCGCTGCGGTGCTGTTGATGTTGGAGCATTTCATCTCAACTGGCAGTGTGCAAGTTGGAAAGAGCTGTACCGAAAACTTGCAGTTGTTCCACAAGCCCAAAAAATCGTACAAAGGTAGGTCATATTACAGCCAAGGAAATATCATACCCAGGCCTCAACTACAATGTTATGATGAGGAAGAGAATGTATGGATGTCAACTTCTATATTATGAGGTTAAGGGTGTTTCCTCATTATATAGAAGTTGACATCCATATATTCTCTTCCTTATGTGCATCACTTCTAAATGCCTTAGACACGTTATGATGGTTTATGATTTTGTATATAAAAGAGAAACTGTATATGACTAAATATTATGTGTTGGATATTGGAGTGGAAAAAGTTATTAAATATTTGTATAAGTGTTGTTTTGAACAGGATTATTATGGCAATGTAGTATCAAAATATTGTATTCAGGATCACCCGTAACAGCTGCAGAACTGCCGTCAAAAAGAAAATGGTCACAGCATATGCTGGACGATCCAAGGCCACAAAAATACAGACACATGAGTGGCTACAATGATCATGTGCGCAACATGATGACAAACTACTGCTCAAAGTCATCTCATGATATCGCCCTTAGATATGTTCACCCAAAAGCTGATGTCCAGACAGCTGCTGAGGACCATCACTACCTTAAACAGCCATTTACAGAGTACATGGTTGACATGGCACTGAAGGTACACAACACTGGAAATTCTGTTGTATAATACATGTAAAAAATCTTTAAAACCTAAAGTCTTTCAGATTTGATCTTTGTAATACACAGTTAAAATCATAGCTTGTGAGGAAACAGCAACATCTGAATGTTTGGGGTTGTGAGTAATTTGTAAAATGCAATTAACTAAGTTTGAAAATGCCTAATCATGATCAAGCAGATTAGTTCCCTTGTAAAAGAAATATAGACTTGTATATTAGGCATTTTTCAGATTACTGTCATGTAAAACAAACTATGTGAAAAAATATTGTTTGGGACATCTCTTTTATGTCTTGACTTTTGTTTTTCTTTACAGGTAACTGAGGAATCTGCGAAAGATATTGAGGCAGCAACGCAAGACCAGTCCCGGAGCCCAGTGTGGCACACAGAAAGAAAGTGGCGCCTCACAGCCTCAAGGTTTGGTGAAGTGACCAAAATGACCAACCGAAGAAATAAGGAGAAGTTATGTAAATCAATTGTGTCCACAAAAAATTTATCATGTAAGCCTGTAATTCATGGAAAGCAGTATGAAAAAAGAGCACTTTCAAAATTTGAATCCATGTACAATATCAAAACAAAAAAGGCAGGTCTATTTGTTTCCTGTTCTGAACCCTATCTGGGTGCTACGCCAGATGCCATTATTGATGCTGATATCTTGGTTGAGGTGAAATGTCCATATGCTGGAAGAAATGATCACATTAAACCTGGTAAACATTTTCCATATCTTCATTACAATGTAAACAATCAGATTTGTTTAAATCCCAGCAGTCACTACTACTGTCAGGTACAGGGACAGATGTACTTAGCAAAGCGTCAATTTTGCTAATTTGTTGTTTACACATTCTGTGACATGTTTGTAGAAAAGGTCAGTGTTGATAAAGATTTCTGTCAGTACTCATTAATTCCCAAACTTGAACTGTTCTATACCAAACATCTAAGACCATACATTGCTTCTACATTGTAAATCATGTTTTTTCCCTTGGATACATCATTAAGGCATTTATGAGTCCAAGCTTGTGTACCGGTATGTACCAATGGTAATAACAGTATGTTTGATTCCCATTGGGAGTTTGTGTTTGTGTATTAAGCACAATCAGGTTGTCTTATTCCTGAAATTAACTCAAAATCTAAAAATGTCATACAGTTATATCCAGATCTAATAGAAATATTCCTTGGACTTTTTGTTGATGATGGTCTTTTCTCTTATTCGGTAATTGGTCTCAAGCGTCAAATCAACATTTTGGAAACTTATTGTGACAAATGGTGACTGTTCGTCAGTCTTTATAACTAAAGTATCATTTTATGCTTGGGTGTAGTAAACTCTGTATCACTTAAGAAAAAAAATATCCAAATAAGTTCACATATTTTCCAAATATCAATTTGTTTCACATGCTCATGTCAACATCAAATGTTATATTAATACAAATTATTATATTGTGCATACATCATGCATATTCTGTGCCTTGATCTATATTTGCAATGAATAAGCAATTTGAATTGTAAATCATACACATGTCCAATATGATTTAGCTACCATTAAGACAGTTTAGTGTGAAGTTGAAGATTCATGAAGATTCCATTTGAAGAATATACACAGTACTCAACTAATGTTTCATATATACACACATGTTTATTCAGACACTCAAGAGAAAGATTTTGGGTTTCCTCTAGATTTCACTGAACAGGTTTACAACCTGTTACCACAAGGTACATACACATTGTAAGAGCATCAGTGGAGCGGTACATTGTGCTCAGGGGTAACTACAGTACACAGAGTTAGAAATAATAAACTGCTGTGGTTTGAGACTATTACAAGTCATTGGCAAAGTTAAAATATTGTGGTTTTGGTTTCCCAATCAATTGTTTGACTAAATATGGTAATACCACCAAACAAAATGACAGCATGTCACCTTTATCTTTCATTTCAAAGCTTACCATATGCATAAATAACTAATGAAAAGAAGCAATTTCTTTGACACATGAGAGATTCACATTTTAATATGACATGCGTGTGTCACAAGTTACACTCCATACACTTTTTGGGTCGTGGGGAGATTTTCACACTCAGTTGAAAGCCAGAAGCCATTACAAATGTAAGGTTAGCCTTGTATGAATGTTTTCAGTGGGATAAGCCTCAAATAACTGAAATATTGTGAGCCCATCGCTGTTAAAAACGGTCTCTTTGACTACAAATGACATATGTTTGATTGAAATGATTCAACCTTTGAAAAATGTTGGTGCAAATAATGAAGTAATTTTCAGACAATGTAGGACTATATATATCACACAAGTGAATGTCAATAGTATTGATTATGTACATCATATTAGGTATTGTTAGACTTTACCTTACAAATTGAATTTTCAACACCACTAGTCACATTTTAAAGCCTTAATGAATTCAGTTCAGCTCCATAAATGTGAAAATGTAGGTAACTTTAATACTTTATATACATATTGTCATTTAGTTGGTTGGTTTGTTTGTTGTTTTACGCCGCAATCAGCAATATTCCAGCTATATGACAGCGGTCTGTAAATCATCGAGTCTGGATCAGACAATCCAGTGATTGACATCATGAGCATCAATCCACGCAATTGGGATAGATGACATGCATCAACCAAGTGAGCGAGCCTGACCACCCGATCCCGTCAGTCGCCTTTTACGGCAGTATGGGTTGCTGAAGACCGATCCTACCCCGGAATCTTCCCGGGTCTACTGTCATTTAGATTTTGTTGAAGATGAGTATCATATTAGGTTCATATGCCCAAGTTACTCTGTGAATAAAATTACCTTTTCATAGCTTTAACAACACTCATTCAATGGTCAATTAGCTAAATACAAGAACTGTACATCTCCTTAAATCTGTTGCTCTGTATATGAAACATGTTTTCAAATTACGAGCTCTCACATGACCACTTATTATTACGAAAAACTGTACTATAGGCCATGTGACCATACCGATTATATTACTACTGTATAAGGCAGTTGGGTGGCCTTATGGCTAAAGTGTTTGCTTGTCACGCCGAAGACCCGGGTTCAATTCCCGACATGGGTAACATTGGTGAAGCTCATTTCTGGGGTCCTCCGCCATGATATTGCTAAAAGAGGTGTAAAACAATTCTCAATCACTCACACTACTGAATAAAATTCTACTACTACTACAAATTTCAGTCACAGATATCACAAAGAAGAGATGCTTCAAGCAAATTCATTTACAATGGAATTTCTGAAATTTGAAATAGCAAAACAAACATAAACAATCCGCGATCCAAGTACTACTTTACTTGGTGGGAGATGTTTTTTCAGAATTTTGAAAGTTTTACTCAGACCAATTATACGTTCAACATGGATTCTTTTAGAAGCAATTCTTCTATCCTTAACAACATCTTCTGGTTCTAACTGTGACTTGCCTTTTAACATAGTTGGGGTGTTTACTTGAACATCTTGGGCTGCAAATAAGTCTTGAACCATAATGCCCCTGTCAGCCATAATGCTATCCTGTTTTTCAAACATACCATGTGATGGGTTAAGTAAAGGAGACTGTTCTATGATCTGTCTGTCACTTGCAGACCCCCCAAAAGATTCACTAATAAATGAGACTGCCCCCCTGGGTGTGCAACCGATCATGGTTTTCAATGTGTTTTGATGTTTATAGCTGGACCATGTCATGCTCTGAGCATCAACATGAGATGGCTTCTTTATTGGTATCTCTGTTGCATCCAAAATGACTCTAGTGTTTTTAAACTTCTTACCGAAATCTGTTGGCATGTGATCATCAACAGTTGCTCTTGATGGCCATATCTGTAGTTCCTTCAGTTGGAAATATAAGAAATTGATCCATGTTATTACAATTTGGGAAACAGTGGATGATGATATGCCAAACAAGAAACTTAATTCAATGTCATCCTTGGCCTGTCTTAATTTCATTAGAGTCAAAAACAGTTGGTCTTTTGGGTGCAAGAGTTCACATTGATAGTTCAGTTCAAAAACTGCTGGACCAAGCGAGTGAAAGAAAAACATGAAATGGTCATAATCTTGGAAACCAGCAAAGTACAAAACAGCTTTGGGATTATTTATGTAGGTTTCTATGGAACAACTTCCTAACAAACTGCACTGAGTAGACTGAGAGTCACTTTGACATGTTTCAAGAGGCTCATTCAAGCTACTTGGGCTTGTGATAGCACAATCCTCTCCAATGCCGATTTCCACCTCCGACGACACATTCAATATAGCTATGTTGGCTTCTTCTTCACGGAGTTGATGTGCCCTCTTTGGTCGAGTTGGTAGTGCTGATGTACTGGTGCATGATGTATGTGGGAAGATGGAGGGAACCGCAGCTGCCCGGAGACGACTTCGTTCACCTTATGTTAAATACACTTAACGTAAGTTACAGAAAAATGAAAGGTTTCAATTTATTGAAATGAAAACAAATGCATATTGAGGTGATTTTCCTCTTAAGAATTAAGAAGATAAGCAAGTAGCTTTTAATTTTTTATAAGTCTTATTAATTATATGAAAATGCAGGTGAAAATATAACAACAATGAAGTAATGTTACATGTCGAACGACCTCAAATTCCTCTAGTGATTTACTTATAGAGTTTACCAATAATAGAAAATTGTACAAAACTGAGTTTCCCAGGCCTCGTTGAGTAATTCTTCTGTCGGAAGCTTCAGGCTTGTCATCGTTTGTATGGCTCCTTAAAAACAGGAATTTAACACAAAGCAACAAGAACAAACATTAACAAGGAATCAACCAAAATAATAATATCTAAATTCACTTGCAAACATGGCATAAATCAACAATACACAAGTTGAAGACACATTCATGGTTGTTTTTTATGATATTCATTATCAAAATGTGTGTGTACGCTATACAGAGCTACAGATTAGCTGCACATTTGTGTAAAATATTAAAAACCCAATTACACACTGATTATCTTGTGTACAAAAACGCATGCATTTAAGGAAAAACTCAAATGTTTGAAAACAGCACGCGTTAATAGCAATCGTAAAACAGGGCTAATTTCCGAAACACAATTATGAGCTAATTTACTATCTGAGTCAAGCCTATATATTAAGTACAGTTATATACATCTAATGATAAATGTTTACTAATTTTGGGAAAATCCGAATAGAGTCATGAATGGATGATTGAAATAATATTGGTTACCCTATGAAAAATGTTATACTTATAACCCATTTAAAATAGAAACCCTAGAGTTAAAACTCATTTACTCAAAAAAAGTTATCTGGACCTCTGATTATAGAAATATCTTTACATTGCTTTATGCAAGCAGAAACTTAATCATATTTACTAAGGTGAATGGGTCTGTGAATGAACAGCTGTTGAACAGTAGCATGAGGATATTGGCTATTCAAAATTAATAAATCACATTTTGACATGTATATTTTTGTCTATGAATAAATTTACTTCGTTGTTATAGTTAATAAAAGAAAGATTGTTTCCATAATAACATACATAAATAAATATACAATCAAATGTTTAGGCCTATTCATTAATGTTTGGGTCTGTGAATGAACAGCTGATAAACAGGGCCCAGTTACCAGTATCATGAGGATATTGGCTATTCGATATTTGTTATAGGCTAATATATTCTGCTTTTGCGCTTTTCTTTGCCAACATACAAAAAAACAGTAAGAAAACCATGCACAAATAATTATTTATCATTCTCAACAGACAAAATAATACTGTTTTTACGAACCTAATAGTGTATCCACGAAATCATCATCAGTGAAGTGAGCCCTACAGACTACGTCGCCTGTCCCTGGCTTCCACAGATTCTTTGTTGGAACATCAACTCTTCTTACCGCCACGCGCCACTTTTGTTGCAGGTCGGGGTCTGAAGGGTATTTATGTCCTCCAATCTTATTTTTACAACCCGGAACAGAGCAGTATCTTGGCATAGCTGATAACGGTCGAGTGAATCTTCGATACGAGCCACTTTGAAAGCTGACTTCCGGTTGTGACTTATAACCACTAGTACATTTGCGCCACCTAGCGAGCAACTTGGGGCGGTGTCTCCCATTTGGCGAGGGCACGAGGCCTAGCCAAGCGGGATCAGTAGCCATATCTGTGCTTGTAGACCTCTGCGGCTTGAAACCTCCTCCACAAATAAAAATAGTTGGATTTGGCGGAAATATGTTTGAATTGTTACCTTGTTTCGTTTTGTCGCTGTGTGTACATCTGACTACACTTCTTATTGTAATGACAGGACAGACCGACTGTCAACAACGTCTGACCGTGGCCGTGACGTCTCATAGACTAGGGTTAGAGTAGCTTCCCTTTGACAAAGGGCAGTTACTCTAGCTCGCTAAATACAATGTTTATTCCTAATGCAGGATATTTACCATCCCCAAACACACTCGCGTGATAACCTCTATATATCATAATCCGTTGATGACATATCCTTCACGGGCGTTTAAAGAAACGTAATCTCATAACACCTTAGCTACGCATTGGCGGTAAATTGTGCTCAAGCATATTGAAACTTAACTTGTTTGATAGGCATTACTTAGAAGTTGGCGGATGACAAGATAGACACAATTTTATGGATAACAACTTCTTTAATACTGTAAAAAGCGACGTTTCGGTATAGATCCTTATACCGTTGTCAAGCAAGACTGAATGAGGGACATAGTGCAGAATATATATAGCAAGTGGAGGATTAACAGTAGAGGATTAACAGTAACAGAAGCAGTCCACATTCGCCGCCACAACCCATCAATCAACAGAGATCAAGGCTATTTCATCCCATCCGCCTACTATGAACTCATCAAACAATAATCACCTGTTTATTGGCTTCATGCCCCATTGGCTTCTAGCTATGTGTTTTCTGTCCATCGTGTTGTGATAGCATCATCCTTGTTGTCACACCTACCTATGTTATCCCACTCATGTATGCCCTTGCTGTAAAGCCAATGCTGTAGTTTTAAGAAAAGGTGGTATTGTTGCAAAACATGAAAATCGGTTTCTTGGTTCGTCTGCCTTGAGTGTAGTCACTTACTATAAATATCTAGGTCTTATGTTCTCCTCTAAACAAAACTGCAAACAATCAAATATCTTCACCCCTAAACTTAAAATACCCAAAATAGACACAACACTAGCTAGCCAAATAAATAAACAAACCGACCCAAACATAGCTAAAACTACCACACTAGCATACATACACGGAAATTGGCCAAATTGGTGCCACATTTACACGGACGGATCCTCAGATCCGACCTCCAAACACACAGGTTTCGGAGTCCATACCACACAACCAACTAAAACCACACAATCCTTTCGACTCCCAAACAACCAATCAATATTCACGGCAGAACTAATGGGCATGGCCTCAGCCCTCCATAATCAAGAATCCAAAAAACACAAAAAAATCCTAATACTTACCGACTCCCTAAGTGAACTGCAAGCCCTCCAAAACAAAAATACCAAAAACCGACCTAAATTAATAAATCAAATACTTAAAAGCTCCAACGACCTAAGGCAGGCAAACAAATAACCTTCTTGTGGATACCCGCCCACGTAGGAATATACGGTAATGAAAACGCCGATAAAGCAGCTAAACTATCCCTCAAAATCCCAGAAATAAGCTTAAACTTACCCATCTCAAAATCAGAAATTAAAAGTGAAAACAAGCAAAAAATCACAAAAAATGGCATAACCTATACCTAAACTCAAATAGCCAAATCAAAAAAGTGCTCAGCAAACCACTAACCAAACCAAAAATTCTCCATCCATCCAAAAAAATCGACAGAGTAATCACTAAACTCCAAACAGGACACACCAACCTAAATAACCACCTAAAATTTAAAAAAACAAACACTACAGGTAACTGCCCACACTGCAAACAACCAGAAACCCCAGAACACGCACTCATCCACTGCACACACTACCTAACACATCGAACCGCATTACAAACCACCCTCAATCTAAACAAGGCTCTAACTCTAGAAGCAATACTAAACCCACAAAATAAACTAGAAAACTTCAAGGCCTTAGGCGTATTCTTAATAAAAACGGAACTAATAAAACGCATCTAAAAACACAATAACCTACCAAATCAAAATCACATAAACAAACAAACATCCACCATACCCAGCTCCCTTAGTTCTCCTCCCCAATCCCATCGGCATCTATTCCAAATCTCAAAATTCCCAATTTCTATATAAGCAACCCCTAAAACCCCCATCTTGGGTTGCACAGACCACCTTCGCCCCTTTCGGAAACACATTAAATGGCCTGACCGGGCCCGTGTGCGAAATACGCATCAGTCGGAAAGCGCACGTTAAATCTCCAAAGTAAGTAAGTAAGTAAGTTCTCCTCTAGATTGTCATGGTCTTTGGCTTGTAAGCAATTAGCTGCTCAGGCGTCGAAAGCCATTATGCCTCTTTATAATTTATTCAGGAAAAATAGTTGTGTGTCTTGTGCCATTGTCCATGACCTTTCGATCTCCGGGCAGATGCACTTGACCACAGAAAATAAGAGACTGATTCCATTGTTAAATTTTCAAAAATACGATTTTATGTCAAAATGTCTTCATGAGTTCTTGTGTAATTGGATTTCTGCTCTCCGGAATTTCGCGTTATGAATAAAGGTAGGTCTGCACAATGGTTGCCTACATTTGGAGGAGTTAGATACAGGCTGTCCATTAAGTCCATGTATGTTTACTATATGCTTAGAAGCCATCAATATAAAATTAAGTGAGTGAGTGAGTATGGTTTTACGCCGCTTTTAGCAATATTCCTTGCACAAATAGGTGTTGTTTATCTGCACAGCAAAGTGCTCCTCCTTAGACGACTGTCACACCTGGTAGACAGATACAACACACCGTCCTAGAAGCCAATCTTTTATCAAACTAGGGTTTGTTTGGTAGTCAAGTGGTTAAAGCGTTGGCTTGTCGCGCCGAAAACCCGGGTTCGATTCCCGCCATGTATGGGTACAATGTGTGAAGCCTATTTCTGGTGTCCCCCGCCATGATATTGCTGGAATTTTGCTAAAAGCGGCGTAAAACCATACTCACTCACACTCACTTTTAACAAACTGCCGGTAAGGAGTGCCTGCTCAAAGGTGTGACCTTGCAATTGTTTACGTCTTGCGATCAGTGGCATGACTGAAGTTGGAGACAACAAACTAATGGCTTAAGAAAACATAGCGAAATTGTTGTAATCGATCATGTCGAACAAGCTGAAGGAACGTTGTCAAATATTGATCCAATTCTTTGTTCTTTTCACAGTGTTTGAACAGATATCTTGATGAAACAAAATTTCAAAACGAAGTTTGAAAGAAACCTGTGACGCTCGGCAAATCATAGGGATTAAAGATATAAACTTCAAATTGAACTCTCCTCAAAAAGAAGTTTCTTTCTGTATGCACCGGGACAAGTACAGTCAAGTCTCGTTAATCCGACACTCGGCTTTATCCGACACAAATGATGGGAACCGATTGATTCAGTGCTATTTAGTCCCGTTAATCCGACATTCTCGCACTCCGACTCCGACACACCTAATTTGCAACGAATTGCCGAAATCACTCATTAATCAGTCTCGTTAATCCGACACAGTGATAAGCGTACCCCGTGGTCATCTGACACGCACTGGCTGCAGAGATTAACTTAACAATTAACAGGAAAAGCTATTCAAACCTGTATGTACAAAGCTATACAAATGTTGTTTACAAATTGAAGCCAGATAAATGTGCATGAAGCCAGTTTAAAATACGAACAGGTATATAAAACATGGTCGACTCACCATCCTCAGATCCGACCTCCAAACACACAGGTTTCGGAGTCCATACCACACAACCAACTAAAACCACACAATCCTTTCGACTCCCAAACAACCAATCAATATTCACGGCAGAACTAATGGGCATGGCCTCAGCCCTCCATAATCAAGAATCCAAAAAACACAAAAACATCCTAATACTTACCGACTCCCTAAGTGGACTGCAAGCCCTCCAAAACAAAAATACCAAAAACCGACCTAAATTAATAAATCAAATACTTAAAAGCTCCAACGACCTAACTAAGGCAGGCAAACAAATAACCTTCTTGTGGATACCCGCCCACGTAGGAATATACGGTAATGAAAACGCCGATAAAGCAGCTAACTATCCCTCAAAATCCCAGAAATAAGCTTAAACTTACCCATCTCAAAATCAGAAATTAAAAGTGAAAACAAGCAAAAAATCACAAAAAATGGCATAACCTATATCTAAACTCAAATAGCCAAATCAAAAAAGTGCTCAGCAAACCACTAACCAAACCAAAAATTCTCCATCCATCCAAAAAATCGACAGAGTAATCACTAAACTCCAAACAGGACACGCCAACCTAAATAACCACCTAAATTTTATTTAAAAACACACTACAGGTAACTGCCCACACTGCAAACAACCAGAAACCCCAGAACACGCACTCATCCACTGCACACACTACCTAACACATCGACCCGCATTACAAACCACCCTCAATGTGAACAAGGCTCTAACTCTAGAAGCAATACTAAACCCACAAAATAAACTAGAAAACTTCAAGGCCTTAGGCGTATTCTTAATAAAAACGGAACTAATAAAACGCATCTAAAAACACAATAACCTACCAAATCAAAATCACATAAACAAACAAATTTAAACATCCACCATACCCAGCTCCCTTAGTTCTCCTCCCCAATCCCATCGGCATCTATTCCAAATCTCAAAATTCCCAAATTCTATATAAGCAACCCCTAAAACCCCCCTCTTGGGTTGCACAGACCACTTTCGCCCCTTTCGGAAACACATTAAATGGCCTGGCCGGGCCCGTGTGCGAAATACGCATCAGTCGGAAAGCGCACGTTAAATCTCCAAAGTAAGTAAGTAAGTAAACCATCGGTGTTTTTCAAATTGAGAAAAAGGACTTTGTTGTTGAAATGGGACACATGGGTCACGGGATGCTTTTGTGCTAAGACTCTACAACGCATTTAATATCTACAGTAAACTACGGTTATAACGAACTCATAGGGACCACTAATTTTAGTTCGTTATATCCGTCAGTTCGTTATAAGCGTGTTCGTTATAACCGTAGTTTACTGTATACTGAAATGTGGACCGCTTCCACACAGGTTCACGCACGTCGCTATATGAGTGCAATAATCTTGGACGCAACGTTAAACCCCATTTCACCTCACCTCACCGAACATAATCGGGAAGAATGTATGTTTCTAAACTCTGGTGAACATTGTCCCCGATCAACAGCCGTCATCGCCACTGAAAGGGTTGCATGGACATACTGCAACGGGGATGGCAATGGAGAGTGAAAGGTTATCAGTTCACAGACGAGACATGTTAAGAAGCTTTGGCGTCAGAAGGGTGGTTTGGGGTGTTGGCGTCAGAAGGGTGGGTGGGGGCGTCATAAGGGTTTTTTGGGGTGTTGGTGACAGAAGGGTGGTTTGGGGTGTTGGTGACAAAAGGGTTGGTGTTGGTCTCAGATGGATGGTTGTTGGTGACAGAAGGGTGGTTTGGGGTGTTGGTGTCAGAAGGGTGGGTGTTGGTGTCAGAAGGGTGGGTGTTGGTATCAGAAGGATGGTTTTGGGTGTTGGTGTCAGAAGGGTGGGTGTTGGTGTCAGAAGGGTGGTTTGGGGTGTTGGTGTCAGAAGGGTGGGTGTTGGTATCAGAAGGGTGGTTTTGGGTGTTGGTGTCAGAAGGGTGGGTGTTGGTGACAGAAGGGTGGGTGTTGGTGTCAGAAGGGTGGTTTGGGGTGTTGGTGACAGAAGGGTGGGTGTTGGTGTCAGAAGGGTGGGTGTTGGTGACAGAAGGGTGGTTGTTGGTGTCAGAAGGGTGGGTGTTGGTGTCAGAAGGGAGGGTGTTGGTGTCAGAAGGGTGGTTTGGGGTGTTGGTGTCAGAAGGGTGGGTGTTGGTGTCAGAAAGGTGGGTGTTGGTATCAGAAGGATGGTTTTGGGTGTTGGTGTCAGAAGGGTGGGTGTTGGTGTCAGAAGGGTGGTTTGGGGTGTTGGTGTCAGAAGGGTGGGTGTTTTTTATCAGAAGGGCGGGTGTTGGTGACAGAAGGGTGGGTGTTGGTGTCAGAAGGGTGGTTTGGGGTGTTGGTGTCAGAAGGGTGGGTGTTGGTATCAGAAGGGTGGTTTTGGGTGTTGGTGTCAGAAGGGTGGGTGTTGGTGACAGAAGGGAGGGTGTTGGTGTCAGAAGGGTGGTTTGGGGTGTTGGTGACAGAAGGGCGGGTGTTGGTGACAGAAGGGTGGGTGTTGGTGACAGAAGGGTGGGTGTTGGTGTCAGAAGGGTGGGTGTTGGTGTCAGAAGGGTGGGTGTTGGTGACAGAAGGGTGGGTGTTGGTGTCAGAAGGGTGGGTGTTGGTGACAGAAGGGTGGGTGTTGGTGTCAGAAGGGTGGGTGTTGGTGACAGAAGGGTGGGTGTTGGTGACAGAAGGGTGGGTGTTGGTGACAGAAGGGCGGGTGTTGGTGTCAGAAGGGTGGGTGTTGGTGTCAGAAGGGCGGGTGTTGGTGTCAGAAGGGCGGGTGTTGGTGTCAGAAGGGTGGGTGTTGGTGACAAAAGGGCGGGTGTTGGTGACAGAAGGGCGGGTGTTGGTGTCAGAAGGGTGGGTGTTGGTGACAAAAGGGCGGGTGTTGGTGACAGAAGGGCGGGTTTTGTTTATAGCTGGAATATTGCTCTGAGTGTGGCATTAAACAACAAACAAACACACAAAGAGAAGGGAAGTCAGGCTCTGTCTGTAAACAATCGAGTCTGGACAAGACAATCCAGTGATTGACATCATGAGCATCGATCCAAGCAATTGGGCTTCGATGACACGCATCAACCAAGTACCCGATCCCGTTAGTCGCCTCTTAGGTCAAGCATATAGTCGCCATTTTAGGCAAGCATGGGTTGCTGAAGACCTATTCTAACCCGGATCTTCACTGGTCGACGCCCTATTCAATTCAGCCGGCTCTTACGACCTTATCCATCCCGCTGTTCCCCATAGTGTATCTAATTGAAGACGAAAACAATTATATTACTGCGTCACATAGTGTATGCAACAATATAATACAAGTATGACATCAGAGACCATAAACATAAATCCTGAGATACAATTTTCTCCATTACTTTATTATAATTGCCAAACCTGATAGAGAGAAGAAACTTTCTGTGACACAAGTAGAAATTTGTACTTTCAATCATGAAAATAGCAGTTTGACTGAATTATGTAAAATATAATATATTTATGAATATCGCCCCTGATCCCCTCAAAAACTGACTCGATGGTCTTTGAAAGTAAAGAAAACAGAAATCAACTGTTTGATTGGCATGCTAGAAGTTGGTGGGTAAATAAGACAAACGAACAACTTTATGGATAACAACTTCTTGTTTATTGCATTTAGCGACGTTTCGAAGTTGATTCTTACACCGTTACCTGGTCCAGGTAAGAATCTACATCGAAACGCCGCTAAGTGCAATAAACCAGAACTTGGTGTCCATAAAGGTGTACGATTTCTGCGAAAACAGAAACCATCAAATAAAAAAATAGCGTGGCCTAGCCAATTTCGCATTCTTTTATTTGTTTATGTCTTTGCCTCTATACTGACTGCTCTTTAACACATACCGATATCCAACAGCAATCAACAAAAACTTAAACACAAACAAGCAAACAAAACTCTGAAACTATAATCAAATATCGGAGTATAGCGATTTTATAAATGCCTATCAAAATTATATTCTTAAATGGCTCCTCGGATCTAAACATTCGTCACCACTCGCCCCTTTCCGTGACGGCTTGTCCCGGAATAACACGAGTTGGTCAGGAATGTAAATATGGATGTGTTGACTGTATTTGAATCAAATTGTATAACCCCGTAAATATTTCCAATTTAAAAAGGAACCTTATTAGGAAGTAACGTATACCACCATTCTTTATTTTTTTCACAAATGAACTGACGGGTGTAAAAGTGAACCTAACACAGTCAGTAATTATAATGTTGTGTGGCGTTTGCATTTAGGAAACCCCCTATCTATTTTTAGTAACTGGGGAAACCCAAGCGAGCTATATTAAAACATTACGACAGATATTAAATCTTGATCAATATTAAACAACATCCTTAATACACTAACAGTGCTTAAACAAACAAAAAATATGTTTACCGGATATATTTTTAAATCAAATGTTCGTTTTAAAAAACAATCTTTACAATATGTTACGTCATATCGCCGGCAAAAAAAAAGGAACATGGCGTCCGTGCAGGCAAGTCAAGTTTGACTTTTCGTTTGGTGTATGAAATTTGGGTAAGTGCACGCTTTTACCTGTTCCATTTGTTATTCTATATCTGCCGCGTGGACAGTATAAGTAGTAGTTATTTCAAAGCCAGTGATTTATGAAGAGTTGATAGCTCACTTTCGCTGGTGTTTTGTCAAATCGACAAGCATGATTTTGCTGATTTTGTCAAATGGAAAAACAAGATTTGGTTGGAGACACACTAAGTTGGAAATGACATGGGTCGAGGATGGTGTCAAGGTTTTTGTGGTGGAACGACAGTACTCTCTTTGAAAAGGATATCATCTTGTCCCGGTGTCTCCTTCTTCTGGAGTCTCGTCTCGTTGTATTATTGTACGATAAACAACGACCACGAGTCGTTTATTTCTATATGAGATATCAACATTATGTACAGCCTTTTAAAGCACCGTGAACAAGCTTTAAAACTATTTACCCAAATTTTAATTATGATGACTCTGTTATGACCTCGGAAATGTCGGACAAGTCCATTAACAGCTGGGTAAGTTTGTTTGTTATTTTTCCCAATCAATTATCTGTACCTTTTCCCCTAATACAGATTGTCATATCTCTCCTACTTTTGGATGCGATAGTTCGGCCACTGCATTTATGAGTGTAGCCCAACTACACCTATGGGGAACAACATACTTGACAATTCCCTCTCAAAACTAACAGCGTCCAATATATGACGTCACTAAGTTGCGAGTGCATATTCAAATCTCAAGAAATGACATCATGATTGAACACGCTTCGTTCTTCCTTGTTCTTTGCGATCTTATATTGGATACTACCCTGCGTGTCTTGTTGTCTTGGTGTCTCAGTGTCCCCGTGTGTCTATGTCTCGGTGTCCCTATGTCCCGGTGTCCCTATGTCTCGGTGTCCCTATGTCTCTGTGTCCCTATGTCTCGGTGTCCCTATGTCCCGGTGTCCCTATGTCCCGGTGTCCCTATGTCTCGGTGTCCCTATGTCTCGATGTCCCTATGTCTCGGTGTCCCGGTGTCCATATGTCTCGGTGTCCCGGTGTCCCGGTGTCCCTATGTCCCGGTGTCCCTATGTCTCGGTGTCCCTATGTCTCCGTGTCCCTATGTCTCCGTGTCCCGGTGTCCATATGTCTCGGTGTCCCGGTGTCCCTATGTCCCGGTGTCCCTATGTCTCCGTGTCCCTATGTCTCGGTGTCCTGGTGTCCCTATGTCTCGGTGTCCCTATGTCTCGGTGTCCCTATGTCTCGGTGTCCCTATGTCCCGGTGTCCCTATGTCTCGGTGTCCCTATGTCTCGGTGTCCTGGTGTCCATATGTCTCGATGTCCCGGTGTCCCTATGTCTCGGTGTCTCGGTGTCCCTGTGTCCCTATGTCCCGGTGTCCCTATGTCTCGGTGTCTCGGTGTCCCTATGTCTCGGTGTCCCGGTGTCCCTATGTCCCGGTGTCCCTATGTCTCGGTGTCCCTATGTCTCGGTGTCCTGGTGTCCCTATGTCTCGATGTCCCGGTATCCCTATGTCCCGGTGTCCCTATGTCTCGGTGTCTCGGTGTCCCAATGTCTCGGTGTCCCGGTGTCCTGGTGTCCCTATGTCTCGATGTCCCGGTGTCCCGGTGTCCCTATGTCCCGGTGTCCCTATGTCCCGGTGTCCCTATGTCCCGGTGTCCCTATGTCTCGGTGTCCCTATGTCTCGGTGTCCCTGTGTCCCTATGTCTCGGTGTCCCGGTGTCCCTATGTCTCGGTGTCCCGGTGTCCCTATGTCTCGGTGTCCCTATGTCTCGGTGTCCTGGTGTCCCTATGTCTCGGTGTCCCTATGTCTCCGTGTCCCTATGTCTCCGTGTCCCTATGTCTCCGTGTCCCGGTGTCCATATGTCTCGGTGTCCCGGTGTCCCTATGTCCCGGTGTCCCTATGTCTCGGTGTCCCTATGTCTCGGTGTCCTGGTGTCCCTATGTCTCGGTGTCCCTATGTCTCGGTGTCCCTATGTCTCGGTGTCCCTATGTCCCGGTGTCCCTATGTCTCGGTGTCCCTATGTCTCGGTGTCCTGGTGTCCATATGTCTCGATGTCCCGGTGTCCCTATGTCTCGGTGTCCTGGTGTCCCTATGTCTCGGTGTCCCTATGTCTCCGTGTCCCTATGTCTCCGTGTCCCTATGTCTCCGTGTCCCGGTGTCCATATGTCTCGGTGTCCCTGTGTCCCTATGTCCCGGTGTCCCTATGTCTCGGTGTCCCTATGTCTCGGTGTCCTGGTGTCCCTATGTCTCGGTGTCCCTATGTCTCGGTGTTCCGGTGTCCCTATGTCCCGGTGTCCCTATGTCTCGGTGTCCCTATGTCTCGGTGTCCTTGTGTCCCTATGTCTCGATGTCCCGGTGTCCCTATGTCCTGGTGTCCCTATGTCTCGGTGTCTCGGTGTCCCTATGTCCCGGTGTCCCGGTGTCCCTATGTCCCGGTGTCCCTATGTCTCGGTGTCCCTATGTCTCGGTGTCCTGGTGTCCCTATGTCTCGATGTCCCGGTATCCCTATGTCCCGGTGTCCCTATGTCTCGGTGTCTCGGTGTCCCAATGTCTCGGTGTCCCGGTGTCCCTATGTCTCGGTGTCCCTATGTCTCGGTGTCCTGGTGTCCCTATGTCTCGATGTCCCGGTGTCCCTATGTCCCGGTGTCCCTATGTCTCGGTGTCCCTATGTCTCGGTGTCCCTGTGTCCCTATGTCTCGGTGTCCCGGTGTCCCTATGTCTCGGTGTCCCGGTGTCCCTATGTCTCGGTGTCCCTATGTCTCGGTGTCCCTATGTCTCGGTGTCCCTATGTCTTGGTGTCCCTATGTCTCGGTGTCTCGGTGTCCCTATGTCTCGGTGTCCCTATGTACCGGTGTCCCTATGTCTCGGTGTCCCGGTGTTCCTATGTCTCGGTGTCTTGTTGTCTCGGTGTCGTGTTGTCTCAGTGTCACAGTCCCCCATGATGTGGATCATTGCTAATGCTGTCAACTGCCGAAGCCAGACTTGACACCCAATTGATGAGCTACAGACTGACTAGTGTAAAAGGAGGCATTAATTCACTCAAACACATTCACTATACATGCTATAGCTCTGTTCTCCTGACTACACACAAGGAAAGAGCAATGTTTCATTTTTCTTGTGGCAATGAAAACGTCCTCAGTACATACACAAGTGGTATTGATTTGAATTCTCTTGTGTAGCATTTCAAAATTCTGCAGGAGCCATGAGTGGCCCAGTTTTCAAAGGCGCTGCAGTTCACTGGTCCGCTGGTCCGTGTCTTGTATATTTTCCTTCAGGACCAGAAAAATTAATTAAATGCTGGTCCGGTGGTCTAGTGTTATTTTGGAGATGAAGTAAGTGATCCTAAAAAAGTTTGTATGACTTTTGAAATCAGTGATAATCTCGAAACTCTAAGCCAAACCAGCAGCCTAAACATCCCTGTGTGGTACAGTGGTAATTTTCGACTGGTTTCTCATTCTTATTACTCATGCTCACTTGTTGTAGGAACATGATAAAGTATCTGCGATGTAAGACCTGTTTTGGTCAGCGCCATTGTGTCTGTCGAGATCCAACAGGACCAATAGATATTTCCTTAATTGTTCTGGTCCTTTGGACCTCTGACAAATTTTGGTCTGTGTCAAACTGACTGTCTTCTCATATCAAGAACTAAAATACTTTTGAAAGCAGCGACAAACCCATATTCCCGAGGCAAGAGAGTTCACTGACTTTACAAGTCCAGTTTCCCCCCTTGCCGAACTAGGCTGGAATTACTGGGCTCCATCATAGCGCCACCAGTGGCTATTACCAGTTACGTCCCTTCTAAGCCTCTCCTATGGACCAATCAAATTCCACCTCTCGTATCACTTGTGCGCCCAGTCAAGACGATCTGATAGATAATCAAGATCTATATTGTGATAAAACAGGTCTTACATCGCGTAATGCATCAAATCACGTGAGCACCTTGATTAAAAGCATGAAAAGATTTGGAAAACATCTGCTGACAACGAGTTGGCGGTGCACATGTTTTGAAAATCCTGCAATCGACCGAAATCTGCACGACAGTTTATGAACCGGATTTCGATTTCGATTTCGATTTCGGTGCACGATTTTGATTGGACTATCCATAGACTCGTTAGTCCAGCCGAAATGTAACTCCATAATACCAACCTAGTTCGGCAAGGGTGGAAACTGGACTTTTATTTTCAGTTAACTCACTTGCCCCGGGAAGATGCGACAAACCCAACTCACTCACACATTATTAATTCTGCATTTTCCCGTCTGTTTCAGGTTTAACTGGGGATGCTAGTACAACGAAGCCTTATTTTGTTTACAGTGTACCTTCTGGTAGGTGTTGACTGTGATAAATTGTGCTGTCAATTTCATGAATCCATGTTCGTCCAATCTCATTAAAATCAGATCTTAGTTTTCGCTACCGCTAAACAATGACCTGAGGACATCCCATTATGGGTCACGACCTTTTGCGAATTTTGACCGACCAATGAAATGACTGAAAAAAAATTGACATTAGCCAATCAGAAGGCAGCTTTCTCGAGCTTTACGACACTAGTTTCATACTGGCGACTATACTTCGAAACATATTTTGACAAACTCTCGATTAAAAAAATTAAAACTGGCAAGAAGAACATTCTGGAATGGCTTATAGATGGCCTAGGTTGCATGATAAGAAAACACATTCCGACTGTCACTTTCATGATCTGGTAAGTGACGCTCTGATTGGTTGGATGAAAGGTCGTTCTGACGTGACCCTTAATGGGATGTCCTCAGATCTTTGTTTTGCATAGCGAGAACTAAGATCTGATTTTTATGAGATTGATGTTCGTCCAGTTTCGTGTAGGTTTCCCACATGCGAGAAGTTTTTACTGTTGATATATCCTCTTCTAAGCTTGTCCCACATGAATAACATAAATACCCCACTCAGACACAGTACAAGGACTCCAAGCCGACCAGTCCTTGTTTTAGACCATGCCAAGTGCCAGGCAGAGTAACAACAAGTAACATGTTTTAACATCATTTGGAATGACACGTCTGACCTTCCGCTCTCCAGGCGGACACTCTACCACTGGGCCATGGAGGGGTTCCCTCATGTCCAGGCTCAATGATCAACTAAAGTCTATATCTCCAAAACAAATAATATAAATATAAACATTTTTTGTGTGTTTATGCTTCCATAATCCAAAACAATTTAGGCCACACCCACTAACAAACTACTGTTTCCTGATTGGCTCATAATAGAAATGGCGGGGCATGTTGTATTGGTGTGCTGAATGCTGTCATAGATTTCATAGTGTTGTCTACAGGTTTTTGTGTGTTAATTAACAACGCGTGTTGGTCTGACGTTGATTAATGAATAATTTGCATACTCGTATATGCAAGAGGCCGACGTATGGTTCTCAGTAGGAAGTGACAACTTGGAGACGATGGCTTGCGGTATATACAGTTTTACTTTATACATGTAGATATATACATACAATGACACTATGTGCCAGGTCAGCACATAGTGGTAGTGGTTGTTGTCTAGGTGCCCCGGAGCACCCAGCCTAACCCTAGCTACGCTAAGGGTAAGTCCTTTCTTTCTATCTCTCTGGACCAAGGCTTTTATAGCCAAGGTCACCAGACATTTAGTAAGTAATAAATATAAATATAAACAGTAATTCATCAGTTACATACTTGCACATCTCGTTCAGGATGGCAGACAGTTGATGTACCCAAAAATGGGGATTAACAAATAGGATTAGCATCTTATAAATAACAGCAATTAAGTGTTTCAAGGCATATAGATGTCATGGCTCCAGGGTGATGAGCCTTTCAGGGTTTGAAATTGGCACTAGTCCTATAGTCCTTGCCAAACTGCCCAATAGTAAAGGTATCCTAAGGACTAGTAGAATTTTGCCATTTTTAAAGGTTTTGCTATATGCTATCATTATAAGGACTAGTGGACTGAAACTGTTAGTTTCTACCGCTGCCTTTGCAATTAAATGTTCTTCAGACAATGGGTGTCGTAAATCAGTCGCTATGACATAATCATGAAATAAGCAGCTTGGGAAGTTCTTTTAATGTACATAATTATTTATAAGAATTGATTATGTATTTGCTGCGACCTATAACTTGAAAACTACGGCATAGATTCTTTTCAAACTTGGTGAACACTTTCTATACAAATAGGAAAGGTGCAGTGCGAAGTTTGATTTCAATATTTGGATTTTCCGAAAACATACAGCTTTTTAAAAAGTTTTTACTTGAATGTTTTTGCTTAAACATTTGTGTGACCTATTATTAGAAAACTACATCATGGATTCTTTTCAAATTCAGAGAACAGTTTCCATGCTAAGAGAAGAGGTGCAGTGCAAAGTTTTATCTTGATATGTGTATTTTCTGAAAAAAAAATCTTTTTTACTTCAAACTTTGTGCGACCTAAACCTTTTAATTCATGGAATTTTTTTGATTGGGGGTACAGTTTCTATACCAATAGAAGAGGTGCAGTGCAAAGTTTGATTTCGATAAATTAATTTTCTGAGAAAGTATTGCTTTTTTCATGTTTTGAACTCTCATATATGTTGGAGCCACAATCGCCTTTTGCCTCGTTGTTATTCATGTTTATATTTCATAAATAAAATGATTATTGTTAAAAATTATGAACTGATTATCTAATGATATACCATATTCACTGTTATCAGCTCCTCAGACGCAAATTAAGAATGGGGACACTTATTAAAATCCCACACAACAACTTTAGTTTTTTCTCTGGGATTGAACAGTAGTGAACAAATTTTTGTTCAAGCCTTGATGAAACTACAACCTTTTCAATAATTGTTACCAGGCAATTAATTATATGCCTCTTCTACCCAAAGATATCTGTATTACCGTATTTGACGTAAGAAGCGCCCAGCGCGCTCTCAAAATTAGAAATAGGGGGCCCTATAGGAGTTGAAAGATCGTAAATTTCGTGGTTTATGCTAACAGCCTGAAATGATACAAAAGAAAAGTCTGTGCGTATTATACACGACATATTTTTTCCAGAATTTAATTGCCCATAATTAAGGGTGCATACAACACATGAGTGGGTATTATACACGAATAAATAAGTCTTGAGTACATTGATCATTTGGAAGGGGTGCTAACTGGGATTGTTCACTAGCTATTCAATATATTAGCAAATATGGGCGCTTACTACATCGAATACGGAAAGTACAGATTGGTCTTGAAGTTGTGACTGGCCCTTTCAATAATTCCTCTGCGTCTTTGCTTCATATGATATGACCCTTGCATACATCTGGAGGAACCTACTGTGTTCTTTTTCCAACTTTTACATCAGTCAAAGGCAGCATCATAGATATTTATCCAAATTAGATCAATGCCATCTGTAGATATTTGCAACGTACATATGACCCATGAAGATGGGTGTTGGAATAGTTCTTCAGCAACCCATTCTTGTTGTAAGAGGCGACCTTTGGGATTATTTACAGATGGCAATCATATAGCTGGAATATTGCTGGGTGCAGCGTTTATCAACAAACAAACAAATACAAAACAACAGACACATCATATATATGGGAGTTGGGGATATATGAAAATAAATGTGTATTGCTTAGCTTTTTTCCAAGTGTGTAGTTCGTATTTCAGTCAAGGCATCAATATTTCCCCACTATACAGGTAAACTGTATGTCTACTTGTTCTGCAGTTGAAGGAGGTTGACTCTCGGTGTCCAGCTGGGCAACGAGAGCATCCCCTTGATGGAGGAAGGAGGTGCTGCAGCCCCTTAACAACAAATGACCCCTGCAGGCCAGGTAGGTGTCCATCATATCTACATCTTTGTCTGACCTGTGAAGATCTGGGATAGAATAGATCTTCAGCAACCCCTGTCGTAAAAGGCAACTTTGCTTGTGATAAGAGGCGCCAAGTGGGATCGAGTGGTCAGGCTTGCTGACTTGGTTGATACATGTTATCGTATCCCAATTGCTTCATTGGAGAAAGACAAGGCTTATGTTAACTCCTATGTGTCATTTCCCCATTGGAGTAAGACAAGGCCTATGTTAACTCATATGTGTCATTGCCCCATTGGAGTAAGACAAGGCTTATGTTAACTCATATGTGTCATTGCCCCATTGGAGAAAGACAAGGCTTATGTTAACTCCTATGTTTCATTGCCCCATTGGAGAAAGACAAGGCTTATGTTAACTCATATGTGTCATTGCCCCATTGGAGAAAGACAAGGCTAATGTTAACTCATATGTGTCATTGCCCCATTGGAGAAAGACAAGGCTTATGTTAACTCCTATGTTTCATTGCCCCATTGGAGAAAGACAAGGCTTATGTTAACTCATATGTTTCATTGCCCCATTGGAGAAAGACAAGGCTTATGTTAACTCATATGTTTCATTGCCCCATTGGAGAAAGACAAGGCTTATGTTAACTCCTATGTTTCATTGCCCCATTGGAGAAAGACAAGGCCTATGTTACCTCATATGTTGTATTGCCCCATTGGAGTCAGACAAGGCCTATGTTAACTCATATGTGTCATTGCCCCATTGGAGAAAGACAAGGCTTATGTTAACTCCTATGTTTCATTGCCCCATTGGAGAAAGACAAGGCTTATGTTAACTCATATGTTTCATTGCCCCATTGGAGAAAGACAAGGCTTATGTTAACTCATATGTGTCATTGCCCCATTGGAGAAAGACAAGGCTTATGTTAACTCATATGTGTCATTGCCCCATTGGAGAAAGACAAGGCTTATGTTAACTCCTATGTTTCATTGCCCCATTGGAGTAAGACAAGGCTTATGTTACCTTGTATGTTGTATTGCCCCATTGGAGAAAGACAAGGCTTATGTTAACTCCTATGTTGTATTTCCCCATTGGAGAAAGACAAGGCTTATGTTACCTCATATGTTGTATTTCCCGGTTGGAGTAAGACAAGGCCTATGTTAACTCATATGTGTCATTGCCCCATTGGAGAAAGACAAGGCCTATGTTACCTCGTATGTTGTATTTCCCGGTTGGAGTAAGACAAGGCCTATGTTAACTCATATGTGTCATTGCCCCATTGGAGAAAGACAAGGCCTATGTTACCTCGTATGTTGTATTTCCCGGTTGGAGTAAGACAAGGCCTATGTTAACTCATATGTGTCATTGCCCCATTGGAGAAAGACAAGGCTTATGTTAACTCCTATGTGTCATTTCCCCATTGGAGTAAGACAAGGCCTATGTTAACTCATATGTGTCATTGCCCCATTGGAGAAAGACAAGGCCTATGTTACCTCATATGTTGTATTGCCCCATTGGAGTAAGACAAGGCTTATGTTACCTCATATGTTGTATTTCCCCATTGGAGAAAGACAAGGCTTATGTTAACTCCTATGTTTCATTGCCCCATTGGAGAAAGACAAGGCTTATGTTAACTCATATGTTTCATTGCCCCATTGGAGAAAGACAAGGCTTATGTTAACTCATATGTGTCATTGCCCCATTGGAGAAAGACAAGGCTTATGTTAACTCCTATGTTTCATTGCCCCATTGGAGTAAGACAAGGCCTATGTTACCTTGTATGTTGAATTTCCCCATTGGAGTAAGACAAGGCCTATGTTACCTCGTATGTTGTATTTCCGCATTGGAGTAAGACAAGGCCTATGTTAACTCATATGTGTCATTGCCCCATTGGAGAAAGACAAGGCTTATGTTAACTCCTATGTTTCATTGCCCCATTGGAGTAAGACAAGGCCTATGTTACCTCATATGTTGTATTTCCCCATTTGAGTAAGACAAGGCCTATGTTAACTCCTATGTTTCATTGCCCCATTGGAGGAAGACAAGGCTTATGTTAACTCCTATGTTTCATTTCCCCATTGGAGTAAGACAAGGCCTATGTTACCTCGTATGTTGTATTTCCCCATTGGAGTAAGACAAGGCTTATGTTAACTCATATGTTGTATTTCCCCATTTGAGTAAGACTAAGCCTATGTTAACTCATATGTGTCATTGCCCCATTGGAGTAAGACAAGGCCTATGTTTCCTCGTATGTTGTATTTCCCATTGGAGAAAGACAAGGCCTATGTTACCTCATATGTTGTATTTCCCATTGGAGAAAGACAAGGCCTATGTTACCTCCTATGTTGTATTTCCCCATTGGAGAAAGACAAGGCCTATGTTACCTCATATGTTGTATTTCCCCATTTGAGTAAGACAAGGCCTATGTTAACTCCTATGTTTCATTGCCCCATTGGAGTAAGACAAGGCCTATGTTACCTTGTATGTTGTATTTCCCCATTGGAGAAAGACAAGGCCTATGTTACCTCGTATGTTGTATTTCCCCATTGGAGTAAGACAAGGCCTATGTTACCTCGTATGTTGTATTTCCCCATTGGAGTAAGACAAGGCCTATGTTAACTCATATGTGTCATTGCCCCATTGGAGAAAGACAAGGCTTATGTTACCTCGTATGTTGTATTTCCCCATTGGAGTCAGACAAGGCTTATGTTAACTCATATGTGTCATTGCCCCATTGGAGAAAGACAAGGCTTATGTTAACTCCTATGTTTCATTGCCCCATTGGAGAAAGACAAGGCTTATGTTAACTCATATGTTTCATTGCCCCATTGGAGAAAGACAAGGCTTATGTTAACTCATATGTTTCATTGCCCCATTGGAGAAAGACAAGGCTTATGTTAACTCCTATGTTTCATTGCCCCATTGGAGAAAGACAAGGCCTATGTTACCTCATATGTTGTATTGCCCCATTGGAGTCAGACAAGGCCTATGTTAACTCATATGTGTCATTGCCCCATTGGAGAAAGACAAGGCTTATGTTAACTCCTATGTTTCATTGCCCCATTGGAGAAAGACAAGGCTTATGTTAACTCATATGTTTCATTGCCCCATTGGAGAAAGACAAGGCTTATGTTAACTCATATGTGTCATTGCCCCATTGGAGAAAGACAAGGCTTATGTTAACTCATATGTGTCATTGCCCCATTGGAGAAAGACAAGGCTTATGTTAACTCCTATGTTTCATTGCCCCATTGGAGTAAGACAAGGCTTATGTTACCTTGTATGTTGTATTGCCCCATTGGAGAAAGACAAGGCTTATGTTAACTCCTATGTTGTATTTCCCCATTGGAGAAAGACAAGGCTTATGTTACCTCATATGTTGTATTTCCCGGTTGGAGTAAGACAAGGCCTATGTTAACTCATATGTGTCATTGCCCCATTGGAGAAAGACAAGGCCTATGTTACCTCGTATGTTGTATTTCCCGGTTGGAGTAAGACAAGGCCTATGTTAACTCATATGTGTCATTGCCCCATTGGAGAAAGACAAGGCCTATGTTACCTCGTATGTTGTATTTCCCGGTTGGAGTAAGACAAGGCCTATGTTAACTCATATGTGTCATTGCCCCATTGGAGAAAGACAAGGCTTATGTTAACTCCTATGTGTCATTTCCCCATTGGAGTAAGACAAGGCCTATGTTAACTCATATGTGTCATTGCCCCATTGGAGAAAGACAAGGCCTATGTTACCTCATATGTTGTATTGCCCCATTGGAGTAAGACAAGGCTTATGTTACCTCATATGTTGTATTTCCCCATTGGAGAAAGACAAGGCTTATGTTAACTCATATGTGTCATTGCCCCATTGGAGAAAGACAAGGCTTATGTTAACTCCTATGTTTCATTGCCCCATTGGAGAAAGACAAGGCTTATGTTAACTCATATGTTTCATTGCCCCATTGGAGAAAGACAAGGCTTATGTTAACTCATATGTGTCATTGCCCCATTGGAGAAAGACAAGGCTTATGTTAACTCCTATGTTTCATTGCCCCATTGGAGTAAGACAAGGCCTATGTTACCTTGTATGTTGAATTTCCCCATTGGAGTAAGACAAGGCCTATGTTACCTCGTATGTTGTATTTCCGCATTGGAGTAAGACAAGGCCTATGTTAACTCATATGTGTCATTGCCCCATTGGAGAAAGACAAGGCTTATGTTAACTCCTATGTTTCATTGCCCCATTGGAGTAAGACAAGGCCTATGTTACCTCATATGTTGTATTTCCCCATTTGAGTAAGACAAGGCCTATGTTAACTCCTATGTTTCATTGCCCCATTGGAGGAAGACAAGGCTTATGTTAACTCCTATGTTTCATTTCCCCATTGGAGTAAGACAAGGCCTATGTTACCTCGTATGTTGTATTTCCCCATTGGAGTAAGACAAGGCTTATGTTAACTCATATGTTGTATTTCCCCATTTGAGTAAGACTAAGCCTATGTTAACTCATATGTGTCATTGCCCCATTGGAGTAAGACAAGGCCTATGTTTCCTCGTATGTTGTATTTCCCATTGGAGAAAGACAAGGCCTATGTTACCTCATATGTTGTATTTCCCATTGGAGAAAGACAAGGCCTATGTTACCTCCTATGTTGTATTTCCCCATTGGAGAAAGACAAGGCCTATGTTACCTCATATGTTGTATTTCCCCATTTGAGTAAGACAAGGCCTATGTTAACTCCTATGTTTCATTGCCCCATTGGAGTAAGACAAGGCCTATGTTACCTTGTATGTTGTATTTCCCCATTGGAGAAAGACAAGGCCTATGTTACCTCGTATGTTGTATTTCCCCATTGGAGTAAGACAAGGCCTATGTTACCTCGTATGTTGTATTTCCCCATTGGAGTAAGACAAGGCCTATGTTAACTCATATGTGTCATTGCCCCATTGGAGAAAGACAAGGCTTATGTTACCTCGTATGTTGTATTTCCCCATTGGAGTCAGACAAGGCTTATGTTAACTCATAT